GTGTGAATCCAATCATGATTAAGAATTGTTTGATTTGATTTTATTATTTTATTTTATTTTTTTGTCAAAAGATATAATATTAATTATATATATATATATATTTAAAATCCACATTACACAAACACAAATTATTGTAAATTCTACTCCCTCCCTCCCATAAATACAGTCTTAATTGGGTTGGTCACGAGATTGGGTAAAAAATATGGATACAAGACTTTTTTGTCTTTACGAGTGTAATAGTGTAAAAAATAGTGACAACTGTGTAATAAAAATGAAAAAGTAGAAGTAGTTTTATGGTGATATGGTTATTTATGAAAATAAAACTATTGTTTTGAGACGGATAAAAATGGTAAACAAGACTATTGTATTTGAGCGAATGAAGTATATAAATACAAAATAGTACGGTGATTTTGTATATAGAAGTAAATATGATTTTATTTGTTCGTTGCAAAATTTAGTGTATGATTTAAGGCCATCATTTAGATAATGGAATATAAAATTTAATAAATATGCAAAAATTTAAATTTTTTTTGTAATTTCAAATTGAAATTAGTACTCCCTCTGTCTCATAATTAAATATTTATTTTGCTTTTTGCACTTAGTTAACCTTATTAGTATGTGTGATATAAAAGTAGTAACTTTTGTGTAATATATTGTAAGTTGTAAGGGTATTTGTAATGTTAAGTATATAGCACAGTTACTTAAAAAAAATGAATACTTTGTTATGGAACAGACTAAAATAGAAAAATATATACTTTATTATGAGACGGAGGAAATATTATTTATTAAAACATGTTAATGATAGAGATGCTCAAGAAATCCATTACATCAAAATAATTTTATTATTCAACCGTCCCAGAAAGGTTACCATTTTCTATTTTTCGTCCGTTTCAAAACAAGGTTGCAATTTTTTAATTTAGTAATTACACTACTTACCTAACATAATAAATATTCTTTCAAATTACAATATATTTCACAAATATCATTACTTTTATATTACACCATACCAATAAGGGTATTTTTGTCTTTTTTTTAACAATCCAATATAAAATTAATATTAAAAAATTTACGTGAAAAAAATAAATACTACCCTACTAATGGGACAGATGGATTAATTTAAGTGTTTGTAAAATAGTTGAAATTGGGACAACCTTAAGTTAATTTAACATCGTGTTACAAATGTGTACATTTTTTATTTTATTTTTAAGCACAATAATATTTATAAATTTAATTTATAGGTGATTAAAATTCTTGCTAAATACCAACATATTGGGTGAAAATTCACTTTGATGGGATCTAATTTAATAAAATAATAGCTATTATTTAATTCCTTGTAGAAATCAAATCACACAGATTTTCATTTTATTTTAAAGAATAAATTATAATCAACTTTTTGACTGGGATTTCAGTGTTAATTAATTATTTAATTAACCTCCTAGGCATAAGTGAAAAGTCATAGAAACATTAAAAAAAAAACACTTAATTTTACCATCTTTATAAACTTTTTAAATTATTAAAAATATTATTGTAACATTATTTTGTAATAGTATTTTATTTTATTTTTTTTCAATAAAAAATAATAATAACTCTAAAAGGTGCACCAAGTCATGTGCACCCAACTGGGTGCACCATCTTTTCATGCCTCGTTAGGTTACTTTATCATTAACAGTCTTTATATATATTTTATAATTAATTAAAAAAAATGTAACTTTGTGATATTTTGATTAAACTATTTTTAAAAAAATATAAATAGGGAAATAGATTATTTGGTATTTTAGATTTTTTTTTTTTTTTTAAAAAAACAAATTGTTTAGAATTTAGAAATGTGATATATTTGGATGACTTTTATAATATGAAATAATATGGTTGATTATAAATAAATAAAATATGTATGAAAGTGTTTTTAAATGTATATTTTAATAAAATATTACTAAATATGTATGCCATTATATAAGGAATAAAATATTGTATAATACTTATATATATATGATTAATATAAATTACTCCCTTTGTATACAAGTAAATTTTTTATTTTTTATTTTAGTTTGTCCAAAACAATATTTTCAATTTTTTTTAGGAAAAAAATAAAAATCTTTCAACTAAATATCAAATTGAAATAAAGATTATATTATTTTATTATAATATATATCTATAAAATACTAATTTACCTTCGTCTGTGTACAAAAATCAAATAAAAAACTTACCGGGAGGAGTATGTTTTTACACAATATATTAGCAAGTACACTAAAATTTGACATTGATTTGTATATTTATTTGTTTTTAATTTCATTTTGAAATAACAAATAATATCTTGATTTAATTTAAATATTACGTAAAAGGCCAAATATCATTTCAATGAATAGTGATTCTTTTCATAAATAATGTATGATTTACTTAAAAAAAATAAAAATATTCTATATTTCTCATAAAAAATTATATATTTATATTTATATTTAAAAATTTATAAAATTAATTTATATAAATTATAAATAAATAAATACTATATTTTTTATGTACATAGTATATATATAAAAAATATTTTTTATAAAATAATATTCATATTATATATAGTTTATTGCGATATAATTTTTTAAATATTTAAATATATATATTTTTTTTAATCTTACATTTCTTATATTTTATTTAGAAATAAATTTGTGTTATTTAATTAAAAGAATAGTTACAAAAAGGTTCATATTTAAAATAGGTGATTCAACATATTTGATTTGACCAATTTTACTTTAGTTTATTTATTTGGTAAAATTGAATTAATTTTTCAATAGAAGTTTTGTTAGGGTGTTGGTGAAATAAATTTATTTTAATTCAAAGTTGTTAATTAATTTTTATTTAATAAAATAATTTCTCTATGATTTCACAAAAATGTGTACACATGCATGAATTTGTTGAACTACACTTAATTTTTTTTATTAATTAAATGGTCAATTGCTCACCAACTCAATATTAGATGTGTAAATACATAATGAAATCCAAAAATAAATTAAATTTATAAAAAGAAAGAAAGTTGACTTTGTAAAATTAGTTCCACTATTCTAGATCCATTTTTTAAAATTTATTTATTTACTTATTTTAAATTTAATGATGTAATAACATGAAATATAAAGGGGGGCTTGCTTGAAGTTTGTAGTATGTGTTTGTTTTGATTTTTAAAGAGGTTTCTTTACCAATTACCAATTTATTTTCTCTTAAAATATCAAATTTAATACTACCCCGTCCATCGTCAATCTATCCATTTTGTCATTTTAGTCTGTCTATCGCAAATGTATTCATTTTCTTTTTCTTTTTTTTTTTAGTAAATGTACATTCTACTAAAATATAAAATTACCCCACCCTTTATGTAATATAATATTACACAAATGTCATCAAATAACATCACTTAATACCATAAATGATAAGGGGTATGATAGTCTTTATGTATATCAATTGTAACACATATCAATATAATACTAATATACTAAAATCTACGTGAAAAAAGTAAAACTGATAGATAGACGGTGGACAGAGGGAATACTTATTTTCTATTTATATTACTAAAAAATTAATTTTATATTCAATTATGACAGTAATAGTTATTTATATCATATCAAATAAGCAATTAAAAGTTAAAATTTTACTATTCCAAACTTAAATCCAAAACTCAAATACCCAAACAAACACACCTAAATGTATAAATTATAATACTATCTCAATCCCATAATTAAGATATTATTTTTTTTTTTGGTAAATATTTGAATATAAATTATTATTATTAACTATAGATTGTATTGTACTTTATTAGAGTATGTCATGTCTGCTTATTTGTTATACTCCCTCCGTCTCATAATAAAGTATTCATTTTTTTTATTTTAGTCCGTCCCATGACAAATTATCCATTTCCTCTTTTAGTAACTGTACTATCTATCTAACATTACAAATACCCTTACAACTTACAATATATTACACAAATGTCATTACCTTTATATCACACATACTAATAAGGTTATTTTGGTTATTTCTACTTTATTCCTACTTATATCTCAATATAATATTAATATTTCTAAAATTACGTGTAAAAAGCAAATAAATGCTTATTTACGGAAGTAGTATATCTATTATATTAACATAGAACGTATAACACATATCATAATAAAAAATAGCATAATATACAATTAATTTCAACAAATAAAGTGTATTTATACCAATTATGTGATTTTATTTTATACTTGCTGAATCTTTTAACCGTCTAAGATTTATTCTAACCATTTATCTTTTATTATGTATGTTTTTTATTTTTATTTCTAATTTAAATATAATATTTTATAAAAAAATAATATATTTTTATGTAAAAAACCACAGCACAATACAATAAAACTAAAAAAAAAATAAAACTGAAATATTGAATTTATTCACTTAATATTTTTTTTTAGTAATACAAATCTCCATATACATTATTTTAAAAATAATATATAAACATATTGATATAATATATATTCTATTTATTAAAAATAATCAACAGTTGAATACTTTTTTTTATATTTCAAAATAATTCTTCGTATAATTAACATAAATGAACACTTCCATTAAAAAATACAAAATAAACCAACCAAATATCATCAAATAAATTCTTAAATTAGCTTTCAATATCATTCTTAAATAAAAATGTAAAAAGCAAAAAATAAATAAATACTCCATTTTATATTAGGGTAATATATACATAATCAGAAGCGAGGCTAATAACGTAATTTTCCCAAAAGAGAGGATACCATCGTAATTTGGCGTCAAGAAAGCCCCTGTTCTGTTCCCACTACAACAATTCAAAATCTCTACAAACACCGGGACCAAAACGCCAGAAAAATCCCACCCTACAACGAACGGTACAGATCAATCCGGCGTCAAAACCCCCGGACTCTCTACCATTCCGACGGCCGTCACCCCTGAAATTCGTTGATAAGCAGCAAAGAAAAAAAGCCGACAGAAACCCCACCCTACCCTACCCCTACCCCCACCCCCACCATCGATTAGCAATTCCACTGAAAGGGCAGGCCTGGCATGGCCTGAGAGAGAAGAGGACTGAGGTTTTCTATCCATCATCTATCTTCTCCTACCTCTCATTGTTTAATCATCACCGCGCATTTTAGCAAGTCTGAGCCTGCCCTGCTGCTGCTGCACCATCATCTTCCCTAACTCCCCAATTTCACTTCCGCTTTCGCCAATCGAAAAGCAAAAGCGCACCACCCACAAACCAGTTCATCATTTCTATCTCCACACACACACACACACAGACACTCTTCAAATCAAATCCCATTCGAAGAAGAAGAAGAAGAACAGCTAGCACCAGATTAAAGCTCTCCTCTAATCCAATTTCACAATTGAAATGGAGAAAGTTGTCGTCGTCGTGATTAACTGCGAGCTCAAGGCTTCTGGAATAGTGTAGATCCGATCGAATCGAATCGAATCGAACTTTCCTTCAACTTCTCTCCTCTATTTCCCTCTCTCCTCCATTTCCCTTTCTCTCTCTAGAATGGACTGCAAGCAGCAGCGAGTGATAGCCGAGAATTTGGATCCGGAGAGGAAAAGGAGCGGCGGATTGAGGACGAAACAAGCTGGGCGTGGTTCCTGCAGAGGGAGTTAGCCTTCTTCCTTCACCCATTTTCAAAAAAAATATTTCCGAAAGGGAAAGGGATTCGTAGTTATGTTTGAGGAATAATCAATTCCATACATAACAACATATTGCATACTCCTTCCTTCCCTCCCTTCATCCTCTCTCTTTCTCTCTCTCTATCTCTTCCCTCTCTCTTTCTCTCTCTCTCTCTCTCTCATTTTAGGGCCGAATCTTCTGCTAAATCTTCACACACACACAAACACACAGTCAATGGGTTACTTATTGAAAGAGGCTTTGAAAACCCTTTGTGGTGTCAATCAATGGTCTTATGCTGTTTTCTGGAAATTTGGCTGCCAAAATCCCGAGTAAGAAAACCCTAACCCTACTCTAATTTACTCTCTCTCTCTCTCTCTCTCACACACACACACACACACAAATATTTCTCCATTTGCTTGCAATCAATCTTTCTCAACTGTTGGAATTTTGCGCTGATTTGCAGGAAATAAGCAGTGTGTGTGTGTTTTTTATGTCTGAATTATGGATTCTGCACTGTTTGATCCATTTATTTGTTACTGAAGTCGATTAATCGTGTATTCTCTAGCACTGCAAAATTGGATTTGATTTTGTCCTTCATCTCTTTGGGAATCTCAGAGAAGATTTTGTTTGAATATAATAAAGCTCTTTGTAGTTAGTTCTTTGTATGTTCATATTCAATTCCAGTTCCTGAGGTTATTGTCCTCTGCATCTATAGGGACTTCCCCTGTTTGATTCATCGATTTCTTATCGAATTATTGTCATTAAGTTTCGAAAGATTCGATTCAATGTTGAAGATATACATGCTCTGTTTTTGCAGGCTATTAATTTGGGAGGACTGTTACTACGAACGCTCCTTGCCGGAGAATTTCCCATGGTTTTCCGTCGTCGAAAATGGCTGTTTCCGAGCAAGGGACAATGTGCATTTGCTGGTGGACAACATGATGATGGATAGCCGTGTCGTTATTTTGGGAGAAAGGTTTAAGTTTTCGCCACTTTTGATCGATATGTTGTGTAATAAGTTTGTCAAAACATGCTTGAATTTATGTCCTAATGTTTCCCTCAGGCTAGTCGGACGAGTCGCCTTCACCGGAAGCCATCAATGGATCCTTTCCGAGAATTATAACCAAGAAGCTCATCCACCCGAGGTATAATACGAATAGTTTCAGCGTCGTATATTCGACTAAAACACCAGTTTATACGATTGTAATGTTCCAGGTTCTAAAAGAGCTGCGCCGCCAATTCTCTGCTGGAATGAAGGTATGTATCTATATATATATATAAACGTGTGTGTATATCCGATGTGTGAACGCAAGATTTTTGAAAATGTCGTAGATCTTTGTATGTTTATTGTTGTTCTTCAATGTTTGTTTAATTTTGATTATTCTTTGCCCTGACTAGACGATCGCGGTTATTCCGGTTCTTCCTCATGGTGTTGTTCAATTTGGATCTTTCTTGACCGTAAGTATTTCGATGGCGTTTTTTCGTTTTTCCTCGATGCGAATACTACCTCTTTGTTGATTCGGCGATGTTAACATTGTTGTTTATTGTTTGTTTTTCGAAGATCATGGAGAGTTCGGGGTTCGTAAACAACGTGGCGTCGTCGATAGTCGAGCTGGATTTGTTCGCCGGCGTCTTTCCATCGGAGGAGTATGCAGCAAAGGAACAATCTTTAAAAGTTCGGATCGAAAATCCCCTATTCGAAAGTTCGGATTACATCAGATACGCAGGACAGGGCGTCGCAGTCGACGCCGAAACTTCGTTTCCCTTTGTCGAAGAAATCCAAAAGAAAAATGTCGCGGCATTTCAGGAATTCAACGTTGCTCCGGCGCTCGCGAACTCGGGATTTACGAATGGAATGGCGAAAGCTGAAGTTATAACGTCAACTTCGGAAAACTCGACGAAAATCCGTAATGGTTCTCTTTACGGCTCGGCTTACGGTTTGAACGATCGTACAATTAGCAATACGAAACCGATTGGCGATGGAAATATCCGTCCGAATTCCAGCGAGCGTAAAAATGCGACCTTTACGCAGCGGGAAGCAGCGATATCGAATTCCGTTGACCTCTTCGCAGCCGATTCGTTTCTTTCCGAGTGCAACGATGCGTATGTCGAACCTCGATGGGGAGACGATCTGTTCGATGTTTTGGGACCCGATTTCAAGAACCAGCTCTTCAGGACTCGATCAAAACATTTATCTATCGACGACGATATATCGAAGACTAGTCGTTGGGATACCCGAATTTCAACAGGGAAGAAAACGTTAGAATTTTGTTCGGCTGATCGAGGGAATTCCGAGAGCGGGATTTTCTCATCCGAAACCGACAATCTCTTGGACGCGATGGTCGCTCGGGTTTGCTCGTCTGCAAACCCGAGCATGGAAGATAGTCTTTCTTGCAAGACGACATTGACGAGCATGAGCGGCAATACTTCGATTCCTTTCTACGACCAGTCCGACGCTTCGGCTGTCGTTAACGGTGAGCTTCTGGGTGTTCCGAAGTATTTTGCGAAGTCTGGAGCGTCGAATATCGACAGTTCGATTTACGGGTCACAAATAAGTTCATGGATCGAGAAAGAAAAGCAGAACAACAGCGTGTCCTCGTGCCAGTCGACGAAGAAGTCAAACGAAACGAGCAAACCGGGTCGTAAGAGGCTTAAGCCAGGAGAAAACCCGAGACCCCGACCCAAGGATCGACAAATGATTCAAGACCGTGTGAAGGAGCTGAGGGAGATCGTGCCGAACGGCGCGAAGGTGAGCGTTAACATTTCGTCGTCAAAATAGCGATTTCTTGTTTTTATTCGTTTGGCTAATTTTCGAGCATTTTTCGTCAACAGTGCAGCATCGATTCGCTGCTCGAGCGCACGATCAAACACATGCTTTTCTTGCAAAGCGTAATGAAGCACGCCGACAAGCTGAAACAGACCGGAGAGTCCGAGGTTTGTAATAAAAAAACATTCGATCGATATATAAGAAACCCGATATCTAATGATTGTTGTCTTTTTAAATATAAGGTTACGAGCAAGGATGGAGGAGTTACGTGGGCGTATGAAGTCGGGGCGCAGTCGATGGTCTGTCCTATCCGAGTCGAGGATTTAAATCAGCCGCGCCAAATGCTCGTCGAGGTAATTCGATCGTATGACAAATTCCGAGTTAAAAAAACTTTCGTTTTATTACAAGATCATATGATGTTCGTGCTTTCGAGCAGATGCTTTGCGAGGAAAGCGGTTTGTTTCTAGAAATAGCCGATGTAGTTCGAGGGCTCGGGCTAACGATTTTGAAGGGAATCATGGAGACTCGGAACGACAAGATTTGGTCTCGATTTACCGTAGAGGTAACGATTTTGCGTAAATTTAGATATTTCTTGCAATCGTACTATGATCGATAACGATTTCTAACTCGAGTTCTTGTGGCAGGCGAATAGGGACATCACAAGGATGGAAGTTTTCGTGTCGTTGGTTCACCTCTTGGAGCAAAGCGCAAAGTCGGGCGACGAATCCCTAATGTCTCAACAACTTTACGTGCCTGGTATATCTTCGAGTGTTACCGATCCGATTTGATATTACGATTAGTTCGGACGCGTTGAGAGCGAGCAAAGTTCAAGCCCGCCGTGACTAACACGTCTCGTAGAAATCTAGTCGACTTTGTATTTTGTGTTTGTAGTGCTGCATTCCCTCGCATTTGTTCGTGCCTTTTTCTGTTACGACGTATTGTTTTGGATTGAATCGCAATGTAAATCGTTGATCTGCTGTCGATTTTTCGGTACAGCTTCTTACAGTAATCTGCGTCGCATCGATCTTTTGTTTATGTGCTAAGTCACCGTTTTGGATCCTCGTCGAGATAAGAAAGTTTTGAGAAAAATGTTATTTTGGAGAGTCTGAGAACTCTCGAAACAGCATGGAAGGAACGAAAGTTCGAGAAACAGGGACAGGGAACCTATTTGTTCGAGTGTAGTTCATGATGTTAGAATATCCGAGCTAATATTTAATGGAAATTAGTGTCTGAATCCTACAAATTGTTAAGGAAATGCAGTTATTAATTATATATTCATAATCGGGAGTCTCAACACACCCAAATTCTGATATGTCGGATGCTGAATAATCGTTTGACCTAAAAGTTAGAACTGCTTGTATCCATTTGCATTTGATTTCTATGCATTAATGTGATACCTCATATTTAACTGGAGTTTTAAGTGAATCAATTAAAGTATTCATATCAATAATGCATATATTTCTTTTCAAGAGCATATTTAAAATAATTTTAGAGTTAAAAGTTTACGATCTTAATTTGAAGAGAAAGGGAGACAGTGGATTATATACAATTAATTTATATATAAAACCAAATAAAAAAAATTAGCAAAAATCTCAATCCCATGGTTTCATGGTGTTGGGGTGAATTCATTATAGGTACATAATGCGCATATAAACAACTAAGCTATTCAATGATGATTTCGCATCTAAGAACATGTTATGCCTCGTGAGCATTATTAAATCTAAAATAAGCATTCTATCGAATATTCTTTTACGCCACGTCGCAACACATCAGCTTAAGAACACACAACGACAAAATTCTTACAACAAACATGTACCCCATCTTCAAACACGACCCGATTCTGTTTATACAGATGTTTTTAAAACTTTCTGACACTATTTATCACATCAAACGCATTTTTCTTTCACAAAATATTACATCAAATATCCAATAATTTTATACATTATCGATGCAAGAAATCCCATTGTGTATGATCTATATCCGAAATGCCACACCCCCTTTACTTCAAATGAGACATATAATGTAAGAAAACAAAGATAAATCGAACCAAAGCCGACAGTTTTTCGCCATTTCGAAAAGAACACCAAATCCAAATGCAATAAAACCAACACTCCAAATCAAGAACCTGAACAGAAACTAGTGCACATAAATCTGTACATTGAAATTAAACCTTAGCCAAAACATAAACAGAACATATATCAATTACACACAACATCATCAAACAATTTGATGCAAAGAAACCTCAGTTTAAAGCCTTAAAAGATTAACTGTAAGGTCAGATCCCTTCCCGGCACTGCCGGGGGCCGGAGATCATCCTTCCAGGCCTGCCGTTGCTCGGAAATCCGACGATCAGATCGGCGCAGAAAACGCCGAGATACCTCCTTCTAGCCCTCCATGCCTTTGCCTTAAACCTAACTCTTGATCGCATCCTCAAATTGAACCCTACATTGCCATTGTTTCTTCTCTCGGCGTTGACGCCGGCCACCGCCGAATCGTCTATGAACCGCCCCACCGCCGCGAAATTCGCCGTCAGAGAAGTGTCGTTCTTAGTCCCCTGGGAGAAAGGGGGCAGAGCCGTGTCGGAAATCGACCAGGAGTTGTAGTAAATTAGGGCTTCGATCTGGTCGTATGAGAGGGACAGCTTCCGGTTAGGGTTTCTCGCCGTGAGGCGGACCTCGGCGGCGAAGGAGACGACGGAGCTGTTGTCGAGCGTGAAATTGGCGAGCGAGAACGAGTCGACTCGGAAGTCCGGGAGCTGTGGCCGGAGAATCAGCCACATGATGAAGACGACGGTCCCGAACACGACGACTAGGCCGATTGCCACCGCCAGGACGCGGCGGAGCCACGTCGCGCGGCGGACGGCGTTGGGGTCAGGCTGGTAGTACGGATTGCTCTGGTTGCCGTAGTACGGTTGCGCGACGTACGGGTAGGCGGTCCCCGGAGGCGGCGGCGGCGGATTGGCGGCGTAACCGTTAGGGTTTGGCGCCGGATATCCTGTGACGGGGGGCCTAGCTGTGTCCGCCATGGGAGATCGTTCCGAGCAAGTAGAATCACTGGAACTTGAGCAATTCAGATTGAATACTTACCGCGATGATCGGATCAAGGAGAGTATGAATCCGGTGTTGGAGATTGGATTCGGGATGGTTGCAATTCCTGGCATAGATTCTCGTGGAAAAAGCTCCGATCCTGTCAGCAGAATTAATTCCAAATTAGGGTTTTGAGGTCATCCCCAATTCCCAATTCCCAATTCCCAATTTCTTCAAACGGATCAGCCAACACACGACTCTGCAGCCGGCTTTTCTTTGTGTTTACTCGTTAGTAGAATTATTATTAAAATATGTTTGGAGTTTAATTTCAAAATATTAATATATAATTATTATCATTTTTATATATAAATTATAAAATAATATTTTTTTCATTTGACATAATTTGATTCAACTAGCGACTAACGCTCGACATTTTACAAAATTACATAATCAATTTTAAATAATTTTGCAAAGATAATTGTTAAATTAAATTAAATTTTTATAGTTTATAAAACAAAACAGTTAGACTAGTAAATTATTTGTGAGAAGACTGTACATCGATTTTTCGGAAGCGTTACTTAAATGAACTGACATGTCGAGAAAGTTTTTCATTCATTCATAAAATATTTTATTATATTTTTTTACTAGGTATTTTTTGTTTTCCTCGGTCATCTAATAAATTCTCTTTTATCCTCTTTTGAACGTTTCGTCAAATCGTTATGTTCTTATAATTCTCAATTAAATTCTACTATATATTATCAAATAAATAATAATTCCTATTTTCTACTTAAATTCCATTTTCAGCATCAAATGCACCTTAAAATCTTAGGATTCTAATCTCAACGCGTATTCCTTAGCATTGAAGACAACGACCTTTCCAACAATCTTAATGTTTTGCGTTGACTTTTTTGTAGTCGGTCTTTCCCGCGTGTAAACTTTAAAGTTGCATTCTTTTTTTAATTTTATCAATTTTTTTATTTAATTTTTTTTTTAAAAAATAAAATATTAAGTCAAAAGATTTTTTTTTTTTTAAATATTATCTTCACCCGCCTTAAAATTCTTATTTACTTTGTGTAGTTTTTGCATGATATTTGAATATTAATTATTATATAAAAATTTATTATAAATTAAAACAATGATAAAAATATTTTTTATTAGTATTTTATAATACTATTATAATGATATTTATGCAAAATATTATACAAATATAAAAATATTTTTAATATTAAGTATAATGATGGTAAATGAGACACTTAGAGTCTGCCGAAAGAAGTATTATACTATAAATTATTTTAAATTTAAAATAGAGCAAAAATCAATAATAGTCCCAATCAAATTCATTTTTTACATTTTTTATCCCGTTCAAAAATAATTATCAAAATAAGTCCCATACAAAAAATAAATTATCAATTTTGATTTCACAGTTATAATTTCAACGGAAAGTACTGAAGTGGCGGTAACAAAAGCTGATGTGGCATCGGATTTGAATCGAACACGGTCGTGTGCCCAGAAACACGCCCGTGTGTCCACCTTCCATGGCACAACAATTCGAGCACCATTTTAAAAATTCAGAAATGGCTATGTTCTTGGTGCTACCGCCAGTGACCTCAAAGTATTTCCTAAATCCAAAACCCTAGTCCCCGAACAAAATCAATCACACAAAATCACAGGCTTTCAATTCACCAAGCATCCGCTGCAAAATCGTAGGGAATCCTCTACTTGAAAAAAATTGCAATCACCAATTCACCACATGCCGCCGTCGATTGCGGAAGCAGATGGAAAGGGTTCAAACTCCGGAGACCGGAATCCGCTATCTAACGTCACGGTAAATCAGCGACGGGATGTCTTCCTCCGCCGCAGCCGCAAGTGGAATTCCCTCAATGCGGTGACGATTGCCGTCGTCGTCGCGATGCATACACTTTGTTTATTCACTCTTTTCACCTTCAATTGAAGTGTCATCGCCGTCGCTGCTGTTTTGTACTTCATCACCGGCCTCTTCGGAATCACTCTTCTTCCAAAGAAACTTCTTTCACAGAAGTTTAAAAAATCCCTAAATTTCTTAACCTCTCTCACAAAAGTTTAAAAAATCTCCAAATTTCTTAAATAGCTTTTCGCTTACTGCGGCCTTCAAGCCCTTCAGGTCAATCAATCGTGTATGTATATGTATAGATTTGTATATATAATTTTGAATTAGTAAAAAATTCCAGGGAAATCCTATAGATTGGGTGAGCACATACAGATATCATCATCAATTCTGTGATACAGAAAAAGATCCACACAGACCAGAGGGGTTTTGATTTTAATCGCATTGATAATAAACACGGGCGTGTGTCTCAAACAACACGGCCGTGTTTATATATGCTGAATTTTGTATTTTATAACATGGGCGTATTTCTGGGCACACGGGCGTGTTCGATTCAAATCGGATGCCACGTCAGCTTTTGTTACCGCCATGTCAGCCTATTCCGTTGAAATTATAACGGTGGAATTAAAATTGATAATTTATTTTTTATATAGAACTTATTTTAATAATTATTTTTGAAGAGGACCAAAAATGTAAAAAATGAATTTGATTGAAACTATTATTGATTCAAATTAAATTTTTTACTCTCAAAAAATCCAAACCCAAAGTTTAAAATACATAAACAAACACACCCTTGACTGGTTCATAATGTCGACAATTCCTATCTATGTCTGGGTCGTCGTTCTGAAACAAGTTGGGTTTGGTTGAGCAAGGGTTTCACGTTGACATCTCAATCAATCAAATCAAAGCCCTAATCTTACCAGCAATCAAGGCCAGGTAAAAACCTCTGTTGTAAGATTCTTACCAGTTTCTTTATTTCATTTCATATATTGTTGTCGGCTCGCCATTTTTTGCATCTTCTCTCCCAGTCTGTAAATGAGTTAGGGATTTGACATTCTTTAGAAACTTCTTTTTTAGATCTGTGTTAAGGACATATTTCTCGCCGGAGAGTATGGCGGAGGTCGGCGGCGTGTGGAAGAGAGTGGTGGTGGTCGGCGGCGGCGTTGCCGGATCTCTTGTTGCCAAGTCTCTTCAGTTCAATGCCGATGTGACCTTAATCGATCCGTAAGCAAAATCTCAACCTTATCAATTCGATTGTTGTGTATATTTTGCAATAATTGGATCATTTCTTACCATATGGTTCTGATCGAAAAAGGAAAGAAAGAAAAAGATATTTTGATATATATATATATATATGTATATACATATTTGTGGGTATCGATTCTGTTTGGCTTCTTACGTGTCTGTAAATTAAGTTCTTGATGTTGTCTGATGACTCTGATCCACTAAATTATTAATTAGAGATGTTTTTGATATATTTGATTTATGGTTTTGATTAATTTCTATTAGTCTTGTTTTTTGTTTTTCATTCTAACTACGATGAAAGTTATGTTTGTGATCTAATTGGTTGAAAGTTTTGTTTCTGACTTCGCTAATGACATTTGTGTAATATATTGTAAATTTGAAGGGTATTTATAATGTTAGGTAGATAGTACAGTTATGGATACTTTTTTTGGACAGGAAGGATTATTACGAGATTCCATGGGCGAGCTTGAGGGGATTGGTTGAGCCATCGTTCATCGAACGATCGGTCATTTATCACAAGGATTATCTAACCAACGGCCGCCTTGTCGTGTCAAAAGCCATCGACATTTCTAACTCTCAAGTTTTGACGGAAGAGGGCCGTCTCATTACATACGATTACCTCGTCATTGCCACCGGTCATGACGATCCGTTCCCCAAAACTCGATCCGAGAGGCTTAAGGAATACCGGGCAGGTATGGTTCTATCGAACATTTCGATTCTTTTAGATTTTGGAAAATGTTGGAATAGTCGAGAATTGTTGCATTTAGCAATGTTAAGTGATTGTAATTTAAGTAAAAGTTAGGAGTATTTTGATATTAGTGCATGATTATTTATTCTAAAATAGAAAATAAATATTTTGAAATAGTATAAACAAAAATAGTAAAAATAGTATTTTGAATTGGAACGAATGAAATATCTTGAAAGTTGACAACTCTTTTTTATTACCAATTGATTTTAAGACAAAGCTCTGGATTCCGTTTTAACACGTTTCACGAAGTCGTCGTCGTTATAATTAATTTTCTTACGCAGAGCATGAGCGCATAAGATCGGCGAATTCAATTTTGATCGTCGGAGGTGGTCCAACGGGAGTCGAACTATCCGCGGAAATTGCCGTTGATTTTCCCGATAAAAAGGTTATCCTCGTCCACGAGGGACCGCGGCTACTCGAGTTTATAGGGCCAAAGGCGGCTCACAAGACTCTCGAATGGCTAAAATTGAAGAAAGTTGAAGTTAAACTACAACAATCGATCGACTTAAGCAACGCCTCCGACGAGAGCGGAACTTACACAACTTCGTCGGGAGAAGTTATTAAAGCCGACATCGTTTTCGTTTGCACGGGTACGCATCCCGCCTCGGCTTGGCTGCGGGACACGGTTTTGAAGGATAGTATCGATGGATCCGGAAGGTTGAGGGTTGACGAGAACCTCCGAGTTAAAGGGCACAATAACGTATTCGCCATCGGAGACATCACCGATGTTAAGGTGCGTGTTTTAAATTCGGCGGTCTTTGAACTTTTTCTACGCCATTTTTGTTGTAGGAATAAAATTGTTTATAATCCACTTGTGATTTTGCCTCGTGACTTAAAAATTGTATGAGGGTCTCTTGTGTTTTGAAAAATATTGCTCAAAATATTTATTTAGGAGATTTTGTGCGATGTTTTTTAAAACACGAATGAACATTATGCAATTTTTAAGAGGTTATGTCCAATATTGTTTAAAATTCAAGAGAGTTTCGTACAGTTTCTGAATCATGAGAAGTATGATGCAAAATTTTCAAACTATAACAGCTTTATAAGCAATTTTGCCAATAGTTTTATATCTCACTCATCATTGTTCACGACTGAATATAGATTTATTACAAAGGGACATACTAAAATAGTAAAAAAAAGTTACTTATATAAACACAAGAAGATTTGTTCTCCCAACACCACACACTCAAAATGGCAATAAGATCCCAAAATTATTAAACGAGTAACAACGTTAAACGAGTTAGCGCAAAAATGTGTTTGTACGGAAAGGTGATGAACTTCCGTCATACTGGTCGAAATGATCGTGTAAAGTTTAAGCTTATTTTTTTTTTTATAGTTCATAACTTTAGTCTTAGAATGCACTCTTAGGCTCTGATACCATATTAGATGATGTAAATTACCGATTCACTTAAAAGCTTAGAATATGCATAATTTATTTATTTATTTATAAATGAGAGTGCACTAACAGTATTGAGCTGCGCCGAAAAAATGCAGGAAAATAAACAAGGGTACTTGGCGCAAAAGCACGCGATGATAGCAGCAAAAAATCTGAAGTTACTGATAAGCGGAGGAAAGGAGGAGAAGATGGCGACACACAAGGTGCGCTCGGTAAAAGTGATCGTGTCGCTAGGGAGACACGACGCCGTGGCGCAGTTCCCGATGACGACGATGATCGGGCTCGTCCCGGGTTTGATCAAGTCCAAGGATTTGTTTGTTGGGAAGGTAAGGAAACAGTTGGGGCTCGACCCTCGACTTGTCGATTATTAATCGATATATATATATATATATATATTGATTTTATCTGCTCGAAAGGTATTTATTATGTCATTTTCCGTCGGAGAAATATAAAGTATATATTTTTCTTTTTTTCTTTTTTTTTTTTAAAAGTAAATACAAAGCATTCTATGTTGTGTAAATTCATATGATTTGTATGTAATAAATTACAATTGTTTGGGAATTTGGAATTGCATGTATTCATTATTTTTTTAAGTTCTTATGTGAGAATTGTGTCCAACTATTTTGAAATTGGATATGAAAATCTTCTTTCATTCAAAATAATTCAACTTTGTTGTTTCCCTTTGTTTTTGTAATATTTTTTGTATTTTAGATACTAATTTAATATTTATTTATCTTTTTACCAAAGCTGATACTCGAATATACTCCCTTCGTCCATCCACTTTATAAGTTTACATTTATCTTTTGCATCATTATAATTAATATTAAATATATTTTTATATTTATATTATTTTTTTATACAAATATCATTGTACTGTATCATAAGACACTAATAGAAATATTTTTATATATAAAAAACAAATATAAATATTCTGAGGATGTGTTTGTTTGGAGGTTTGGATTTTATGTTGTGATTTGAATAGTAAAAATTTTGAATTTGAATAGTTGTATGATGTGATATAAATAGGTGTTGATGTGATGTTTTGAATGTACAATTGATTTTTAGTATAATATAAAAACTAAAAAATAGATGTTTGATTTGATATTTTTTAAGAGAAAAAATAGGATGAACATTGAATTTAAAATCCAATTCCCCAGACAAACACACCCTAAATGGACCAAGGTACTAATATTTTACATAAAAAAATTACACCCTATTCGTCCAAATTGTATGCATCTGTTCTTTTTACAAATCAATTTTAATTAAAAGAATTATGTTGGATGTTGAAGAAAAAATCGAAAATTGAATTTTTTGTTTTCCATCTTATTATAAAACTTCAAATTGAACAAACGTTGAGTTAGTTTTCACTTTCTTTATTTTTTTTAAAATTAAATAATATTTTGATACGACACTGTTTTTACCAATTATAAGCTAATAAAATTCACAAAGTTCGTAAAAATGTAGCGAAGAATCATCAAATCTACTCGCGTCGAGCGACAAAAGCTCGGCCATCGCACGTACGCTCGTCGCCTCGACGTGAGACCGATCCCCGGCCATGAATTCGTGTATCGTCCCATCGACCTCAATCGAACTAATCCCGGGCCTCTTCCTTACCCCAAGATCCTTCATCTTCTTCCTCACATTGCTCGCTCGACGCCATTTGCCTTTCCCGGCAAAAATATTCGACATCAACACATAACAAAAATCCCCGCTCGGATCCAACCCGAAGATCCGTTCGATCAGCTTCTCCGCCAACTCATCCGCGGCGTCATATTCTCGACATGCTGCCAACAAGGATCCAACGACGACTTCATTTGGCTTCATCGGCATTGTTTCCACGACCGTCATCGCCTCCTTCAATTTCCCGGCACGGGCGTAGAGATCCACGACACAACCGTAATGTTCGATCGTCGGAGAAATTTTATAAACCCGCGTCATCGTTTCAAACACTTCGACTCCTTTGTCGACTAACCCCGCGTGGCTACACGCCGTGAGAGCTCCCGTGAACGTCACACCGTCGGGAACGAACCGGTCGCTTTTCATCGCGTAAAAATAGCTCAATGCTTCCTCGGCGCGTGCATTGCATGCTAAACCTACGACGATCGAATTCCACGAAACTAAGCTTCTTTTAGGCATTTCGTCGAACACTTCGCAAGCGAACTTGACGCAGCCGCAGCGGCAGTACATGTCGATCAACGAATTGTTAACCCTTATGTTGTCGCGGAAATTTTGCTTTGAAACGAATCGATGCAGCCATAGGCCTAATCCGAATGCACCCAAATTAGCGACGGCCGAAAGTGCTGCAATGATTGTCACGAAATCGGGAGACGTTTGCGACGACTGCATCCGTCGAAACCACTCCAATGCCTCTTCGAATTTCCCCTTTTTCACGAAGCCGTCGATTAGGACAGTCCATGTGACGGTATCTCTTTCAGGCATTTCGTCGAACAGGTTGAGTGCCTCCTCGAATTCGCCATTTCTGATGTAGCCGTTGATCAGAGTGTTCCAAGTGACTTTATTTCTGATCTCCATGTGGTCGAAGCTCAATCTGGAAATCCCCAATTGTCCGAACCTGGAGTACATGTCGATTACGGCGGTTCCGACCATGACGTTGCGGGAATCGAAACCTAATTTCCGGGCATAGCCGTGAAGCGCCCGGCCGAGGAGGAATCCCTGCGACGGGAAGTGGGCGCAGCCGGAGAACAGAGTGACGAGCGTGATGTGATTTGGCTGAATCCCCGACGCTCGCATTCGAGTGAATTCCGACACGGCCTTGGAAACACGGCCGTGTTTGCAGTGTCGTGCTATGGATGATGTCCACGACGCAGTACTCGATTCTTGCGCGAAATCCGGGTTTTGATCGTCGGGAGGATTATAATTGGCCGGAGTTGGCCGGAAACGCGACTGCGACGGCGACGGCAAGGGAGGTAGCGAAGGAAGCTGGGGTAGGGTAGGTGAGGCAGCGGTAAAGCCCGGCGAACTCATCCTTCCTAATTACAGATAGGTGCCGTTGAGAACTTGAGATGCGAGAAGAGAGTTTAGACTTTCCCAACCGGATTCGAACCGGCTATTCCCGGTTCGAACCGAAACCGACTTTTTCGATTCTGCTACCCTAAACCGCCGGTTCAAACCTAACCTATCTTAGGTGTTATTGATAAATAAAAATTAAAGTTCCGTTGTTTTGTAAATTTTACATATAATTTTTTTATTTAAAAATACAAATTAAATAATTATTTTTAATTTTTTTATATTATATTATAAACCGGCAAACACACCACCGACCTCCCGCCGTAGTCCTCAGCCACGAAGAAATAATTCTCCAGCGGCAGCGCCATCTCCGCCCCGCCCTTAAAATGCAGTATCAATTCCGGCACCATCACCGCCGTCTCATTCCCCGTCACATCAAAACACGGCCGCAGCCCCGTCACCGCCTCCAACCCGCCGGCCCTGCCGTACCCCCTCACCGCGCCGCCCAAACGCCGCTGCCAAAACCCGCCACCGCCAATTCGCCATACGGAACGCCAACTTTCTTGCCGCCGACCGTCATTTTCCTCAGTTCGAAGTAGTAGTACTCTGATAGTCCCCTCTTTCCCGCCCCGCCGGATTCTTCAACTCCGCCATCTTTCGGCAGGAATCCGACTCCGAATCCATCGTCAAATAGCTTCTCCGGTGAGTGTTATCGAACTTATGCGAAACCATGCAGTACGAGAATTTCTTCAATCCTAATTGCCTCTTAAGCAACGAAACTCCCCGGCCGAATCTGGCGACTCCGGCGGGCTGATTCGACGAAAAATCGAGCATCCGACGAGAAATCTGGCGAATTTCCGGTCCGGAAAGTTAATCGTTTCGACCATCGCGATCCTCCGGTCGAGCCGGAGCCGTACAAGAGAAAGTACGGCGGGCAAATTATTTCGCATAAAAATATAATTAAATTAAGTATTATTATTTTACTTTAAAAATTACCTATGTTGTCAAATTTTAATTTGTGAAAATTTATTTTTGAAATTAATATGTAAATAAATAAAAGTGGAATAAAAGTGATGTAATTATTAAAAATTAAATAATATATGTGAAATTTTTTTTAGAGAAAAAAATTAAAATGAATTACAGTGAAACTAAAATATCTAAAAAGAATTGAGAGAAAATAAAAGAATACATTGAAAATGACCTAAATATCATAATTAATTTTAGAATATAATTATATTTTAATATACTACGGATACTATAGTAATAATCCATACAATACCGTCTATGTTGATATGTACGTAGTATTAATAATTTTGTATGTCATACATAATTGTTTAATATGATTTATCTTGCAGATTATTAAGTCTAAAAAGAGTAATTACTGCATATTTCAATCCTATATTAGATAATTCTCTTTATAATTTTCAAAAGAAATAAGAATAAACTGAGATGAAAAATATATATCGATGCAATGTTTTGAAAATAATAAAACATTGGTTCAACTAGAAAATTTTAAGCAACTCACGAGCGATACAAAACCCAATCACCAGGTGGATAAACTACGATGTAATCCCGGACAGTTGGCTCCTAAATGTATATCACACCCGAAGAATCACCCGTGAAATGCATGCTAAAGATGAATCATCGAAAAAATAGATAAACAAAGTAGCGTATACGTCGTCTAGGTGAAGGAGAAGTCATCTCCTTCAACTCAGAAGCAAATAGTTGGCAAGGAGCTTCGATCTATTCATAAAACAAGGATAAAAATGGCGTGTCGAAAGCATAGTATATAACTACAACAAGAATATAATCCTATCCAATAGATAGTATATACGAATCTTTTAAATACGTGCTAAGAATTATATATAGCGCATAAAGTACTAAGAAATAATAATGCTTTGTAATAACATTTGACACAAATGCCACAACAAGATTCGATCTATTCAGAAAACAAGTGTAAAAATGGCGTGTTGAAAGAATAGTATATAACTACAACAACAAGAACGTCCCAATGCCCAATCGAATTATCCTATCCTATCCAATAGATAGTATATATATCTGAATCTTTTAAATATGTACTAAGAATTGTATTTTGCACACAAAGTATTAAGAACACTTTGCAATAACATTCGACCCAAATTGCAAAACAAGATTCGATCTATTCAGAAAACAAGGATAAAAATGGCGTGTCGAAAGGATAGTGTATAACTACTACAAACAACAAGAAGATCCCAATGTCCACAATTAAATTATCCTATCTTATCCTATTCAATATGTACTAAGAATTATATATAACGTGCAACGTATTAAGAATACTTTGTAATAACATTCGACACAAATGTCACAAGAAGATTCGATTCAGTCACCTGGAGGAGATTGCCGGTGATCCATGCTGCCTGCAAGCAACAAACTTGTGAAGATTACCAACAAATCAGTTCCACAATCATTTCTCCTGATTGGCTTTCTTCCCTATCCATTTTGCAACCACGGCAGTAAGAGCTACGGTGGGTGGAAATCTAATGGGAGATGTAGCCTTATGGGCGGCATAAGCCAGCGCAAAAGTCCCGACTTTCTCCCCTGTTTCATTCGGAGAAATCCCGACCTGGTTTTGGACCAACAACAGGATATATTTATCAATGCCCTCTTCATCAACAAGCTACAAAAATGGCTAATCCATGGGTATCTCAGTGTGTGTATGTGTGTACCTTCTGCAGCAATGATTGTACATCTACACCAGAACTGATCAAAGCATAGCATAGCCCGAAAGATATCAAGGAAATTGTGATTGAAGTGGCCAAATATGCTCCTCCATATTTTGTTAGAAGTTCCTTTGCTTGGTCGCCTTTTGATTTCATATTCTCCTTGTTTTCTTCGTTTTCTTCTTCTTTAGATGAAAATATCTATAATCAAGAGAAGTTTCATGGCTGAATAGGCTTAGAGAGATGCTCAATTTTGTACAGATGCAAAGTTGTGACGAGATTTTACAGAGGACTTTCCAATTTCTTCACAAATTCTTCGTTTCGCTGCAATTAATTTAAGAAACCAAAACCTAACCCTAACACTAACCCCCAAATTGGTTCCTACTTCAAAGCCTGATATTGAAACATGGGACGATTTTCCCCCAAATTGAAGACAGGCGAAGTAAAACAGAGGAAAGAAGACGGCAAATTACCTTCCAGAGACCAGCTTCGAGGCCATACTTGCTCACGACGTCTTCCGCAGACGAGGGGGTATTAGTTTCCTCTATTTGCTCCTTCACTGCTCTAACCCTGAGCCTCCTGCAGCGATTGGAAGTTATTCTGGAAATCGAACCGTGAAATTTGCTGACATCGCGATTTCGCAGAGAATCTGCAGAAGCGACGAATTTGTTGCAGAAACATTGAGAAGTGATTTGAAGAAGCGATGAAGCCATTGATGAGCAGCGGAAAGCTGTTGCTTATCAGTTATCTCTGCTTCGCAGTTTAACACGTTTTGTAGCTGCGACTGCAAAGAAGATGCAGTTATTTATTTATTTATTTTTGCAATATATTTTAATGAGGACAATATTTTTATCGCAAATGTAGAAAATATTGCGTGGTTATAAACCTATAGTATATAAAATGTTCGATTTGTTCTATTTTACTTTATTTTGAATTATTATAGTAAAAATATTAAGGGTGCGTTTCTTTTTTGTTGAATTTGAAAACATTTGTTTAAAAATTAATATTAAAATAATATTTAATATAATATTTTTTAAAAAATTTTAACTAAGGAAATAGTTTTTTGCCAAAGTTTTTTAGATACAATTTCTCTGCATATATATATATATTATTCTCATAAATGAATATTTAACATAAAATACTTAATTTCTAATATATTAAAAAAAATAATATTTCGTCCCATATTTCATGTCATGTCTATTGTATATAAGAATTTAAGTAAAATATAATCAATAAGTAATTAAAAAATATATTATTAAAATAATTTTTGTATAATAAAAATAATTATAAAGTAAAATTAAAATAACTAAATAATATAATTAAAATTAAAAAAATTATAAATTATGAAATTTAAAATATGATTAAAGTGTGTAATTATATTTGAAAAAAAAAAGACAAATAAAGTGAGACGAAAGAGAATACAAATAAATGACAAAAAAAAGTGGAACAAAAATAATACTCCCTCCGTCATCTATGCTCATTTCACCGGGCACAAGTTTTAAGAAAAATATATAAGAATAAAAAGTTTTAATTTAAAAAAAAAAAGTGATATTTTTTACTTAAAAAAAATGAGAATAAATTTGGATAACAACAAAAAACAAAGTGAGAATAAATTTGAACGACTGATGGAGTAATATTTTATTATACAGTAGAATGTAATAGTTTTTGACACTTTTATTCTTATTTATTAATCAAAATTTTTTTCATAAAATATCAAATAAACTTTTTTCTGTTTTTTTAATCTAACAAAATTTCAAATCAAATATCCAACATAAAAAAATTGACACATATCTAAATTTAATCTAAGTCTAAAGGTATATCTATATCTATATCATATTTTGTCCTTTTCGCGCCAACCCCGCAGTATAAATAAAGGTCGCCTCTCCTCCTCCACATCACTCTCTCCCACAATTCAATTTTCAGATTCAATTTCTGCAAATTCCGATCTTCCCAACAATGTCTTACCACGCTAACTGTAATCCACACTCCATAATTTTTCGAGAGGTTTGGTCGGAAAATCTCGATTCCGAATTCCAGCTCCTGTCGGAACTCGTCGACCGCTATCCATTCATTTCAATGGACGCCGAGCGCCCCGGCTTCATCTTACTGCGGCGACCATCGCCGGAGGGTTTCTACCAACGCCTGAAGTTAATCGCCGGCGAGCTTAAATTCATCCAGCTCAGCCTCACTCTCTCCGACGCCGCCGGAAACCTCCCCGGCGTCGGTCCCGCCGGCGAGCGCTGCATATATATGGAAGTTCAATTTCTCGGATTTCGACGGCGACTTCGACAAGCCGACGATAATGGAGCGGCTGAGAGTCCTGGGGATCGACTTCGAGAGGAACCGGTCCGAGGGGATTGACTCGATCCGGTTCGCGGAGCTGCAACGATGACTTTCCTGGATTGGTCTCCAGAGCGCGTACGACTTTGCGTACCTGGTGAAGATGCTCACGCGCCGCCGCTTGCCGGACAGCCTGGCGGAGTTTCTGGAGGTGATGACGGCGCTGTTTGGGAAGAAGGTTTACGACGTGCAGCACTTAATGCAGGTCGGCCGGAGAAAGCACAGCTTTCTGAAATGGGTTCCATGGACGGCGGCGGTGGGCCGGCCGCTCGGAAGGTGCCACCGGGGTGGGTCCCTGCTGACGTGGCGTGTGTTTATGGGGATGAAGGAGAATCGTCTTGTGGATCGTGAATATGAAATCCACACGGGCGTGTTGTACGCGTTGGAACCATAAAGAGTGGTTATCACGGTTTTTATTATTTATATTCATTTTATTTTTTTTAAATATTACATCAAAAATTATTATTTCTTTTTATATTATATTACAATTTTATTTTATTTTTAAAATATCAAATCAATCTCTATTTATAATTCAAATTCAACCATTTACTGTTCAAAAATTCAAATTTAAAAATTAAAATCCACTAACAAACACACCCGTAGAGTTCAAAGCAGCATATACCAAATAGAATCGGTTTCGGATATCCATGTGTTAATAGGATCGGATCTCTGATACCAAAATACCCATGTGGATACCCACTCAACAAATCCTACTATTTATTTTTTTTTATTTTTTATTTTTATAATGTGGGAATCCGCAGTCGTTATTCGAAAGTGTATACTGAGTAAATTTTTTATCGAACCTAATACCATGTAAACTATGTCCGATAAGACAAGTTCCACTAGGCAAATCATGTGTGACAAGTTCTACTACTTGATGTTTAATTTAGCCGTTTTGGTTGTTTGATCAATTTTAAATATTAATACATTAATTTAAAATATTATTTTTATATTTAAAATAAAAAATAATTTGTTTTACTCTATTTTGAATTTATTACCTCATTGAATATATATTTGTAACACATAAAGAGTAATAAAAATAACATAGATAGCATTTTGTTTAATGTATTGTTTTGTAAATTTATTTTTCACATTTCAATTTCACATGAATAAATTCCAAGTTACCCAAAAAAAAATATATGAATACTTGTATCGTATGAAAATTATTTTTTAATTCTAAGAGCAACATCTAATAAATGAATCTTTGCGCCGCTATCGCAAATCTCCTCGAACGCTTTATAAATGATTTCATGATGTTCCGAAGAGTTCAGTTGTAGAAAACATTCGAGGAGTTTTTGCAACTCGACTCTCGAATAGATTTCTCTTTCCACTATCATTTGAATCATCGATTGTTGGAAATCACCATATGGATCGTCCGAATCCTTCATGACCACAAAACTATTGTAGATTTGCGGGCTATGGAGGGCCAACCACCTTTCTGATAAGTTGGGAGAATCATTTGTTGACGAGCATATCTGAGGAGCGCTAATGTCTTGTGAAATTTAGAGAGGAGTGACATTTTTGACTAAATCAATTTTTATGTTGTCGAGTTTCACATCCAAAGATGATGCAGGAAGAGTAGAAATTTGGGATTTGGGCTTTGGTGAGTGAACATTTGTTGCGCTATTGCATCCACAACTTCCATTTGTCGTGAAAATGTTCTTGAATTTTCGTAACTTGCTTGGGGACATGTAGAACGAGCGATAGTAAAATAGTGACAATTGCAAATAAAATTAATTTTGGAGATTTAATAAATAAAAAAATATTATATAGATTTTGAGAATGTTATGTCGATGATTTTGCGAATTTACCGTGAAAAAGAAAGAGAATTATTTAATTATGATTTGAAGATTAATGTAATTTTAATATTATATAAATTTTGAGAATGTTATGTCGATGATTTTACAAGTTTACCTTAAAAAGAAAAAAGAGAATTATTTAATTATGATTTAAAGATTAATGTAATTTTAATATTATAAGCTCATTTTTATAAGTAAATTTAATAATGTTATTTTTTAATGATATTTCTCTGTATTTAAAGTATTGCAAATTGATTGTTCATAATAAGAAGAAAATGAAGTTAATATTATTTTTCTTCATTTTTAAAACTGAATTATAATATTATCAATTGAACATCATTTTTTTGTTATTTATTTTCAATTAATTACTTAAAAAATTGGCAGTTAATGCAATGAAATTTAGATAGGTATCAAAAGAGTATTGGCAAAATTATTCTCGATTCAACTTTACTCTATGAATGACTATTTTCGGGTGTGTTTTTGTATATAAAGTGTGAGGAATATTTATTTTAAATATAAGAGAACATATTAATAATATAAATTAAAAAATAATACTCCCTTCGTCCCATAACAAAATATCTATTTTTTTTATTTTAATATGTCCCATAACAAAGTATCTATTTCATTTTTTTAGTAACTGTATTATCTACTTAACGTTACAAATACCCTTACAACTTACAGTATATTATACAAATGTCATTACATATCACACGTACTAATAAGGTTATTTTAATCATTTCTACTTTATTTCTACTATATCCCAATATAATACTAATATTTCTAAAACTACACGGCAAAAAGCAAATAGATATTTAATTTCGGGACGGAGAGAGTAAATTAATAATAAAATTAATTTAAACAATGTTATCATTTATTAATAATTATTATTATTTGAATAATTAAACAATTAATTTACCGTAGTTTTGTACACATTTGTTAAATCCATATATTGATATTTATAATTGACCAAAGAACCAAAACGGCAGCGGGTATCCAAATGGGTATTTTGGTATCCGAAATCCGATCCTATTAACATATGGATACCCGAAACCGATTCTATTTGTGGTATCCGCTGCCTTGAACTCTATAAGTTAATTTAATTAAATAATATTTAATTTAATATTTTTTATTAAAAAAAAACAAATATTTCTATTATATTTCATTTTAAAAAATATTCTTAATGGATCTTAACAAAGGTTACAAAAATATGTTAAATTCATTCGAAATTAATCTATGAATTTTATTTATTTATTTATTTTAAAGCAATAATATGGAAAAATGTGGGCCGTTGGATTAACGGATGGATGACTATATATACGGTGTTTCAATCAAACTCGATCAATAACCGCACCCTTTCTGATTCGTGCGAGAATTCTCCAGAGTGCAAAATCCAGAATTCGATTCACCGGAGGCCGATCCGCATCCGAAGATGAACGACGCCGACGTTTCCAAGCAGATCCAGCAGATGGTCCGTTTCATCCGCCAAGAGGCGGAGGAGAAGGCCAACGAGATATCCGTTTCCGCCGAAGAGGTAATCTTTTATACATATGTGTGTATAAATGTATTGCTCAATTTGTCGGTCGAAATTCCGCGCGATTATGATTTACCATTGTTAATTCGTGATTTTTTTGGTTCGATTCTTCGTTTCTGCAGGAATTCAATATCGAGAAGTTGCAGTTGGTGGAAGCTGAGAAGAAAAAGATCAAGCAGGAGTATGAGCGGAAGGAAAAACAAGTTCAAATCCGAAGGAAAATGTAAATATTGTGATTTACGCTTCTTTATGCATATATACATATATATATATATTTATATATATTTCTTCAATTGTTAATCACTCCACAACGTTTAGTTTTAAGAAGATAATGGTGAATAAAGTCTGTTTAAATTTTCTATTTTATTTAGTCTTGTGATATCTGTATTGAGAAATTGCTGCCTGAAATCATCCAAAATCTTCATCCATTCCTCTAGACATAAGAATTGATGTTTTACCTTCTTTTTATATGCTTCATATTTGGTAAGATCTGAAAAGTTCTGGCAAAATATCATTAGAATTGTTTCCTCTGGTTTTACTGATAACCGCAGAGTATATAGGATATGATTTATGGATGCTGAATTATATCTCTTATATCGAATGTCCTCTGAATAATTGATATGTTGGTGCAATGTTTTGTATGTAGTGAGTACTCTATGCAACTGAATGCTTCCCGGCTCAAGGTTCTTCAAGCTCAGGATGATTTAGTGAATGAAATGAAGGAGGAAACATCGAAGCAGCTTTTGAATGTTAGCGGTGATTCTAATTACAAGCAGCTCCTGAAGAATCTGATTGTTCAGGTTTGTTGAGAATCCTATATGTGTTTTATGTGCGTATGAGTTCATTCGGTGGCCGTTGTTTAGGTGAAAAGGATAGCAGCAGTTAAGATAGTGAAGCTTTAGAACAAGAGAGAACATTTACAACTTAACTTTATTATTTCTTTTTTTTTTTTTCATTTTGCATGTTTATTCTCTTGTCATGCGTTTGCCTAAGGTTTGCATCAATATAGTCTCCCTGTATGAGGGATGTTTACGATAACTTTGCAGTGGCGAAACCTGTTTGTTTATATTGTGTTATGGATTTGAAAACTTTTAATGAAAATTAGGTTTTAAATATGATATTTTGAATGAAAAAAATTAAGTGTTGAATTGACGCTTTGAATGAAGATAAACAATTTTACTATAGATTGCATAGTATGAAAACAAGATAAAAAATACGAACAAACACACTACTAGTATATCCCTTTTAATTTTGTTATAAGCATTATACCATTTTATTTCTTCATATATATATATATAGAACAATCCATCTCCATCCCTACTGATTATGCCTCTTAAATCTTGTGGGTTATATTTAGAATTTTCGTTTACACTTATTTTGTATTCCTTCGGGCTAAGTTTCAAATTCTTACAACATACATTTATGCAATTCAGGGGTTGCTCAGGCTTAAAGAGCCGTCTGTGTTACTGCGCTGCCGGAAAGAGGACTTAGCCTTGGTGGATTCTGTCCTGCAGTCCGCTAAGGATGAGTATTCCGACAAGGCAAAGGTTCATGCACCTGAGATCATAGTTGACAATGTCCACCTTCCACCCGCTCCTTCTGAAAGGAATGAACACGGGCCTTCCTGGTAATACCGCTGCAAAAAATTATTCGTTTCTTTAATCGGTAGAAACATTTAGAAATGTTGCCCGGTGCTAGAACTGAGTTTAGCAATGAATTAGAAACTTCATGATTAGAAGAAAAAAATAAAATAAAGACCTACAGTTGTTGTATTCTGGCAATAAGGTAATTATTTTTCTGTTTTCAGTTCGGGAGGCATAGTGTTGGCTTCTAGGGATGGGAAAATTGTGTTCGAGAACACTCTCGATGCTAGGCTGGATGTTGTATTCCGCAAAAAGCTGCCAGAGGTGCGCACAGCTTATTCTTTTAATGTCTTCCTTCACCTACCCATTTGCTGCAAAGACTTCTCACATTCCTTATTGATATATCAAATCACGGACTAGAATTCTACATTGGCTCCTACTTTTTGTTTCTCGCATAAAATACATGGAAGTTTTCGAATAACTGAATCAGGGAGCAGTCTTTCTAAATCTGTTCAAAAACACTTACCACAGGGAAACTTAAAATTACAAAGAAAGCATTGTTTTATGTATGTGCACTTACTAGTTTGTTGGATTGGCATTGCAAATTTGTTTCAATTATAAGATCAAATATTATCAGTCTCCTAATAGATTCTATAGAGCAAATTATGTCGCCGTCATCTATAGTGTGTGTAAATTTTATTGCATAATTTACTCATGTATTAGCAAATATAGTGCATAGAGTTCCCATATTTGTACACAAAATCCTTACCATATACGAGTTCTGTGCATATTTTTTCTTGGCACGAAGATAATGCAGTAAAATTTACACTGGACGTTTTATACAAAGGAACGGTTAGGATGCTTATTAGGGCTTAATTAATCAACACATGAAATACAAAGAAACATATGTTGTAGTAGTAAATTGTTGGTATGTATTGCATGTTCTATTGACGCCTTAAAGATATATTATTATCGCATGATGTCAGATTATGTGTTGTATTTATATTATGTTAACATATACCTTATACTTTCACTTTATACTTTTCGTGCAGCTAGTTTATATTTCTGTGTGTTGTCAGCGCAATGCTAACTGATTACACTCACAATAGAGTAATCACAGTTATTGTGCATATATGCTAAAAACACGCGAAATATATATAATATCCCGTCATATGTGCCTTGTGATTATAGTCTTCTTGAGTAGAACATCTTCAGATTGTTTATTGATGACCTGAAAATATACTTTCATTTTAATTGCAGATCCGCCGGAGCCTCTTTGGTCAGACTGTTGTTTAAATGTTGGAATCGCACTCCTTGTATGTATTACGATCTTGTGTTAGTTTGGTTATTTTGTTCTTTTTGCGATATTCACTCTTCTCCTGCCTAGCTGTTTCCGAGTTCCTGGGTAGCAGCAGCAGCAGCAGCAGCGGCGCACACTCATTGTTACCCTGTGCTTTATTCTGTCAAAACTGCCGGCTCAGGTGACATTGCTCGATTTTCTTGTTTTTAAGTGGCATCTCTATTTATTCCAGTTTGCTTTTCTACAAATAATTATGTTGAGAGATGTCCGGACAATGCGTGTGACAATAAATCACATCGAGGGAGGGAATCGATGTTATTTGAATTGTTGGATGTTTGCTATGGCCGCTTCGATTACACGACAGCCGTTTCAATAACCATCATTACATTCAATGTTGTTGGTCCCAAATTCGTCTAACGAACAGCAATTAAACCCAGCACAAACACTCCCATACTCCCAGAGAGATTTAGCTGTTATCTGATTCACACACGTAAGCTTAATAATGAAGCATTAATGTCTCGAGGAATGGCCCGGTGGTGTAGGAAGTGAACCTGACAGTGAAGTCATGAATTCAAACTTACTATGCCTCCAGGTCCACCTGCCACACATGGTTTGTCTAATGTGATTTGCTTTGTCGGGCCTAGTTTACAAGGTATTAAATTCGACCGGAAGTTTACTCGGGTGTGCATTTTCGAATAGCGACTGCGAATTTTCACATAAAAAAAATAAAATGTAACATCTGGAGGTTTCAACTTAAGAAATATTACGCTCCAAGAAACACAACTTGATCTTACCATTTTCGACAATATTTCAAGTTGCACAACATCGAATCGAATGAAATCAATTGTATACGTACCAGACTCAGAATTCCTAGTTGTATACTCGCCGCAATCATTCCGGATCTTTCCCCCCTCTTTCGGATCGAGAATCCAATTCCCACCACGCCCTGTCATTTCCCTCTCCCAAAACAGATCCTCTCGACTCATCCGAACTACACCACCCGGCATCCAACCCCTCAATTTCATCAAAATAAATCTTCTTATCCGCCTCCGGATCATACCTCCATTCCAATCTCCGCAACACATTCTGGTCCTTCCATTTCCCAACAACCGAACCCGACTCTTTCTTAGCTTTCCCCCTCAAAATTTCCCACCAAGAAAATGAAGCATCGGCTGTCCTTTTAAGCAAACCTTCATTGGCATCACCAACAACGACTGTTTTCAAACGCCTCAATCTCGCTTCTTGCAAAACCCCGACAAAACCCGAATCATCCGACACAAGAAACAAACATTTAACTTCTCTTTTATCCATCACATCCACCATGTGATTAATCAACATAACATCAGGCTTATCCGAAACTACACTAACCCGAAACCCGGCCCGTTTAAGCTCATCCGAAAAACCATACCCGAGTTTTGGGGCCATAAGATCCCTAGCAGCTTTTCTATACTTATCCATCTTCATAGCATACTTTGCAACAAGATTCATCCTCCGACTCCCTCGCGCTGTCTCGATCTGATTCATCCGTTTCACATGCTCGCTCTCGTGAATTTGCTTAAAATGATTTACGAGCTTCTCATTAGTGTAAAATCTCCTGCCACAAACTCCACACACATACGGTTCGACAACCTTTGTCCCTATCTCATTCGATGCTTTCCTTTCTCCTCTTTGCGAACTAATCGAAGGAGGGACATAACTATACAAATTACGATCGGCATAAGCAATCATATGTTTAACAAATCCAAATCCTTGGGCAGTGTTCTTTAGCCTAGTTGCTGCATCGTACGGAAGAAACGGCTTCGGTGGCTTATTAACTAGATCCCAAAAGATTGCTACATTGTTAGAAATACCTCTCTGATCTAAACTTGAATTGGAGAATGAAGTTTTAGGGCATCCAAAAAATGGACATATTGATTGTAGGGATTGAATCCTTTTTGCTAACTGGAATTTAACTAAAGCCATAGCCAGATGTTCCTAGGAAAACCTCAAGTAGAAATCATATATTTCGAACCAGATTTGAACAACTCCTCAAAATGATCTGTTCAACAAAAGTTACAGGACAATCAGCTGGATTAATCATACAAAACCTGTAACAGAATCGAGCATTTGATTAACATCTTTAATCCGAATTGACTTACAGAAATACAAATCATTCGTTGTTTAAGAAATTTCACCACAGCAAGCTAAATTTATATCCATAGAGAGGTGGATTTTCGCTTACCTCAAGTAGAAACCATAAATTTGGAGAAAGGATTTGAACAACTCCTCAAAATGATCGGTTCGACGAAAGTTAGCGACAATCAACTGAATCAATCATACACAACCTGTAACAGAATCGAACTATATTGACTTACAGAAACGCGAATCATTCGTTGTTTAAGAAATCTCACCACAGCAAGCTAAAATTATATTTTACGGAGAGATGGATTTCGATAATATACTAAAACTATAGCACAATTTTCAGATTTCACAACTCTTTACACACAAAACAGCCATTAATTCCGAACCACTATATTCCAATTGAAACGATAAGAGGAAAAAAATCTTACATGTGAGGAGGAGAGGACATCATTGGTACTGATTCGAATATTTGGTTCAGCCATCCGCCAGCTACAGGCGCCGCCGCCGTCGAAGCGGTGGTTGGAGGGAAAACGTGGGCTAGGAAATTGAGGGTGCAGATCATCTTAAGAAATGGGCTACGGATCGTTCCAGTTGGAAAGTTGGGTCGAGATTAAGAATTTATAGTCGTGTTCTTTGGACTTGCTTTGAGCGAGTCTACAACTATTAAAATTTTAAATTAAAATAATATTTAATACTTCGTCCGTCTATAATTTATAAAATTTAAAATATAATTAAAATTTATAATTATATTTTCAAATATAGAAAATGACATTAAGTGAGAAGGAAATAATATTATAATATTTTTCTTTTTTGTTTAATTTATTAAAATAATTAATTAATTTATATATTAAAAGATATACTATCAGGCATGAGCTATGTGGGAGCCCATCGAATTAATAAAATAGCAAGAAACTAATTATTATTAATTAAAATAAATATAATAAAATTATGGCGGCAATCTTCACAATTGAAGCAGAAGAACATTCCAGAATTATTCTCAATTTTCTTATAGAAGCTATCTTGGAATTGGATTTACAATTACGAAACCCTAATTTAGTAGCTAGATTTTGTTCACTCCGAAACCCTAATTCGCAGGGGGGTTCTAATCACTGTGTTCGAATAATTGAATTTTTTTTGTCTTTCCTCAGATTTCAATAATCGAAGAAACCTCCATGAAGACCGAAGAAAACAGGGGTTCATAAACACAAAACCAATAAAACAACAAATTATGAACAGATGCATCGCGAACTAAGAGAAAGTCGAACTAAATTAAACGCAATAAAATCGAGGGGGAATTGAATTGCGAAAAGACGAAGAACAGATTGACCTGAAGCTGTTCGACAGGGAAAGGGCCGTGCGCCTCCTCGACCTCCTCCTGCTGCTCCATCAATGGCGGTGAAACCCTCAACTCTGGTGGGTTTTTCGGAGGTATTTGGATGGGCGCCAAAAGCGGGAGATACAAATAGAGAGAGAATCGATCGAATCAAGAAACTTCTCACGAAAGCCTTCGACTTCAATGGTGGATGGAATCTTCAAGTTGGGCCTTTCTCAGCCTTAACTTCAGACGGGCTAATATTGGGCCTTTTTCAGCCTTAACTTCATATGGGTTTATATATATAATTACATAACTGATTAACTTAATTTAAAAAAATAAAAAATTAAAAAAATCTAAATTAAAAAAAATTAAAATAAAATTTTGTTATGTAATTTTTTTTTTTAAAAAAAAGAAACGTGATATGAAGTTATGAACACAATAAATAGAACGAAAAGGATGTTATTTTTAATAGTAAAAATTTTGAATTTGAATAGTTTGTATGATGTAATATAAATAGGCGTCGATGTGATGTTTTGAATATAAAATTGATTTTTAGTAAGTGTTTGATTTTATATTTTTTAGGGAAAGGGAATGGGATGAATAGTGGAAATAAAATCCGATCCCCCGAATAAACACACCCTTAATATATTACTAAAAAATAATAGTAATATAATTTTGGGGGAAAAAAAAAAGTGCTTAAAATGCATGTACAAATACATTCTCTGTATGCCAAACCTTATGTAAAATATATCAATCGAAAATATTGCATTGTCTGCCACTAAATGGACCACATTATTGATTCCACAATTTCTCCCCACAAATTCAATGAAAATATTAATTTCTCTCAATTCCAAAGATATTTTATGAATACAATCACTCTATTCATCTAACGATTTTAGATAAATTAATTTTTCGTATTTTAAATTGAATTTTGACTTTTTTAATAAATATTTGAATTTTTATTTATTTATTACTTCTGTAAAAGTTTGTATAGTTTATTACTCCTTCCGTCTCTGATATAATATCATATTACCGTAGATACGAGAAATTAAAAGAGATATGATTAATAAATAATTATAGATTAAACGAAAAAAAAAAATTAGATAACATGTGTCATAATCTAATTGGTGGAACATAAGTGGCTGAGATCTCTTTCTTAATAAAATATTTATAAGAAAAAAAAATACCATAAATGTAATACTATTTATGTCCAATAATAAGATTACAGTGGACTTTTTGTGTGTTGATCTTCAAATATTAATTATTATATAAATACGTAGTATAAATTAAAAAAAAATGACAAAACTACCTCTATTAGTATCTTATAATACAAATACTATGACATTTATAAAATAAATTATACAAATATTGAGATATCTTTAATATTAAATACAATGACGCAGAGAACAAATTATGCAATTAAAAAAAAAAATTGACAAAATTACCTCTATTAACATTTTATAATACAAATGCAATGATATTTATAAAATAAATTATACAAATATCGAGATATTTTTAATATAAAGTACAATGACGCAGAGAGCAAATTGTGTTGATTCTATGGACGTAACAAATATTTCATCCAATGCACCAAATATTTAAAGGTAATGAATTTCACTTATATGTAATATAAATGACCAAATAATGACCCCATCCATAACAAAATGCACACATAGTATTATAACATACAAAAATTTAAGACAAACTACAATCACTCGTCACTCGACATGTCCCGGCCACCCGACGCCAAATCATAAATCGACCAAACTCCCAAATTCAATTCGATTGAGCAAAATAATTGATTTGTTGATTCGCAATGCTAAATCCTCCGTCGACGACAAGATTATGACCGCTCACATACATAGCCTCGTCGCTCGCCAAATATAGAGCGGCCTCAGCAATATCCTCCTTGGTCAAAATTTTCCCATTAAGATAAGTATACGCATTCTCAAAAGCACTATCTGTATTTCCAACCAGATCCCTCGCTAAAGGAGTATCCACCAAATACGGTGAAATACTATTCACACGAATTCCATAACTTCCCAATTCAACCGCAGTATTCTTAGTAAGTCCAACTATTCCAAACTTCGAGCTCGTATAGGCATGCGGGCCCGAGGCCGCGACCACGCCGGCCACGCTAGCCGTCATTATTACGCAACCACTGCGATTAGGAATCATTACACGGGCAGCGTGTTTAGTACCAAGAAAATAACCGACCAGGTTAACTTTTATGACATTCTCGAAATCGGATTGCGTGCTTTCTAGAATGCTCCGTTTGGGCTCGCCCGCGACGCCGGCGTTGTTGTGCATTATGTCGAGCCGGCCGAATTTAGAGACGGCAGTGTCAACGGCGTTTTTTACGTCGGATTCTATGGTGACGTCGCAGTGGACAAATATCGCCGAGGATGAGCCTAAATCATTCGCAACTTTTTGTCCTAGATCGTCTTGGATGTCGGCTATTACAACCTTAGCTCCGTGTTCGGAAAATAGCCTAGCCGTCGCCTCGCCGATGCCGCTGGCGGCACCTGTTATTAGAGCTACTTTTCCTTCTAACCTGAAAATAATAAAAATTATTTATATGAAAATATAAAAGAATATATGTGTATGATTAAAAAAAAATAAAAAATCAAACCTTTTCACAGATGTCGAAGCCATGGAAATATATGTATATGTATATATATGTTGATTTTCTTATTAATTTTTGTGTACATTGTGAGGTGATCATTGAGCCATTATATATATATAGTGCAAAGGCAATTGGCCATGGCTATGGTAGTCAAAAGAAAAAAGACAACATTGATAATAAACGTGATTGTATTGAATTGCTACTAAAAAAAAAAAAAAAAAAGACAAACATTGATTATAACGTAATTGTATTGAGTTGCTACTAGTGAAACGTGGCAATCTATAGTGGTTCTATTAAAAAATATCTTTGAGTTGTTGCTTCAAATCGAATCCTATTCGAAAAAATTGAACTCGTTCGATCCAAAAATTTTTAAGTTCGAATTTTTTGAAAAAATTAGATTAATTCGAATTCGAAATAACAAAATTGAGTTTAATCAAAAATCAAGTTTCGAATTCACCTGGTAATTCAAAATATAAAATTTACAATTTATATTATTTTATGAAAAAATAAAATAATATAAAAAAGTTTAAAAATTATGAAAATAAACAACATACTAATTATTTTCAAGTATTTGGTTCAGTTTCATGTCTGTTTTCAAAATTTGGGTCTATTTTGTGTCACATTGTTTGGGTTCATTAGATTATCAAATCAGCCGAAACAAAATAAGATTAATTTGAACCTTACTAAAAAAAAATTCGTGTTGTGTTCACGTTTTTTAAAATTTCGAGTTGAAAATTGGGCTCGGGTCGGGTTCAGTAACTTCAGTTCAATACATTTTTTTGTTATATTCACACTCCAATCCGACACGAACACGATCCGAAAACACGAATGGACACCCCTAGGGCCGTTGGTGCATTCTTATTTATTTTTGTGATTAGTAATACTATCTCTCTCAATTCAAATAGGTCATTTGGAATTTTGCCGTTGATAAAAAATAATAATATTTTATTAGTTAGTGAAAATATATAAATTATTATATATTTTTTATTTGTACTTTATGCATAAATTAATTGTATATGTTACAATATATTTATAATTTATGTATAATTTAAATGGTATTTTGATATTAGTGTATGATTACTTTTAATATAATAGAAAATAGATATTTTAAGTGAGACATACGAAAATAATAAAAATAGCACTTTTAGTTGAGATAGATATAAAAATTTTAGATTTGAGATTTGATCATTGAAATTTTTGAATTGGAATAGAGGTATAATGTGATATAAATAGGTGTTGATATTATATTTTGAATATAAAATTAATTTTTAATATAATATAAAAAATAAAAGAATAAGTGTTTGATTTGATATTTTTGAAGAAAAAATTGAAAAATAATAAAATTAGGACAAAATCTTATAAAAAAACACATGCATAATACAAAATAATAATAAAAAAATTACGTGGTGTGTTTACTTATAAGATTTTGATTTTTAGTTTTGATTTTGAATAGTAAAATTTTGAATGGAAATAATAGTTTGATGTGTTGTAAAATTTAATTTTAGTGTAATATAATAAATAAAAAATAGATATTTAATTTGATATTTTTGGGATTAAAAAAATTAAAATAGTAAAACGGAAAAACAATTCTCACAAGTAAATACACGTTTTTATACGATATTTTGCATATTAAATTAGACTTTGTTTTTGTAATGTTACGAGTTTAATTGTTTGTCCAACTAAATTTTTATGGACACTGTTCTCAATATATAGATATAATATATTCATTTTTTAAAACAAATAATATTTAAAACAAAAAATTATTTTTATATTATTAATATAATTTTTTATATTTTATATTAAAAATATTATTTTAAATTAAAATACTACTTTTTAGAAATATTAGTATTATATTGGGATATAGTAGGAATAAAGTAGAAATGACTAAAATAACCTTATTAGTATGTGTGATACAAAGGTAATGATATTTGTGTAATATATTGTAAGTTCTAATGATATTTGTAATGTTATGTAGAAAGTATAGTTACTAAAAAAAATTGATACTTTTTGTTATGAAACAGAATAAAATAGAAAAATGGATACTTTGTTACGTGACGAAAGGAGTATATTTTTTATAAAGAAAATAAAAAAATAGAATAGTAAAACCCTCACAAACAATGTTTGGTTGGCTTTTCGAATTCGACTGAAACCATAATTCCAATTTCTCTTTTTTCTTTTTTAATAATATTATACTATATGAATCTACTCAAAATTCATTTAATTTTTTTTTTTATATTTTTTTAATAAACAAATACATTTATATTCATTTAAAATTCTCTGTTTATTTACAAATTAAGCTCTGTTTATCGTAAATAAAAATTTATATTTTTTTACTTATTATATTATATAAAATCTTATTTTTTATAAAATAATAAATTTATATATTTTATTAAAATATATAATTACTAAAATAATGTGTGTTTGTTTAAAGAATTTTGTAAAATATTCACTATTTATCCAAAAAAAATTCTTCAAAAATATTAAACTAAATATTTATTTTTTATATTATTTAAAAAATTAATTTTATATTCAAAACTATTTATATCACTTACAATTATTTTAATTCAAAATTTTTACTATTTTAAATCTCTAACTCAAACTCTAAACCTCCCAACAAATACACCACACATTTTTTTTTCAATTTTTTTAATCTTATATATATTAAATCATAAATGAAATATTAATTAAAGATATTAATTTCAATAATCCAATATGTAACAAACAACTTTAAACTAAATAATCCAACCGCTAAACAAACCCAGTTCGGCGGCGTTCTTACACGCAGCGCAATTCGACTGTTCTTCTTCTTCATCTTCCACCTGCCATCCACAGTCATATCTCGTCCGCAGCTGCCCCGCTCTCCATTTTAACTTTTTTCTATATCCACCGGCAGCACTCCAATCGACTCCCAAGCGATGTCTTTTCAGCTTCTATTCCAGTCGAATATTGGCGACCCGATTCCGTTCCGAAACTTCGCTCAATATCTGCAATCCTGTGCTTAATTTCTGTTAATTTTGAGTTTCCCATCCATTTCGGTAAGTATTCTTCCCTAATTTAAGCTGATTGATTCACATTTTACGGTTTTCATGCGTGAATTAGTGTTATTAGGGTTTACTTGTGTTTGATTGGTCTTTGTGCTTCCTTGTTTCCGCTCTACTATTTTTTAGCGTTTCAAGTTCATTTGCACTCCCTGGTATTGTTCTGTACGATTCGTAATTTCTCTGTTGTGCATTTTCGGTAGGATATTTGGGATGAACTTAGTTGAATTTCAATTGAGTTTGAGTTAATCCAGATTGGGTGTGTATAGTGATGATTTGAGTTCCCTAACTAATGGCATTATTGCTTTAATTGTTTGGAGATTGTCAATTTTGAATTTCAGTTTTGGGATTGCTAAATTTTTTTGATTGAAATGAAGTTTAAATGAAAGTAGGCCTTTGATTTGCTGATTTGAGATCGAAATGAAGTTTAAGTGAAAATAGGTTTTTGATTCGATTCTTTGAGATTGAAATGAAGTTTAAATGAAAAATAGGCGTCTTATTTGACGATTTGGGATCGAAATAAAGTTTAAATGAAAATAGGTTTTTGGTTCGACGATTTGAGATTGAAATGAAGTTTAAATGATAATAGGCATTTGATTCGATTCTTTGAGATTAAAATGAAGTTTAAATGAAAAATAGGATCTGGGATCGAAATAAAGTTTAAATGAAAATAAGCTTTTGATTCAATGATTTGAGATTGAAATGATGTTAAAGTGAAAATAGGCGTTTGATTCGATGATTTGATAGATTTGAGACGGAGAATGGCGGCGTTTTTAAAGGCCGAGCTAACAAAAGTGGCAGCCGAGGCCGAGGCTAAGTCTATTTTGGACTCAAATTCGTTCGACTCGTCTCGATTCATAAGCTGCAATGCGCAATCTGTCGCTTCTTCTTTTAAAAGTAAAGGTCTGGTTGTCGATCGGGGTTTCAATCCATCCCATTTCTCGGCAAACTTCAAAACATGGTTAAAAGCAAGAGGAATGTTGCGGCTTTTCACGAACCCTTCAAATTCCTTCTCGAGGCAATTAGTTCGCGAATTTTACGCCAACTTTTTCGAAGGTCATGATATCGAGTCCGTGTTCGTTAGAGGGAAATATGTGAATGCCGGAGCGGCGGCCATTAATGCGTTTCTTGGGGTGTCGGCGCAGCCGCGAGTTCTCGACGAGCTTAAGGAGTTTTCGACGCTAACGGGTAATGAATTATTGGCTGCTTTCGAGTTAGTTTCTAACGAACCGGTTGTCGTCGATAACAAGCTGAAGTGTACGTCGATTAACGAATCCGCGAAACAGTTGTTACAATGGTCGCTGTCGAATCTGTTGTGTACGACGCATTGGACGATTATCTCCGCGTATACTCTGTTTCCGGTGATCCGAATTTTGCAGGATAAAGACGTCGATTTCGGCGAACTTATCGTCGCCGATATGCGTGAGAGGGTTAGGACGGGACGGGTCTCGTTGGGCCACGGTTATCTGATTAATGAATTGTGTAAGAAGGCCGGTGTAGTTGTCGATCGCTCGGAGTTGGATGTCGAGCCTTTGTCCGCGATATTGTTACCGTCGACGTGGGTTGAGTCTCTCGGCGTAATTTCTTCGCCTCCGGTTACTCGTCGACAGTCGAAGGCTGCCATCGACGGCGATCGACGAGGAAATCATGGATGTCGAAAGAAACCGATTTCTATCGATATTTGGTACGACGACGACGAGGGCCTCTTATCGGAGAAGAGGCTAAATAAGAAGGCGCGTCGGGACGTTACGACGACTAAGTACGGAAAGACGGGTGAGGGAACCGATTCTCCGACGGATGTCCGGGAATCAACTCCGGCGAGTATCAACGTTCAGTGCGAGGAATTGGACGCGGCGTTCGAGCAATATTCGCGGGATTTGGACGAGCTAAAGGCGAAGATTGAGGTTATGAAAGCGAATCGGGGGCGCATACGATTTGCGCAATGGTTAGCAGCTATTCGTATTCAGACAGTGTTTCGAAAACGGTTAGAACAGCGTTATTTATTGGTCGCGTGTTTTCAACTCCAGAGTTGTATCAGAAAATGGTTGAGACGACGGCGGAGTGCCCGACCGGGACTTGGCGTGGTTTCGGACTCGTCTTCGATGGATTTAAAGGCGGCGGATTCGCGAGCTTGTCTGAATGACAGATTGGATAAGTTGGAAGGCGAAATGGTAGAAGTTAAGGCTCAATTACGAACAATTGTCGAAGGGATGAACAACATAAAAGAGGCTTTGGTAGAGTCTTGTGAGCAAATTGTAAGAAAATTTCGACCAAATTAAGGATGTTTAAGGTAATGTTCACTTTTGTCTTAGTTAATATGTTGTCTTTTTGTAAACATAAATTTAAATTTGTATGGTTGGCGAATCATGCACAATGTTGCATGTGTTGGGACTGGAGAATACTTTCGACACAAGGCACATCCGCAGGTCACAAGGGCGAGTCCACCACTCTGCTTTGGGCTGAGCCCACACGAATTTGTTTTTGGATATTCTTCAAAAGGCCTCATATTAGTGGAATTCACTTGGGACTTATAAGGTTTGAAATTTTTCTTCACAGCTTTCGATGTGGGACTTGGGTTTGGGGCGTGAATGATCCTCGCAAGATTTTTGGGATGTGTTTTGGGTTTAATATAATACTTGTTTTGGGTTTAATATAATATTTTCTTTGTCCCCAATTAATAGGGATATTGAGATATTTACACGTGAATTAAAAAATATTAGTATTTGAGATATGGACATGTAAATTAAAAAATATTAGTATTATATTAATATTGTGTTTAAAAGTGTTTTTAAAAGTGAGAGAGCTTGTTAATAAAAATTGAAATAAAATTATTGTTTTATATGATGTACAAAAATTGCGAAAAGAAATTATTATTTTAGGAAAAAAAAAATATTAGAATACAAATTGTAGAGGGTTTTTCAAAGAAATGGTTATTATAAATATATATATATATATATTATAATTGGTTTCATTCTCCTATAATTTGACATAAATAGAGGGCATGGGATCACCTGTCCAGGGGACTTTCGTGTCGCCCTGTCCATCACATGGGAAGGGGACACATGATAATCTTATTATTATTTTTTTATTTTAAAATTCATAATTTTTTAAAAAGTACACTTTGCCCCATAACAATTTGAGATTCACACTGATTCAATAATGATTAAACGTTATTTACTCTTAAATCGATTAAAAAATCACAAATAGTCGCGGTCGTCTCTTCTGTCCGTCTATCGTCGCTACTGTCGGTTGCTGCACCCAACTCACATCTCTGTCGTCGTTGTGCGCTCTTAATCGTTAGTGTTTGAGAAATTTAAAATTCAGTAAAATTTGAGATTTTTTGCAATTCATATTTTATTTTTTTTGCTTTAGGGTTTAGGATTTGTTGTTCTTGATTCTAATTTAAATACAAGTTTTGGATTTTTCAATTTCGAAAGGGTTTTGATTTTGTCGACTTAGGGCTTTTAGGTTTTGTTGATCTTGTGCTAAACTTTGATACTGTGGCTTTAGTATTGAATCTCAATTGATGTAAAAACTCAAAATAATTCATATAATAAGTTCCTTAAATTTTATAAAATATAAAAACTATACACATGTGTTTCTACAATAACAAATTTTTAGTATTTTTCTTTCTTTGGTGATTATAGACATGTTTTCAACTATAATAAATAAATAATAACAGTAACAATAATAATAATAATAGAGCCTGAAGCAGTAAAAAATAAAAGAACAAAAGAAATAAATTCGTCGGGATATATGCTTTCTGATCACTTACAATACACAGAGAATGACCGAGTATTTGAAGATTTAAAAAAAAAAAAACAAGGCGGGAACGACCGTGAAATTCGAGAGCTTCGAGAAAAGTAAATATAGAAATAAGAACCACCGAGTGTGAATCGCTGGCGAAATCGATGATAAATGTTGAATGAAAAGTAAGTTTAATAATATGAAGTAGAATATACAAAAATGAAGAATTTTATTTAAAATTAAATAAAAAGACATTGACATGGGTTACCCTCCCATAGGATGGACAGGGGTGACGGACAAACCCTCTAGACAGGTGATCCGATGCCTAGATAGAGTGTTGCGTAATTTCTATTTAAATTTGAATTTAAATAATATTTTTATTTAAATATTTTGTAAAAATAAATAATATATTATAATTAAAAATTATGAATCAAATAATATTGAATAATAGTAAAATTGATTAAAAATTCTGATCAAATACACCTTAGAGTTTTAAGCAATTCTAATTTAGAATATGTAAATATTCAATCGGCCACTTTCTTCTCTTTGCAAGCCAGACATAGACATGTCGTAAAATAGTTGACTGATCCTACATATCAACAAAACTTCTTACCACAAATTCTTACAAATCATGATCCATCCACAACAAAAATGCACATAACATCATATTATTCTTACATCCAAAAGTTTCGAACAAACTACAACTCCCTCCAATAATCATTCAAAACCCCTTAATTCATTTGGTTTGAGCAAAATAATTCAGCTTTAAATTTGCAATACTAAACCCTCCATCAACCACAAGATTATGGCCGCTCACATACTTCGCCTCGTCGCCCGCTAGATATAGCGCGGCCTCAGCCACATCATCCGCTCGCAAAATCTTCCCATTCAAATACGGATACATTTTCTCGCTAACACCATCGATTGCGCCAAACATATCTCTGACTAAAGGAGTATCCACCACGTACGGCGAAATGCAGTTCACGCGAATACCATATTGTCCTAACTCCACCGCAGTATTTTTAGTAAGCCCTACTACGCCATGCTTCGAGCTAGCACTTGCATGTGGTGAGGAGCCGGCAACGACGCTAGCCGCACTAGCCGTCATTAATATGTTGCCATTACGATTAGGAATCATTACACGGGCAGCATGCTTGGTACCGAGAAAATAACCGATTAGGTTAACTTTGATGACATGCTCGAAATCGCTCTGTGTGCATTCAAGAATGCTAGTTTTGGGCTCGCCACTGATGCCGGCGTTGTTATGCATTATGTCGAGCCGGCCGAACTTAGAGACGGCGGTGTCGACGGCATATTTTACGTCGGATTCTATGGTGACATCGCAATGAACATATATGGCCGAGGGGGAGCCCAAATCATTTCCAACTTTTTGGCCTAGGTCGTCTTGGATGTCAGCTATTACGATCTTGGCTCCGTGTTTGGAAAAAAGCCTAGCGGTCGCCTCGCCGATGCCACTGGCGGCGCCAGTTATCAGAGCTACTTTTCCTTTTAACCTAAAAGCAATTATAAAAGTTCGTTAAAAAAGATATATATATATATATATATATAGAGAAAGAACATGAAAATTATGCATATGAACTATTCAACTTACTTTCTCATAGATGCAAAGCAATGGAAGAAAATATTTTAATTCATTTTGTGTGTATATATGTAGTTCAAAGGTAGCACAATTTTAGTGAATGTTACCTCCATAAAGTGACTATATTTATACATACTGAAAAGTTAAGTCCAATATTTATTATGGTATGTGTCATGATAATTTTTATATTGAAAAATTTTATTTATTATAGTACTGATTCTTTTATTGAACACATCATAAATACATAATCAACATATTGTTTCAACTAACCTACACCGCAGCCGTTGTCGCAGGTAGATCTGGAGGTGTCACGACCTTACGATTACAAGTTCACTCTACATCGTTATATCATTTTTTGTTATATATTTATATATTATGCTGTCTGCACCATGTTTAACATAATAACTGCATCCAATAAAAAAAAAAAAAAAAAGAAATTGATTTTATTTATTTTTTTAAAAAAAAATTACACCAAAATTTTGGTGTAAGATAGTTGCTATATGGGAAATTTCAATACAAAATCATTATAACTTTATAAATATCTATGTTGTGGTTTAAAATTGAATTGAAATAAAGTATTGATTTGATTTGAAAATATTTTTTTTTATTGAAAAATATATTAAACAGATAGTATTAATTTTGTTTTTAAATGGTAAAATAACATACCCATAATTTTTCTCTATTAATTTGTAAGTATCTAAATTTTTTATGACATATAATATGTAAAAATATTTTCCAACATATCATATCACTCTATCACCAAAGACACGTGGTAATTTATTTATGACACGTTTGGAAATAGAGGGTGTGTTCGTTTGTAGGATTTCATCCAAATTCTACTATTCATAAAAAATTTTCTCCCAAAAACATCAAATCAAACCCCTATTTTTCATTTTTTATATTATACTAAAAATCAATTTTACATTCAAAACATCACATCAACACCTATTATATCACATCATACAACTATTCAAATTCAAAATTTTTACTATTCAAATCCCAATTCAAAATCCAAACCCCAAACAAACACACCCTAATTGACTCCCCACATCTAGTTTCAAAATTATGGACCCTTCTATGATGGCATACTTTAAAAGTGTAGTTTTAATTGAATTTGAAAGAAGAAATATTAATAATAATAATAATCTTAAGATTATAGTAGTATTAATTAAAGGTAAAATTATATTAAAATATATTAAATTTATAGATAAAAGTTATATATATATATACTTCTTCAATTTTAAGTGAAACTATCAATTTTATCTTTGTCCCGTTCAAAATATATATTTCTTATTATAATAAAAAATAATCTTATACTAATATCAAATATTCTTAATTTTTTACTTATATAAATATATTAGTAGACGTTTATATATATATATATATATAAAATAAAAGGAACATAATATCTTATATATTTCTATTAACTAATAAAATATTATTATTATTTTTTAATCTATTATAAAAATTTAAATTAATATTTTTCTTAAATAATATTGAATTTGAAAATATAAATTTAATCATTATTGAACAAACAAATCTTACATGTGTTAGATCTTACCATTGATATAACAAAAATAAATAAATAGACTATGCTACACGGGCTAGACTATAAAATGTAACATTAAACCTTGATATTATCAATATAATGCACCCAAGCCCCTTACTCTAGACACAAGCTACACTAATTTATTAAATTATTGTTGATAAATATATATCTAGGCGTATGGTATATATTTTATTTGTTTTTTTAGGAGATGAATATTATAATTTGATGGTAATTTGAGGAATTTTTTTATGTAAATATTATTTTACTCTTGTGTCTTAATTTAATTTAGTATTATTGGTGTAAATAAATATAAATTTTAAGTATTTATAATATATTTTACGTTCACTAATAATCAATTTATATATTATATCTGAACAACGAAAAAGTATATATATCTTTCCAACGAACAAAAAATATATACAAGAATACATTATCAATGTGAACAACAATAAAAATACAAATATTTGCCAATAAAAATAAAAATATTATTGTATCTTTGTCATAGCAAGGGGAGAGTAAAATTATCCTATTCAAATAAACTTCATTATTATTATTATTATTATTATTATTATTATTATTATTATTATTATTATTCTCTTCGTGTCACTTATGGTTTTTATTTTTTACTTTAATCTTATTTTATATTTTTTAATTTATAATTTATTTAATTTTAGTTAAATTAATTAATTATCTTAATCTATAATGATATTTATTATACGATAATTACTTTCATTAATATATTTTAATTATTTACTAATTATACACTTCTTAAATTTTTGTGTCTATCTTAACGTGGACACCATAGCCACGATGGAGAAAGTATTATTTTTATTATTATTATCATTATTTTTGGTATTCCAAATGAATTTATTCTTTAAAATTACATATATTTAGCTTCTCATCGATGATCAGAACACAAGACACACATCATATTATTATTTATTATGAAAGTTTCATACAAGGTTGCGGATATGTGCTGATCCGGCTAAATCAGCATGCTCATTTGATCGGATCAACATATGTCATAATATAAAATATATTGAATTATTATATCAACATATATTGTATTTTATAAATACGTTGAGATAGGTATAAATATAGGTTGATTACATCTATAACATATGTTAGATCTTGTCAAATCAACATCATACTGACTTGACTGGATCAATTCATGTCCTTCATACAAACTAACAATGATTCGCACGAATCATTAGAACCTCGCGATTCACTTCGATTGAGAAAAATAATTGAATCCCAATTTCAAATTACTATTCCCTCCATCCACCATGAGATTATGGCCGCTCACATAGCCAACCTCATCGCTTGCTAAATATAGCGCGGCCTCAGCCACATCATCCCGATGCAAAATTTTCCCATTAGGATACACTTTCTTAAAAACATCATCTCCGTAGAAAACCCTCGATAAGGGAGTATCCAACAAATACGGCGAGATGCAGTTCACACGAATACCATGTTGTCCTAACTCCACCGCGGTATTTTTAGTAAGCCCCACTATTCCATGCTTCGAGCTAGTATAGGCATGTGGTGCGCCACCGGCTATTACACTAGACGTACTCGCTGTCATTATTATGCTGCCACTGCGATTAGGAATCATTACACGGGCAGCGTGTTTAGTACCAAGAAAATAGCTGATTAGGTTAACTTTGATGACTTGTTCGAAATCAGTTAACGTGCTTTCAAGAATACTAGTATTGGGCTCGCCGATTATGCCTGCATTGTTGTGCATTATGTCGAGCTTTCCAAACTTAGAGATTGTAGTGTCGACGACATTTTTTACATCGGATTCTGTGGTGACATCACAATGGACAAATATGGCCGAGGATGAGCCCAAATCATTCGCGACTTTTTGGCCTAGGTTGTCTTGGACATCGGCTATTACAACCTTAGCCCCGTGTCGGGAGAATAGCCTAGCCGTCGCCTCGCCAATGCCGCTAGCGGCACCGGTTATCAAAGCTACTTTTCTTTCCAACCTCAAAACAATTAAAACATTTCATTAAAAATAAATAAGTAAATAAAATCAAATCTTTAACGTTAGGTATAATTATACACGGTCAAACCGTCTCACAATTGAACTTACTTTCTTAAAGAAGTTGAAGCCATGCAAATAATTTTAACCCTTAAATTTTATTGTCTTTAACTTATATACATATATAGAGGTAAGAAATTGTCATTTTGTCCATTTAAGCCATTATACAAGTGACACATTGCAATCTCTTTTTAATGCCAGTCATTATATAAATAACTATTTTTTGTTACATAATTTAAATTAAATTAGTATATATTATATGAATTTTTATTATGTTTTGTCGATTCATATCATATATTTATACTCAATAGTGGCATTATACATTAGTAATCTTTGTGTTAAATCAATTATGGCATATTTTATGTAGATAGTATTATAATTTTATATTTTATATATGATTTAATCCTAATCACCATCTTAATTATTCTAACTACTGATTATTATAATATAAAGTTGGCATTTAAAATATTATACTAAAATTTTTATTATTTTATTTCAAAAATAAATAAATAAATCATAAATTTTACTAACCATTCATTCATAATTATGAACCTATTGCCGAAAAATAAATAAACTATCACCAAACGCTAACATGTATAGCCTAGCTAGTCTACACTACACCTAAATTAATAAGTTAACACTATTAAAAAAAAAAAAAAAAAAGTATAGTGTTAATTTAAAAAATTCAAATATATTATATCGTAATAATATCAATCTATTAAATTATTATATAAAACTATTTAGGGGGTGTTTGGCAAATAGCTTTTTGAATAGCTTTTAGCTTATTGAACAGCTTTTAGCTGTTTGACCGGTCAAAAAGCTAATTTAGGTGTTTGATAAATTAGCTTTTTAGAATAGCTTTTTGGACCCAAAAAGTTAATTTCTGAAAAGCTAACTTACCCAACGTTTTGAAATAGTTTTTTCTAAAAAAAAAAAAATTATTCCTTATATATCCTTAAAAATTTATTATGCATTTTACACAAATAAATATATTTTGATTATATTAGAATATTTTATTATAATATAGTTTTACTTTTATAAATTTAAAATAATTAATTTTTATATAAAAATTATTTTAATTGTAAAATATATAAATTTATTAAAATCAACATAAAATATAAAATATAAATATAAATATTAATAATTTATTTTTATATTAAAATTACATTATATAAATTTTATACTAAAAATAAATTAAATAAATTAAATTTATTGAAAATTATAAATATAATGAACTAATCGATAACTAACATAATAAATATATGCACGAAAAATTTATTATTTTATATTTTACATCATTTTCAATAGAAAAAACTATTTACATATTTCAATAAAAATATATTATTTTTTTTAAATCTAACTGTAATAAAAATAAATACTTTTATAACACTTTTACAATTTTCAATAACTAATAACAAAAAATTTTAAACATTCTAAACTCAAAAAAACATAATTGAATATATTAGAAACAAAAATAAAATAGAAATGTCCTCAATTGTCATTTTACGTATAAACAGCTAATATCAAACAGTTGTTTTACCAAACATTTTAATACAAACAACTAATCGAATCAGCTAGTCAAACCAGCTAATTGAATCAGCTAACAGCTATCAGCTAATTGAATCAGCTAAGAGCTAACAGCTATAAACTAATTGTTAAACACGGCCTTAATAAAATTTACTAAATTAGCGGTGCAGAAAAAATAATCGTATTCGACTGTAACGTATATATTTATTCTATGAGTGACATGCTGCAATCTCTTTCTAATGATAGTTCTAATTATCTTCATTTTAGAAAAAATTGAATATTTATATTATATTTTGTAAAATAAAATAGTATGAATTATATAATATTCTTTTGTTAATTTTTATCCAAAATTTTATTATTAATCAATTTTTTTAATATCAAATTAAACACTTATTTGTATTTTTTTTATATTATATTAAAATTGATTTTACATTTAAAATATCGAAATAAAAATAAAAATATATACTATTATTTTAATACTACCAACAATTTGGAGTAGGGATTATCAGTACAATATTATATATATACCTATCGTATCGAATTTTCAATATAATATAATATGATGCGATATTTTCAATATATTGTATACTTATTTTGGATTAATATCTACCTGTCTTCAATAAACAAACGGATTTTTATACTATTTTATTGCCAACCAAGTTACAAAGTAATAATTTTTTTTAAGTAACTAATAACCATGGATTTCATTTTTTTTACAAATATTTATTTAACAATCACATTATTACTTTTACACCAATAAAATAAAATTATCTTTGTATTATTTTTAATTATTCGATGTTATTTTTTAAACTTCACAAAAAAAATAAATATAAATTTTTAACCTAGACAGAAAATATAATATATATATATATATATAAATACAATTTTCAATGGAATAATATTTAAGAATCGGAAAAGTCACCACAACAGATGAACTCTTAGCGTGGTGAATTCGTCATTCTAAGTTCATAAGTTTAAATTCTAACCTTACAGTTCATCTAATATAATTTGTCTTATCGAAATTAATTTACAGGACAGTAAATTTGATTGAAAATTTACTTCGAAAAATAACAGTTAATAATTAAAAAAAATAAAAACAACAATAAACAAACACTTGATTATACTACAACATTGAAAAACTTTTCATTTCTCGTCTAAGTATGTAAACTATAGTAGTATAACTTATATAAAATCATCGATCAAATAGTCACTTTTTAACATCTTCAAACAACATTGGCACAATTGAGGAAAACTAACCTTGACAACATGTTACCTGGTTAGAATCCTTCGATGTAACCACAACGCTCGTCTTCGGCATCGGCAACGACATCGCCAAATTTTCGCCCGATCTTTCGAATTCCCGAGACAAACCCGATCGCGAACCCGAAACAATGTGATCTCGAAGATCCTTGATCATATTGTATCGCTCAATTTCATCTTCCTCGCCACCATTGCTATAATTCGTCGATACCATCATCGATTTCTTTCGCCCTTTACTCTTACAACTCGGATTCCTTCTCGATTCGATCCCAACGCCATCGCTCCACGGAAACGCCTGTCCCGTATCGTCGACATCGAGTTCGATTGAGTGGAGATCGGTCTCGGCTGAATCGTCACCGTCGAGCTCGTTTCCACCGTTTCCCGCATCGATCTCTTCTTTCTTTTGATCTTGGTACCCGCCGGGGAGCGTTTCCCGCAAGTACATCTGGAGCTCTTTGATCTTGTCGTAACGCGGAGAATCGGAGGAGCGATATGTTCGACGATCATCATCATCGGAGCCCTTCCCCTTCAAATACGTCTCGAGCTCGTACCTGACGAAAATAAATTCGTGTAACGGCTTCAACAAATAAAAATTTTTAGGAAAATTCGATATTATGAACCTTAGCTTGTCGACGAGCGCGTGCTTTTCCTCGAATTGAAATTTCGCCTCGGAGAGCTTCATATGCACACGTTCCTCCCGTAAAACGTCAGCTACTTGAAGCATTTCCCGCTCTTTCTCGACGGATTCTTGAACTTCTTCGAATTGCTTCATAAGTTCCTCGACCTCAGCTCGATCTTCGCCGATCCCTTGCGCCAGCTCGTCGCATACTTGCTCTAATATCTTCCGCGCCCTCGTCTCGTTCTCGAGCTCTTTCTTTGTATTTGTTAGGGCAACCTTAGTTTCGGCTAACTCCCTCCCGAGTTTCTTGTTTAGTCGCTCGGTTTGTCTCCTCAGCTTCTTTTCTGTCTCGAGCTCTCCGGCTATGGATTTAACGGCGCTGCAGATTCGATCCTGTTCTTTTAATTTCCAGAAAGCTTTCGCCTTTTCAAAGTGTTTCAAGAGGATCTCGACGTCACTCCGGTTCGAGTTCCGCTCGACAATTAATTTCCCGACATTGGCGCACGCTCGATCGAGCTCGAATTTCAGGGCGGAGAAAAGGGATACGATCGTCGAGCTTTGCTGTTCGACGGGGTAAACGCGGTCCATTACTTTGATCAATTCTTTAGATGTTATGAGGCCATTGTAGACATCCTTAAGAGGATTCGTCGCCCCTTTCATCGGACTTCCAACTTGCGTACGCGTCTTATTTGCCGCCTGTATTTCCTAGGTAAATTTATTCAATCGTATTCATCACAACTATGACATAAAGAAATACGCAACGAGATAGGATAAGACAGAAAATGTTCTTGCAAAGATCGGACAACAAACAAACGAGAAAATCTAAGCATTTACTGATAGGGGCAATGAGACAAACATGTGAGAATAACAGAAGAAAAGGCAATCCATGTTCACGGCCCCGACCTATTAACATCGATTATTGTCCCTTTCTTCGAACAATTCTAACAGCAACGGCACAACAGAATTGCCAAAAACACGTGCAAGTTGTTCGAAAGTTTTCAATGAATATCACGAAAATCCAAACTGCTTAATCCCAGAAAAAGTAGCTTTTCACCAAACCATGTTCACTGCCCCCAACCTATTAACATCAATTGTTGTCCCTTTCTTCGAACAATTATAAAAGCAAAGACACAACAGAATTGCCAATAACACGTGCAAGTTGTTCTTAAGTTTTCAATGAACATCAAGAAAATCCAAACTGCTTAATACCAGAACAGTAGCTTATAACCAAATCATGTTCACTGCCCCGAGCTATTAACATCGATATATTTTCAATTTCTTCAAACAATTCTAAAAGCAACAACAGAACAGAATTTCAATGAAGATCAGGAAAATCCAAACTGCTCAATCTTAGGAAAGTAGCTTTTAAGTTTTAACCAAACCAAATACACGAATCCGTATACGGATAATATATAATGAGAGACAAGAACAGCTTAATTAAAGCCACAAAACAGGTAAAACAGATAAGAATTAAACTTAAACTAAAGGAAAGCATAACAATGGCTCTGATCTAACAATCAAAAGACTACCTCAACCAAGCAATCGGGGAGCGATTTCGAACTTCTTGGATCGCAATCAGTCTGCTGATGTTTTTTGGACCCTGTCAATGCTCTTGATTTTTGACTCTGTGGATCCATTCCCTGAATCACAAAATCATTCGTAATAACATTGATCTTTCTATAACATATCTTCTTACATAACACCTCAAAATTTTTGCAAGAAAATTGTAATCTCATCTCATATACAGAACTCCGAAGAAGATCAAGCAAAGCAAGATCCACTGATCCAAAATTGCATGACTAAAATCTTCGATCAATATATACCAACCCTAATTTCATCTTCCAAAATTCACTCTTACTGTTTCCTGAAGTGTTCTTCTTATTCCATCATTAGCACACTATTGCTACTAACTATCAAAATCCAGACTATTTAGACTATAGATGAGAATTGAACTCATAACATCTCCTTAACAAAATTACCAATTCGCTAAACAATTGCCTACAATTTCAACTGCGAATATCCCTAGCATTCAACAGATCTAAAGCTATGATTTCACTCCACACGAAATTCATCTTCCATTGATCAGACAAAGATTCAATTCCAATTTTACATTTCCAAAAACAAGTGAGCATTCCGAGCAAGCACTATTCATCGTCCAGTCAGGAAATTATGCATCAAAACGATATAAAAGCGTACCAGTTATCGATTCAAGCGTCGTATGCACAACAAAACGAACTGAATACGACGACGGCACGCGAATTAACGCCCGATTTCAAACCAGGCGAGGGAGATGATGGAAAGTCTGCAAAATGAGGGTAAGTTGGTAACTACAGCAACATCGTCCTTGAAGATTGCAGATTATTTAGTTGAAAAAGGCGATGCAAAAAATGCGGGCAGACTGAGAGGGGGAGATTTCAACTGGCGAATCTGCAGACACTTTTTCATGGAAAGGGAAATGTAAGAGAGAGAGAGAGAGAGAGAGAGAGAGAGAGAGAGAATTTTAGAGAGAGAGAGAAAGGGAGAGAGACGGTTTTCAGATATAGAAGAAGGGTGAACACGTGGCAGCCACGTGAGCACCCGCCACTCCCTGGAGCTTAATCTGTTTTTACGATCTTGACCGTTCAGTTTTGGGAATAAACGGTAGAGATTCGTTTTGGATCTCAACGCCTGTGTGTGTGTGTGAATATTGATTGAGGCGGCCATCACCGCCATACCCATTTCTTCACATGTAGTATCAAAATTATTTTCGATTTTTTAATGTTTACTATTTACAGCACACTGTATGATTATATAATTATAATTACTATTAACTAAATCCCGTATAATTATAATTACTTATGTATACATTTATTTGTGGTAAATATTGTCTAAAATGTAGGGAGTTTTTTTTTTTTTTTTACTAAAGTTTTCTAACTTTCATTATTTAAATTTTATATTTTGGAAAAAAATATTTTTTTAATAAAATAATATTTAAATATTAAATTAATTTTTTATATCCAAACCTAAATTAAGAAATAAATAATTTTGTCTGCACAATCATTTTTTTCTCAAATTAACATTTAACGTAAAATATAATTTAAAAAACAAAAAAAAAAAAACTCAAGTCAAAATACTAAATAATAAAACAAAAATATTTTTAAAAAAAATGCTTTTCAATATATATAATATCTAATAAGAATTAAAGGCTAATTTCTTTAAATTATTGTCTTTCTTCTAACGGTAGCAATGGATCATTTAGTAAAATTAGATACATAAAAAGAAATAAATAAATAATATAAATAATATTATTATTTTATCTCAAAAAATAATATGATAAAAATATTATTTAAATAAAAAATTATATCAACAATTTATTTCATTTTATTTTATTTTTAACCTTTTGGGTTTCAAATATTGCCTCATTTATTGTAATTAAGTGAGTGGACATGCATTAAGTTTATACAGGGGGCAGGATCTCAGGTCCTATAGGTGTTACCTTTGATCGACAAAACTGACGAGACTCGGGACCGGGACCCACAAGAGTTCAGCAAGGGGGGGGGGGGGGCCATCAACGAAGTGCAACGGATCTGTAGGGATTTTTATTTCCATATAAGGACAAGGGAATCCGAAATTTCCATAAAACACCCACGAACTTCTAATAATTGTAGGCCCCACCACATGGCCCCTACGACCCCTCGCTCTCTTTTTACAACAATAATATTATTGCTACTTAATTGGTCAAAAGAGGCTGTCGTTTACGTTATTTTTATTTTTAATATTTTTAAAAATTATTTTTAATATACTCATAATATTTTATGCGACATTTTTTAAAGAGACATAAATAAAAATAAATATGAAGAGAACACTCCATATGTATTATAATAATTATAGGCCTAAAGTTTAGAATCCGCCTAAACTTTTTTTAGTATAAAAATTTAAAATTTAAATAAATGGTGTGCATATACATATATATTTTTTAAAATAATATATTTAACTAAATTTAAGATATTAAAAAACATATATCATGTAAACTGCCTATAAATAATAGTAGTATCGAGTTGGGCCAACATATTTGATTCATTTCAGTTTGGCCCATTACAATATTAAATTTGCATTATTTGAATTTGATTTATTTGCAATGATGGGTTGTGAGTTGGTGTTTTTTTAAAAAATAAAAAATAAAAAATGATTTTATTATTCTTTTAATCACACAAGTATCGCAATTTTATATAAAAAATATTATATTCTCCCTCCGTGTCAAAAACAATAGTCTCATTTTCATAAATAATCATATCACTATAAAACTATCTTTATTTTTCATTATTATTGTACAATTACCGCTACTTTTTACACTAATACACTCACAAGGACAAAAAAATCTTTTTATCTCTACTTTTTACCCATTATCGATATAATATCAATATTTCTTAAATCTTTTGCAAAACACAACCTAAACTACAGTTCTGGGATGAGGGAGTATTTTTTTATTCAAAATATTACTTTCAAATTAATATTCAAACAAATAACCAAAACAAAGAAAATAGCAAAAAAGCAATCCAATTGTCTTTCATTAGTAGTTTTGTCATATTTTTGAGTGATTGCTTTCATGTTAAACTTCAAATTATACTTAGGTGTGTTTGTCTGGGTTTGGATTTTGGGTTGAGATTTGAATAGTAAAAATTTTGAATTTAATAGTTGTATGATGTGATATAAATAGGGGTTGATGTGATGTTTTAAATGTAAAATTGATTTTTAGTATAATATAAAAAATGAAAAATAGGTGTTTGATTTGATATTTTTAGGGAAAAAAATTGGATGAATAGTATAAATCCAATCCAATCTCCCAAACAAACACACCCAAATGTTCATTGTATAGAACAATTAGGACATATTCACTTTGATATATATATATATATTTTCAACTGTAGTTATTATTTATTTTTTATGATTTTTAATAAAATATATCGAATTTGTTGATTTAGTATTTCAAATTAAAATTAACATTATTTATTTTGTAGGATTTTTAATAAAAAAAATACATACTTATTTTATCTTATAAAATATCACATTAAAATGCTAATAAGAATTTAAATTTATAATTCTATTTCAAATCAATTTCAAACTAGTCCATAATATACAATATAATAATTTTGATGGAAACATGTAGTTCCCAAAAAAATAAAAAAATCGAGAATTTTGCTGCACATTGTTGCCTAATGTAATTTGCCTTAGTTTAGATGTTAATGACAAAAGAGTTTGTTCAACTTTGTACTTTGGATTAATGTATTTTTTTACCTTTTTTTTTTATATAAATTTAAAAAATTACGTTGATAATATAAAAAATAATATTTTTATTTAATTATTAATTTTTTAATGACAGGATAAAATAAATGTTTTGTATTAATGTATATGTATAAATGTTTTATTATTATTTTTTTTATAATATTTAAAGGAAAATAGTACATACTCAAAATACCAAATAAGCAAACTCATTTAGATTATAATTTTTGGAATACAAAATTAAATTTCCTTTCATTCAAAATAAATCATATATATTTAATTATAATAGAATATAAATTGTCTAAATAAATAAATGTAATCTTATTAATTTCTCTAATAAAAGTAATATTATAAATATAATTGGAGTACATAAATATATATATATTCCAATATATCATAACAATCGTTAATAATAATAATAATAATAATAATAATAATAATAATAATAATAATAATAATAATAATGTAGTTTAATGAAAAAATTTGCAAAATTCTCAAAAAAAAAAAAAAAAAAAAGGAAAAAGGACTATTTCAAGTTTTATAGAAAAAAAATCCCTAATAAATTATTATTGAATACTTAATTATGTGTGAAAATTTACGAAATTATAATTGTTACATTATACTCTCACCACCGTAATAGTTCTTGGTTAAACTTATATACAATTATAAATACTTTATTCACTTATAAATTAATTATTCATATTTTAATAAATAATAATTCAATTGGCATTATTTATTTTATTTTATTTCATTATTTTCTTGTTAACTTTCACGCAAAATTTTTATAATGCTCACATTTTATTTTTTATTTTATTTTTCTATTTTATATTTATATTAAAATATTATTATTAATTTTCGTACCAAATCAAATAAGGATAAAAATAGCCTAAGGAAGGAGTAAAGATTTGAGGTTTGCTTTCTATTTGAATTTTGAATTGAGATTTGAACGGTAAAAATTTTAAATTTAAATAATTGTATGATAAATATTTTAAAATTAATTTTTGAGTGTAATATATAAAATAAAAAATAAATATTTGATTTAATATTTTTAAAATTTATTTTTTAATAAATAGTAAAAATCCTAACAAATTCTCCAACAAACACCACCCTAAGGAAATACTATATCTAAGGAGTTCACTAATGAAAATACATATAAAGAGTTTGTTCACTAACGTTTTAAATGAATCTGTTTTTTTTTAAAAAAAAATTATTATATTAAATATGAAAATTTAATAATATAAAATAATATTTTATATTAAATTATATTATTATTTATATAAATTAAATATATGCTGTATTTTATATACTTAATATTTATACGAATTATAAAAAATAAAAAATAATGTGTGGACAAGCTATTTCAATCTGCAACACATTACTGGCCGTGACGATAAAATTAAAATCACCAAGTGGGTGACATTATGATACAAATTCACAAATACATCACCCGCCCTAGAAATACCCTTCAGATCTTCCCTTGAACCCAATTTGCCCAAACGTAAGCGTCAGGAACAGCCCAAGGTGCCACAGAATCATCCACAGCCTGTTCGCCGACACAAATATATATAATAAAATCAAAATCCACCATCAAATCCCAATCACAAACCCTAATTCAATTCAGTTCAATTACCAGAAGGGAGAATCGAGGGCGGGGCCCGTGGGGAAGTGCGCGAGCTCGGGGCCAATGCTCCCGAAGAAGAGCCCCGTCAGGCTGCTGCCGTTGATCGCCGGAATGCTCGACGGCGCCAGCCAACCGATCAGCCCGAATCCGATCACGTTCAGGTCAGTTCTCAGCCAATCTCTCTCGAAGCTTCAGTTATTAGATCGGACTGTTAGTTTGTTTATCGAAATGAATGAAATCAACGTTATGATTTGAGTTTAGACAAAAATTTAGTGTTAGTGCAGTTAAGGTGTTCGACGAAATTACCAAGTGAACTTTCCCCCTGACGCTTGTGCAAGCCTCAGAGGGTTCCTTGCTGGGGCTGAGGATTTGATGAATCCTGTGGGAAATAGAAATTAGGGAAAATTAACATGAAATCGAAACGAATTTTGATTGTTGACGTTTGAAAAATTGATTGATTTACCTGAGGAAAGGTTTAATTTCTTGGGGGAGATGAGGGAGGAAGTGCCCAAGCCCATAACGGTTGAGGCAGCGGCCATTGTTGCAGCAGCCATTGATGGGTTTAGGTTCTTGATCTGTGTTTGTGTTTGTGGGTGATTTGGGGCTGTGTTTTTTTTTGGGTTAGTTAAGAAAGAAGAGAAGACAACTATGGTGTTATGAGGATTTGCACGTTGGGGAATTTGTGGAGTCTGGCGATTGTGGGATTGTGTGGATTGGCTGCTGAAGAATGAGGGACTGACACGTGGATTCTTGTGGATAAAATGGATCTTGGGATTTGGATATATGTAGGATGACTTGGCAGAATATTTCATACAAAATTTGAAGTATGATGTTGCTAAGTAATACCCCACCAAATTCAATGCATGGTGGAGGGCTGTCTTGATTTCTTTTTTATTTTATTTTTTTAATTCAAGTAGATGTTTTCTTAGGTTGTGTTTGTTTGGGGGTTTGGATTTTGAGTTGGGATTTGAATAGTAAAAATTTTGAATTTGAATAGTTGTATGATGTGATATAAATAGGGTTTGATGTGATGTTTTGAATGTAAAATTGATTTTTAGTATAATATAAAAAATGAAAAATAGGTGTTTGATTTGATGTTTTTGGGGGGAAAAAATTGGATGAATAGTGGAAATCCACCAAAATCCTTCAAACAAACACACCCTTAAAGGAGCTTCGTAATGTTTAGGACGAGTGTTTTATTGTGCTGACTATAATTTGTTTCCGCGAGCTTGCCGAAACAGGCTGTGTTTCCATAAAAAAAAAATAGGTTTTTTTTTTTTTTTTTTGGGTTAGAATTTGTTATTTTCAAATATTACGTATTTGTGATATTTTAGTTGATAACATTATTTTCTAAGAGGTAATATAATAATTTTTAGTGGATTCATTGACAATTTTTTTGGTTATTTAAAATAATTTTTCTATACACTCCTAAATCAAATTGAAACACAAGTGAAATCAAAACACAATAGAAAAATAAATGTTACTTCAAAATGAAATTAAAATTAGAAACATTTATTTTTTTTACAGAGAGCATTGTGGGTGGGATGGGCTGACGCGGTGAACGACTGCGAGGCGGCGGCGGGCAAACGACTGCGAGACAGCAATGGTTGTGGGCGGGAGGCAGTGACAGCGGTGGTGTTCTAAAACAAAACGGCCATATACAATAAAAAATCAAATAATTTCAAAATAAACACGACAGTGTAGAATAGAAAAATGAAATATTGTCTAATATTGTCCAACTTTTAGTCGATAAACGAAGAAATTAGCTCAATCCGACTACTACTACCAAATAATTAATCAATTATCTTAAAATAAAAAATAATAAGGACCAAAAAATGTACCAACCTTCCGATGAATAGAGTGGCCGGCTTGGTACGGCGGGCCGCCGACCATCCATCCGCCTCCGCTTTTTTTTTCTAATGACAGAACTACAAAAGTAATTAAGGTTGTGTTCTTTTTTTAGTTTTAGTATTCAGACTTTATTTATTTTCAAAAATATTAAATTAAATAATTGGAAGAGTGTTATTTACTTTTTGCAAATAAATTTTTTAATATTAATATTATATTGGATTGCAGTAAAAAAAATAAAAAGTACTCCTATTAGTATGTAATATAAAAATATGTAATATATTGTATGTTTGAAAGGATATTTATTATGTTAGATAGGTAGAGAATAATCTTTTTTATATTATAATACATATTTACTTTAAATTCAAAATATCACGTCAATTTATATTTATATTACATTAAACAATTATTCAAATTTAAATTTTTATTATAAAAAATCAAAACCTAAAACCTAAAAAATTCACAGACAAACACACCAAACTCCAATTTCGTACTGATTTTCCGTCACACTTCACATCTTCGAGGCTCGGCATCTTCTGCCTTCGTCTTCTCTGACAAGCTACACCAGCATCAACCAGGTTCACTCTCCCCCTTCAATTTTTTTTTTGTGCTGGAAGAGAAGCAACTGCTAGATTCTTCAAACATTTACGGCAATTTTGATAGTTTGACGCATTTGCTGTTTTGCCATTTCAATTCGACATTTTTTTTGAAAAAAAAAAAGGATTTACGAGAAGCAATTCAATGCAATGAAGTCGAATTTAATGGTGGATTAGCAATTTAGCACAATACTAACAAGTTTGTTTTCAATCTTCCAACAATTTCATTCAATTAGATTCCCGCCTAATTGAAGATGAATCAGCCAACGAGGAAGAGGCCTTTCGCTGAAATTGATAAGCCGACAACGGTATTGTGCACAGTGGTGGCCGTGGATCACACGAATCTATGCTACAGAGTTTGCTCCGTCTGCGAAAGGACACTCCCGGAGAACGCCGCCGCCGGTGCTTGCAGGTACTGCACCACGAGCAATCCTTTCAATACCTCTGGTTCCAAACGCCTCTTTCGTGTTCTGGTAAGCATCGGCATAAAGTTCTTAGATAGTCTTCTGCTGTATCGTTTGTTTCATGGAATTTGGTAACATCAATATGCATTTACATAACGTGAGTGTTGATGAGATGTTTCTATATTTTGTTATGATTGTTCAAATTAGGGCTTATTATTTGGTTATATCAATGTAATTATTTTTCGTCATCTAATCTAATATGTTGAATGTCCATTTAGAGGTCTCTGGTTTAAGTCATCATTAATAATAAGCAATATGAAATTCTACAAAATATAATATGGTATCATAGTCATTCACCGATAATGTACCCGAAAGTATTCTGATTTTATTAGATCTTAAACTATGCCTAAGGCGTTGCAAGTCTGTCAAATTTGTTATTTAGTTTTAATAAAGTTCTATATATTCGGTCTTTGATCATCTATTTAAGAGCCCTGCTTTTAACTCGGTGTTGAAAGATATGTTTTTGATAGTAATTGTGTTCAGAGTTTTGTTTCGGGCTCTAATTCAATTGAGAACCTAAAATTTGACTCTAATGGTGTGAGTTTTGTTTCCGATTTTAATAGCATTGGAATCCTTTGTTTCTAATTCTATTTATCTGTTAAGAGCCCCGCGAGTTTTCTGACTCTAATTACCTTGAAAGTTCTGTTTCCGACATTAACTTCGTCGAGAGCCTTTCTTTTGTGATTCTCGTTGCATCTTTGGCAAATTCAAGTTAGTTTGTTTGAGAGGATGCTAAGAGATTTTCTAAATTATGTTATGATTCTTTAGATTTAACTTAGATGGTTATTATTTGGTTATAGTATTATATTAATTTCAATTTGTATCATGCCTATTCATGAAAATAAGCAGCTCTGAAATTCTACAAAAATGTAATAGTGTGGAATCATTATTATTTACAATGAAGTTATTTATCTCAATCAGATGTCTATAGCGACGGACACCGAGGTTTTTGTGGTGATAATGTTTGATAGGGCTGCGAAGGTGTTGTTTGGTTGCTCAGCAGATGAGTTCTTTGACTTCGCCAAAACTCATCCGTATGCTGGTAACTATTTTGTGTTCCATACCAATTTGGTTTTGCCCTTTTTCAATTGGAGTTGAATTATTTGCTTGAGTGAAGATTTTTAATGTTGATACACTTTGTTCGTTTTAGATTTAGCGTAGAAAAATACTTGTTAATGTAGAGAGCTGAATATGAACTTTTGACAAACTAAGGATCGAGCTTCTCGTGTAACTCGCCCAGTTCAATGCCCTGAGATAACCGATCGCGAGTTTTTGCAAATGTTAGTCTTGTGTTCTTTGTATGTCCACGATCTTTTGATCAATTGTGTTTCTTAACATTTATGGTTACCGGCTTTTGACCAAATGCGTCTTTTAATGTTTTCCTAGTGCATGAACATGAAGAAGATGCCGTGATAACATAAAGTTTGAATTTGAATAATTATTTGATATGATATTTATAGATGTGATGTTTTGAATGTAAAATTGATATTTAGTACAACATAAGAGATGAAATATAATTCTTTAATTTGATGCTCCCAATGTATCTAGTTCCTGTAGCCATTTTGATGCTCGGCATCAAACTCCCAGGGTGCGTTAATTTGGTAAAAGTTTGTAAGTTTGAATTTATTATTACAATAATTTTGATGGGATATTTTGTTAGAGAAAAAAATGTATTTTTTTTTCGAGAAACACATAATTCAAATAGTAAATTTGAAAAATTTGTGTTAAAAATTGTATCTGCAGCATTATTCGAATTCGGCAGATGAACCTTTATTATTTTGCTTTATGTCGATTGGATCACATAACAGCTAGTTGTCAATACAATTTTTGCTGCTCTCGATCAACATGTTCGCATAGGCTAGCTTACAGATGATCAACAAGCTCGTTTTTGTTTTTATGGTAACATCTATGTGTATATGATCCGATTTCCAGCTGTTGATTTCTTTTCGCATAATGTTTTGTTCGGCAGCTATGGCAGCATGCAGGGCGTTGGAGGGGGAAATACTGACGGTGACACTGTCGAAACCGAAGAATGGCAACGCCCAGCATCTGCGCGCAGTATCGGTTGTGCCAATGCAATCTGGTTTCCAGCCGGCTATCGGAACCTTGAGGGAATTGTACCGAGAAAAAATGGCTACCGGAACTAGCTCTGTAATGTGAATGTCCCTATGTACTACCGTCTAGGTATACAAGCCACGGTACGCTTTCAGCTTTTTTTTTTTTTACTATACAATTATTGCGATTTATTCTTTAAAAAATTTCGTTTCGAGTTAAATCACTGGTTATGGTTTTGTGAAATAGAATTGAAATTTGTATCTTATAAAATTGTGATTCAATGTGTTGAATAGTTGGTCTAACCATTTGTACAGGCTACTTAGATAAGTCGTTGAACTCATGCCCCAGATCAATATGTCATCTTTTATAGGATATATATATATATATAGTGTAAGAATCTTGTGATTCTTTGAGTATTTTTTGGATAAATTTTTTATCTAACTTAATAGCTGCAAATTAGGCCGGCAAGATAAATCACACAAGACGAACCATGTTGAAAAACAGGCTTAGAGCAAGCCAGATTCAAATATATATATATTCTCTTCGAACATAAATAATATTCTCATTTTTTTTTTGTAATATATAAAGAAAAAATAATACTTTGGTGGACGGAGGGGAGTATATAATTATGTAGTTTAAGAAATTACAGATACAATGATGAAAGAAAAGAGAAGAAAGAATTGGGTGTGTTCAAATATATTTTGAAGGTGTTTTTTATTATTTCGAGAATAATAGAATATTAAATAAAAATATATGATTGATATAATGAAAGTAAATATTGAATGTAATTTGCTAAGGTATATTTAGAAAATATATACTCTTTCTGTTCCACTTCAAATGAGTTTTCACAATTTTGTCATTTATACTTCTTATGTCTCACTTCAAAATAATGAAAGTAAATATTGAATGTAATTGTACGTATGTAATGGTATGTTTATAATTTAGGTAAAAATTAAAAGTTTATATTGATATTAGTATACGATTACTTTTTCTAAAATAAAAAATGAATACTTTGAAATTTAACATACAAAAATGAATACTTTGAATTAAGTAATATATTTATGATAGTTGTCTTATTTAATATATTTATAAGATTCTTAACTATTTATAATATTTTTATCTTATTTACACTATTTGTATATCACTATAAATATAAATAAATTCATATATATTAAAAAAAAAAAGAGAGAGATTTAATTTTATATTTTAAAATTATTGTTTTAAATAGTACTCCTATAAAATAGATATTGTAAATTAATATTTAAATGTAATAATTCTTTAAATATTAATATAAACGTAAAGCTGAAAATATAATTAAACATAGATGTAGATATTGAAAGGTGGAGCTGCCAAGGCACGCGGAGGGTTTGCCGTCCCAACTTACAAATTTATCTTACTTAGGATTGCATCTTTAATGACAACTGTCTTCAAATATTTATTTCAAAATTTTAATTTTATAGGACGGCCGGAAATAAAAGAAGACAATTTTAAGCGGGATTAAAATAAAATACTCTAATTTTCATATTTTGACTTCCTTTTTTTTTTTTTTTTTTAATGACGTGAGAATCTGCGGCCGCTATTCGAAAGTGCGCATTGGCTAAACATTCGATCGAACCTAATATTCTGCAAAGTAGGCACGACAGACAAGTCACATTATTTGACGAAGAAATAAACATGCAGGGTCTATTTCTTTGAGTTTGGTTTGAGATTTTTTTATTTAGGTTTTATATTTCAATAATGTTTGATGATGATATTTTATGTCCACATTATTATTTTCACATCTCATATCATTTTTTTTAAAAAAAAAAAGAAAAAATTGATTATACATCTTAATTTAATTTATTAATTATTTATATTATAGGATAATTATTTTTACTAATATATTCATAATTATCTATTAATTATATTTATCATAAATTCTTGTATTTACAGTAACTCGGACATGCAATGTGGGATGGAGAGAGCTTTTTTTTTTTTTCAAAAAATACATAATTTAAATAGTAAAATTTAAAAATTTAGAATAAAGAAACACACCCGCAAATTTTGGTTGGAGGCTATTCCTCCAAATGTCACCAAAGTAGTAATAATATCTTGTAAAACTACGACAGCCATTAGTAATGAATTATTGAGATAGACTTGGACATGATGCTTTCAATGCCATTGTCTATAAAAATCTCATGCAAAATTTGTCCCATTGCAATGTAATATTTGTACAACACCACAAGTTAGACGTACATAATATCCAATGCATCCTTGGGTAACTTTAAGGTGCTAAAAAAGGATCGGTAAATGATAGGCAAGTAGATGTAGTAGGTGAATTTGTAACTGTAAGATCACGAGTTGAAATTAACTATTCAACATTTTTTTTTTTTATTGAATTTGTCACATAGAGCTTGCCTCAAGTTTGGTAAGTACAACGTCATTTATTTGTCTTTTAAGTTACCCAGTGTAATTTTTTTCAACTAGCACACTTAAGGTATTACAGTTACGAATATTTACATTATTAAAAATAATAATAATAACCTAAAAGAGGTGACCTTTGTAACTTATTTATTTTGGTTCATGTTTTTTTTACCGTTAGTTGATTCTCGTTTGTAGATAAATAAATAAATTATATGTATTTTTAATAACTTAAATTTTCAGATGAGATGATCATTTACATAATCTAACACTTACATTCATTTATAATGTACCTTCTAGAAGCTAGTGAAGAAATATTTAAAAATTCAAATCGCAATAATTATCCTACACATTTTGGAGTGGGATATTGAATCAATAGTTTGCATTCGGATTTAATTAATTATTTATTTTTTTGGAACTATTTGATGAAATCGAAAGGAACATATATGAAAGACGAAAATTAATTGACTCAATTTGGCAAACCTATATTTGAGGTGTGTGGTCTAAGTCAAATATTTTCACTACCAAATACGTGATCCAAAAAAAACGAGGCAAGCCCACGTATTCATAGGTCGATCGTTTGTATTATACTTAGATATATAGTATTTCTTTCGACTTCAATTTTAATTTCACGACATAACAATTATAACAAAAAAGTTGAATGTCTAGTAGACAATATCAAGCCCTCAAATATATATATATATACACACGTCTCTATAGCTTTGAGTTCATTCGAATCTTATTCAATTTTCACTTATTTAGAATCCATATATAATTAATCTTGGCGTGCAAAATAATTTTTAAACTATTTTAAAAAATAATAGACTCTTAAATGTATCAAGAACACGGCCTTATGTAACTCTAAAGCAATTTTAGAGACGAAAAATACCTAAAATATTTTGGATCATCTTAGAAAGGATAATAAAATAAGAAAAATTTATGATAATATTTCTATAAATAGCTTTTGAAGTTCATCTAAATACTTCTCTAATTTCGAAATATTAAAATCATTTCATTTATCTTAGATATTTTATATCTACTATTTAAAGAACTCTTAATATTTTCAAATGATCATATCCATACATTTTAAATCATTTACTTAAGGTGAAGATTGTGATGAACTTGTAGCGGTTTTAAACTTTTCGAACTTTCTACCTAAAATGTTTTGATTTACAAAAATCGAAGAATCTAAATATTATGATTACATGTTTTCGAATTTGGCAATATAATGCACTATTAGTTTCATGAAATTTAATATATAGTATCAATATGTTCGAGCACAATAGAGAGTACAAACATTATATATATTTTAAAACTCTATATAAAACTCGCATTAGTTAAAATTTAATGAGCAATATGTCTTACATGCTAGAATTGCAACTAAAATTTTTTCATTTGATTTTTACTAATGGGAAGTTTTGCCCTGAACTTTACAATATAAAAATATGTTTATTGCGATTTTTAAAATACATATGATAAATGGTGATTTTTTACCGTAAATCATAGAAAGTGTAATATAATTTGTTTCGTACGTAATTTGAAAAACCATTCTATATTTTATTTTTTTCAAGAAAATGAAATTTTGGGACGATACAAAAGAGCTATAAGAGTTGTAGTAAGAACTACGAAGTTAGGGAGAGAAGAATTTTGTAATATTTTATGTTTTGGATTATCGTAATCGATTTTTTAAATAGTAAGAAGGTTAAGGTGCACTTGGTTTGCCTTTTAAACCATTTTTTATGTTATCCTAATGATTTTTAATAAATATATATATATATATATTTTATAAAATATTAAATCAAATACTATTTAAATTAAAAGTCAAATAAAAAATTAAAATCAAACATAAATCATACAAACTATATACACATCTTTATGAAATTTGAAAGATGTTCTATTTTTCGCTCTATATCATTTTAAAATCCTTTTATTATTTTTTTTTAAATTGAAATAATAAATATCTAGAAAGCAATAACATGAGATATTTTGGTTTTTGAGAGGCTCCAAGAACACATGATTTCAAAATCAAAATAAATTACATGGAACCCCACTGACATAAAATGATAGTATAGTGAAGTGATATGTAATTTGATATATATATATATTTATTTATTTATTTAGAATATTTGGGTTAGCATGGAGATTTAAGAAAAATAAATACCGTATTGAAAGTAAAAAGATGGTTGAAAATATTTTTCAAAATAAATTAGAAATTAAAGAAAATAAAAGAAAATAAAAGGTAATGAAAATAATAGTATTTATTGTAAATAGACATTGACTTAATGATAATAGTGAAATATTAATTTGTTGACTTTTTTAAAATTAGTAATAATGTAAATTTAACGAAACAGACTATATAATAAGCGGATAATATTACTTTTTATTTTTAAAATATTGTATTTTAAATTACTATACAAACATAAAATCTAAAGTTGAAATATAAAACAAACCAAACACTCATGTGTAACATATGCTGACATAATAAATAAGGTTGTTTCTTAAAAATATCTAACATAGGTATTTATTTTTTATTTTATTCGATTAAATGTTACTATAATTAAATTGATAAATTAATATTTTTGTCACACTCTTGTAAATCAAGCGGTGAGATATGACTCTACTGTATAAAGAATGAGTTGCCTCAGTTCTTATGTCTACAGTAAAAGGGACAAAATATCCGAGACAGAGAGAGAGAGTATTAGATAATATCAATATAAATACTATAGTTGATAACTTACTATTTAAAATTACTATAAAAATATTACTGCTAATTATATGCTAATAACTATATTTATGATCGGACATGTTTGGAAAATATCTTATAGTTTGAGGTTTGTTTGATTGTAATTTTAAATTTAATTGAAATAAAATATTGATTTGAATTTTTATTGAAATAATATTTTGATATATTGTTTTATGATATAAAATAATATATTTTTAATGAAAATCATATGAGATGAATAATGAATTTTTTTAATTTTTTTTTATCTAAAATAACAAACACCGAAAGTTTTGAATTTTTTTTTTTAAAAAAATTTAGAATGCACAAGAATAACGACTACGAATTTATATATTATTTCAAAATAAACTTGTGATTTAATAATTTTTAGAAAAATTAAAACAATGCCTAAAACCCAAAATTATGTCTAAACAAAGCATTAAGTATGAGAATGTGTTACGATATGGCGGTGTTAAATGTATATGTATTTAACTAATAGAAATTGTGAGTAAAAAAAATAAAAATATTGAATTGATAAAAATAAAATGACATTTTGGCCCCTAGAGTTTTAGGGCTGGTTTTGTCGATGAATATATATCATATTCCCTCCGTCTCAAAAGTTTAGTCTTATTGTGTTGGACACGGGATTTAAGAAATATTGATATTATATTGATAATATATAAAAAATAATGATAAATGACTTTTTTGTCATTGTGAATATATTAGTGTAAAAAGTAGTTGTAATTGTGTAATAATAAAAAAAAATATATATATGGATAGCTTTATATTGATATAGTTATTTATAGAAATGAGACTATTGTTTTGAGACGGACAAAAATGGTAAACAAGACTACTCGTCTCTTAACAATCTATCTATTTTTCCATTTTAGTCCGTTCCATAACAAAGTATCAACTTTTTTTTTAGTAATTATACTATAACTAACGTTACAAATATCCTTATAATTTACAATATATTACATAAATGTCATTACTTTTATACTCCCTCCGTCCCGCATACCATGTCCACGTTGCCGTTTCTGTCCGTCCCACATTCCATGTCACTTTCTATTTTTGGAAAATGATTACACAATTTAATCTCATTTTAATCTTTTTAATTTTAATTAAACTAATTAGTTATATTAATCTTAATTTATAATTATTTATATTATAAGATAATTATCTTTACTAATACATTTTTAATTATTTACTAATTATACTCTTGTCTACATTATAGCAGACACGGTATGTGAACGGAGGGAATATCATACAATACTAATAAAATTAGTTTAGTCTTTTTATTTTTATTTCTACTATATCATAATAAAACTAATATTTCTAAAACTCCGTGCAAAAAGTAAATGAATAAATAAATATGAGACAGAAAGAGCATAACTAATACATGTATGTTTCATATTTTTATAATATTTATGAAAAATTATGTCACTTAAAAGCACTATGTGAACAAATATTTTGTTTTTCAAAACACTACAAAAAGTACTAAATGACCAAAAATATATTACGACTAAGTCGACGAGAAAAAAATGTCTCATTAATTAATACTCATTATGCACTCTCGGGTAACGATTGCAAATTCTTATATTATCCCAAAAAAATTAAAAATAATAATTCCGATAAAAATAAAATAAAATAGTATAATATAAATAACTATATATGACACTTTCCAAAAATATTACTCTAAAAACATATGAACCCATTTTTTTACATTAAGTAAAGAATTGTAATAATAGCGTTAAGAATGTATGCAGAAATAAGAATTTACCGAACTTAGAAAATCCCTAATCACTAAATAATTAATTACATATAACCAGCCAGTTACACGTGCCGCAAATATTGGATTTAAAATAAAAAATAAATAAATAAAATAATAATGAGGACTGACTTAGGATTGAATCAAAAATTAATTGATGAGGGAAGAAAAAGTGTCCCATTAATTAATACTGAAAGAACAATTCATCCACCAACACTTAGCAACCAGATGCAGATGTTTTGTAATTAATAATATTAATTAAATAATAATAATAATAAATAAATAAAATAAATAAATGAGAGGAAAATGTGTATTTATTTTTGTAAAATATTTTGAAAGAATTCTTTTTAATATAAATTATAAAAAATAATGTAAATAATATAAAAATAATCTCTGCGTAATATATTAATTTTTAAAAATTATTATATGAAAAATAATATACTGAAGAAAACACCCACAAATATTTAGGTTCTTGTGTTTTTAATTTTATTATCTCGATTCCTGACGCTTTTTATAAAATATATATTTTAAAATATTTAATTAAACATTATTTTAATGTTAAATTAAGGAGATTTTTTTATATTGAATTTGAAAAAAATTAATTTAAATTTAATATTAAAATATAATTTCATATAATTTTTTTGTATAAAAAAAGTATTTATTTTTTGAATAAATATAAAGTTCAAATAGAAATTGCGATAAAGAAACACCCTAAATTTAACCAAAAATGATCGTTTTTAAGTATTGAATTGAATTTCATATGTGCAAATTAAATTGAATTAAATTAAATAAACTAATTAATTGTAAAGATACTCATAACTTAAATAAGTATCAACCTTAACACACATTCCTCTCATCCCGAAAAAAAAAAAAAAAAAAAAAAAAAAAAATTGTAAGAAGAAACTGGAGCAAACCGTAGGAAAAGTAACTTCAGGGCATGGACAGAGAGCGAGAGAGCATCCAAAGGAGCAGTGCAACGAAGACAAAGACTCCTGTAGCTATACAAACCATGTCTACCCCTTTCTCTCTCTTCTGCTTTCTCTCTCTAAACTGAGCTTTCATTCTCGTATACTCCTCGTAAATATCTTTCTCCCTTACCCCATCGAATTTCCATTTTTGCCCTTCCATGGCGGCCTGCACCGCCGCCACTCCCTCCGCCCCCGTCACGATCTTCCCCTCCATCTCCTCCACCTGCATACTGATCTCCTTCACACGCGCCTCGCCGCCTCCGCCGCCTCCGCCGCCGAAGGTCATCACCACGCCGCACTGGAGGAGCTCGCCGGAGGACCGGCCGGCGACCACAGTCGCGAACCGGATCTGGACGTCGTCCGTCAGCCAGTGCCGGCGGACCTCCACCGCCGACTCGCTGGCGACGTTGACGGCGCGGTGGTTCGTGGCGTCGATTAGAATCCAGGTTATTTTGAAACGTTCGGCGGCGCGTTCGATTGACGCGCTGTCTCCGGAGCTGAGGTCCAGGGGAGTGGGGACGGTTTCCTTCGGGTCCAGGAGGTCCAGGCGGAAGGGCGTGCAGAGGAACCACGGGGAAACCGTCTCTGTTTCTAGAACCTTCGAGAAGATGATCTGACCGTCGAATGAGACATCGACGGCTGAGATTAACTCCGAGGGTAACGGCGTTTGGCGCGCCGTGAACCGGAGGTGCCGGCGGACCGGGAAAGCGTCGGAGAAGAAGGAGGTGTGGCCGGCGGGGAAGGCGGCGACGGCGCGGAGGACGCGGCGGTCGGCGGTGGAAGGCCACGTGGCGTTGCAGATGTCCTTCCAGAGGGAGTCGTCGTTGCAGAGGGAGAGGAATTGAGTGGAGGCGCAGGCGGCGGAGGCGAGGGTGGCGCCGTCGAGGTGGTTGAGGATGCGCGACTGGAGGACGTCGGCGGGGATGGCGGCGATTGTGGTGTCTCCGGCGGCGGCGGACATGGGGATTTGGAAGAAGGCCGTGTTTGGATTGTGGAATAAAAAGAGATATTTCTGAAATCAGATATTATAGAGAAGAAGAGATAAATGACGGGTATTAAATAAATAAATATTAGAAATTAGAAAAAGAGGACCGTACGGCTACGCAGGTTGGACACGTTTGCACAGTTTGACTATTTTGACTTTCTCAGCTCTCCCATTCTTATCCAGATTATTTGATTTTATTATTTTATTTTTATATTCTAGATATAGATATCAATTTAAAATTCGTTTATATGCGTCGGGTGCGTTGCGTTGTTGAAGGTTATTTTACCCTTCAATAATGAGAAAGGTCATGGACATATATATACTGTTAGGGGTGGGCAAAATATCCGAACCGAACCGCAAAACCGTCGAACCGAACTAAATCGAACCGAATTTGCTGCAAATTCGGTTCGAATACAAATACTGCATATTTGGTATTTGTTCGGTTCGGTTCGGTTTCGGTTTCTAACCTTTTTTTCGGTTCGGTTAACCGAACCGGATAATTTTATAATAAATTAATTATGTTATATTATATATTTATAATTTATTTATATAAATTATCATTAATAATATACATTACAGCCAGTCCCCCAGTGCAGACCCGGTTCAAACCCAGTGCAAACCGCCAAACCTCATCTCCCAAATCTCAAACGCGATTTCACAACCCTAATTTCTTCGTCTACCTCCTGGACATCGGCGGTACTTCACCTGTTCACCATCTTGCGATTTTTCAGCCAATCAGCGGCGGCTTCATCTTGTTTCTGCGATTTTTTATTCCATCTCTCAGCACGGCTTCACCCCCTCTTCTGCAGTTTGTGTGCAACTATCCAGACAATCGTTTTCAACTCTTCGCGCACAATACAACTACAAAATCTTTCGGGTAACAACTACAAATAGTCGATTCAAGATTATAAAATCTTTTCCATTTTATTTACATTGTGCAGAGTTTTTTATTGTTTTTTTAGTGGACCGTTTTTTTTGTTCAAATTTTTTTTCCAAAATATAAATATAATTGTGCAGGTTTTATTATTATTTTTTAACAATTAATTGCAGTGCATTATTATTGATTTTTTCTAAAAAGAATTATTTTATTATCTTATTTTTCAGGAATTCGACGGTGAAAAGATGCACACGCAGATTTATTTTCGTGGATATTGTAATTTGACTTTTAAATATACTTTATGTTTCATGTTAATTTGTTTTTAATTGAACTGATATTGTGTTGTTGTTTATGAGTGTTTCAATTCCAAAAGTAGATTTATTTGTCAATATTTGTTTGAATTCGGTTCGGTTCGGATATTTGCAAATAGTACAAATATTTTCGGTTAACCGAAGATTCGGTTAACCGAAATTTTCGGTTCAGTTTCGGTTCGCGGTTTCGAATATTTGTTCGGTTCGGTTTGGATATCAAATACCTGCATATTTGCAAATATCCGAACCGTGCCCACCCCTATATACTGTAGAGAGACTTTGGTTTCACTTTGGGTTGGATTTTTTTATTTAAATTTTAGTTACAGTATTTTAATGTAATACTCCGTCATTCTCTTTTAAACACCATGCAATATTTGAATTTCGAGAACAATTTTGGTGGAGGGTAATTTGAGTGATACGATTGAAAAAAAAAATATTATTTCCGTTCTAGAATTATAGTCTCGATTGTATATGACACGAGTTTTAATAAATATTAATATTATATTGGTAATTAGTAAAAAGTACGGATAAAAAACTTTTTTGTCCTTATGAGTGTATTAGTATAAAAAATAGTGACAATTGTGTAATAATAATGAAAAAATAAAGGTAATTTTATAGTTGATTATTTATAGAAATGAAACTATTGTGTTGGGACCGATAAAAATAGTAAACAAGACTACGAAATGAGTATTTATTTATTTTTATTTGAATAATGAGATGTGATAAGGTAAAATATATATTTATATATAAATATATAATTAATTATTTTTAAATTTAAAAATATTACAAAAAATATTAATATAATTTTAATAATAATTGTATATTATAGTAATTTTTATTTGAAATCAATCAAACCAATTTTTTAATATTATAAATTAATTAGACACTAAAAAAAATACTCTGTTAAAAATTAATATTTAAAAAATATTCTAAAATATAATATTTAGAAAAAATAAGATCAACCATCAAAATTGATTTTAATCAAACTATTTTTTATATTTATTTTCAGTCTCATTAAAAAAAATAATTAATACAGAGTACAAGATTCTGAGAATGTATGGCAAAAATAAAGGCACACAAAAGTGTGTATATATATATATATATATACAAGTTGGTTTGAGTCTAAACTAATATAAATAACAAATAATATATCTATAACTAGCAATCCCTCATATTCAAGATCAGCACTAGAGATTAACTTTAGTTTGTTTAAGAGCAATAAAAATTGTTTGGAATAAGAGTTTTTTATGAAGATATTTGTTGTCTGATCCGAATAAGATAATAGAATGAGTTGGAGAGTTCTATAGAAAACATGCTAACGAATGAAATGATAGTCAAATTCAATATGTTTGATATGTTTGTGAGATATCATTTTGAACTATCTTCATAGTTCTCTAACTATTGCAGTGAAGTACATTAAAAGACGGTTGAGGAACATCAAAATCAGTACAAAAATGATTTTAATAGAACATGAGAATTGAATATGGATCATCGGAACAAATTGAACATATATAGTTGAAAATTCATAACAAATTGTAAACAAATGAAATCCAAGTAAATTGGGAAAAATCATCATAAAATACAATATAATACTAAAAATCACTTATCGCGACAGGAAAAAGACCAACTGTATGCTAACTTGATTGATTGTAACGGAAGTCAAAGTGACATTTGATTCGAATCGAACACAAGCGTATTTAAACAATCATTAAATCATATTTATATAAGTATTCAAACACGGACGTGTCCCCTGTGAAATGCCCGTGTTTAAATACCGATATAAATAGGATCTAAGTAATAATATATAAATAAACAAATGAAGGCTTTATTTCTCCAAACATTTTTTTTTCTATCATGAATTTTTAATATATATAATATATAGTATTATATTTTATCATCTCAAAAAATTAATATTATAACCTAAAATAATATTTTTTTATACTGCTTTTACAATTTCATATACTTCATATTAAAAAAAATTAAACTAAAACACTAAAAACACATACCCTAAGTAATCAAGAGATGATGGAAATAATTAGACTACTAAGTTGCTTACAAATTGCAATAAGTGTTGAAAAGTACACATTCTTCCACAATTCTCCAAAAATACAATTCCCTCGAAAATTAATATATTATATATATTCATTATTTTTATATTATTTACACAATTTTCTATATATCATATAAAAAAAATAATTTTTCCAACTATTTACTAAACAAACACACCTAATAAAATAGTCAAATATGGCTATTCCATTCAATTTCATTGCCCCTAGTTAGACTTAGAATGGTCCCATGTAAATTCATTTTTAAATATTCAATTAAAATTTAGTAGTACATTATATAAAAAAATTAAATAATTAATTAAACAACTGGATTTTTTACCATTTAAATTAACTTAGATTTGATTATAATTGTGTAAGCAAATTTGACCTTCTCACCTAAGATTTATTCTAATAACAGGGTGTTTGTTGGCGGTTTGGATTTTAAGTTGGGATTTGAATAGTAAAAATTTTGAATTTGAATAGTTGTATAATGTGATATAAATAGGTATTGATGTGATGTTTTGAATGTAAAATTGATTTTTAGTATAATAAAATAAATAAAAAACATGTGTTTAATTTGATATTTTTGGGGAAAAAAGATGGGATGAATAGTAGAAATCTAATACAATCTCCCGAACAAACACACCACTAGTTTTCATTTCGTCACCATTCAATTTTTACTTTAAGAAAACAAAAATAATAATTATATTCAACATTCATTAACACTTGTTTTTTAAAAATAAAAATAAAAATTGTATTCAATGACTATTTTCATCAAGATATATCATAAAATAATATTCATATATAATAACACAAAATTTTGCTTAAAATAACTAAATGGCAACACTAATTTATTACTAAGAGTGTTTCTTTTACTCTCAAATCTTTAATTTCTACTAATTTTACATAATTTAAGAAATAATAGTATTTTAATATAAATATAAAAATTGTGTGTAAAAGTAACGATATAATGGGAAAATAAAAATATTTGTAAAAAAAAAATGAAATATTTCATAAAATAGTTACTTTGTAATTGAACAACAATAAATAAAAAATATATTATTTTAATATCAAATCTAAAATAAAATTTTTCAAACCAAATAAAAAGAAAACACCATTTGAAGGACCTCAAAAACATAAGGGTTAAATGGAACTACTCTCCCTTATACTCAATTTTACCATCACTTTTCTTTTTATCTATCAACTAAATTTACTTTATTGTTAATTTTGACAAATTTAACAAATTAATAATTAATTATTATTATTTATTCAACACTTATTTATAATAAATACCACTACTTTTATTAATTTTTTTTAACTTTTAATTAAATTTTAAAAAATACATTAAATAATCTTTTTACTTTTACTAGTATTCAACTTTTTAATCTTTCATACTGGACCACCATAAATTTAGCTGACGGAAATAGAATGAAAGTAATTTTTGTTTTGACCCGTCATATTTGCTATAAGGCAACCTCTAATAATAATATTAAAGAAAAAGTATTAGTTTTGCAGGGTATTAGGTTCGAAGTTTAGTCATTTTTTTTCGAATAGCAGCTGCGAATCCCCGTGTCATAAAAAAAATAAAATATTATCTTCTATTAGTCAAATTTATTCTATTTTTTTTTAGTATGTCCGTTAAATTTATCTATTACAATTATAGTAAAGTCAACTAATGAAGGCTTAACTATTATCCTCTATTAACAATTATTATTTAAATGCACTTCCATTGTTACATTCTCTTTCATTTTTATTTATTTATTTATTTTTTAACATTTTTAGTACAAATATTCTAATTTTTGCGGAATAATAGTTTAATGTTATTTTTACTGCCTGGCGCTCTTTGAATTTGAACGGTCACCGGTAGCCCTTGGATTGTCGCCTCGCCTCCACACTCCCAAATTCTGCTCTACGATGGATATTCCCAACCACTCGCTCGTAGTTCAGCCGCCGCCGGCGATGAGGAAGAAGAAGAGGAGGAAGCAAGTCCCGGAGGTGCTCTGGCGACTCTTCCGACACCGCGCTCGCCCACTCTGCGATACCATTCTGGCCTTGATCCCTCCCAACTGCTGCTGCAGCTGCAGCAGCAGCAATAGCGCGGAGTGCCTCTCCTGCAAACGCGACGAAGCCTTGCTCCTGCTCCTCAGGCCCTCCGATCCCCCTGGCTACCGCAGGCTCCTCAATGGATGCTTCGCCGTTGTTCCCGAGGACGCTCCTCCTCTCTCAGCCTTCGATCCCCGACATTTCCAGTTGCAACGTGAGGTAACGTGTTCGCGCACCTTGTGTACGTCGTTTCTGCAGTTTCTGCGGTTAGATCGGCCGGAATCCTTGTCCATTCTCATCTGCTTTGATTTTTGGCGGGAATAGGAGTGAAGAAGTTGGAATTGTATGCAACTTTTTTAATTTTTAATAAAAAATAATGTCGTTCGTTTTTGGTGGAAATGAAATTGACAATCCAAAGGTACTGTCAAAGTTTCTGATTATGCTTTTTGTAGCTGGCAGGCATTTTAGTTTCTTGATATCTTAGCTTTTTGAATTTCGGCATGAATTTTGTAGTTGTGATCTTGAGTAGTTGATGAAGATGTGAAAAGAGCAGAAGGTGAAAGCATCCATCTGATTAAGAGGGTTGTTGTTTTTGACTTTTTGTTATTATTTTCTTACTAGCTAAATGTACGCGTGAATGAAGTTGTTAAGGCTGGTTAGATACATAAATCATTCAACGCATATCTCACTCATATGTTAAAGTTAGTCCTCAGCCAAGAGATTGGGAATTGGGATGGTTTGTTGCTGATAGGCTATGGTCAAGTCCTTCTGCTCTTTGGACCAGTGAAATTAATGGCTCCTTTGACATGCTTCTTGTAGGGCATTCTTCTTTGACATTAGGTTTTTGTTTTCAATTGCAGTGGAACAGTGTTCAGCTATTTTAGTTAACTATAAATATTTTGTTTAGAGATATGTAATCTTGGACAAGTTTTCATGTGCTTTCAGAATGTCAAAAGATGCATTGAAACGATAATGTGCGAGCAATCTTCCTCTTCTAGTTTGATCTGCTGCAGATACGATAAAGTGAGTGCTCTGTATGTCATTTGTTTCTTGTGATCTCATTTACTTTGGGTTGCTGCTCAGTCAGTTTGTTCCTGGCTAGATATATTCTTGCCCTTCCCTTTTTGTTTACTTATTATTATACATGTTTTTCCAACACAGGACAGCTGCTCGAATTCTGTTGTTGATGAACTGTCGTCATCAAATTGGAACCTTCTCTCAATGAGGGTTTGTGAGTTATTTGGTTTCTATTAGTATTAATATTATAAAGGTTCTAATATGACTGTTGTGCTGATAACAAATTTTAGGTTGGTGATGCTCTGATTATATATTTGTTCAAGTACGCATCACTATTTCTGCCTCTGCCTCGAGGGAAGCATATTCAAATTACTGGTTATCCCATTAGTGATTTGTACTTCAAATCTGCATATCACATGCCCAATCCTAAAACTCTGCATCTTCCAATGCATAAGGGTAATGTTTATGGTATTTAGTCATGCAAAAAGCTCCTTCTGTTCAAAATTTATTTGGAGAGGACGGTGGAATTTATAAATGATAGTACATTTTGTCTATGCACATATCCATTCTATATGTTAGTAAGATATTACTTGAATTAGATTGTATTTTATTTGAATGTTTAGCTGACCGTGAAATACTTTCTGTGCAAGTTTAAATGCTGTCCTTGGCAAGGGTCTTTTGTCTGTAAGTATTTATGGGTGCTCACCTTTTGCTGCAACCTACTCTTCTGCAACAGAATACATGGATTTTATATGGAAAATTCTGCATTCTTGTCATAATATGTGGTAGATTAATGGTTCCAATTGTCATGCCCAACTTTTTGCATGTAGGGCCTAAAGGAATTTGTATATATTGTTAGAACCATCATATTGTATAACATTAAACCCCATCATATTGATAGTTCTGATTCACTTTGACAATCCTTTTTCAAAAGCACTTGCAATGGAAGTTTTCTATCCTGATTGCTATATGACTAACTTTTACCCATTCCTTCAAAAATAATCATTTGACTTTAGCTTCTTTCGTATTTCCATGTTTTGTTGGATCTTACAAGTTTCTAGCATCAGAACTTTGTTAAGTTTAAACAATGTTCAAGCAAGATTTTGGTAAAATCCATTTTGCATCAATATATCAGGATCAGGAAAGAAGAAGCGAATAGTTGAAGTTGTGTCCATAGAAGGGAACCAACCAAGTACCTGTTGTCTTGGTGTTGAGCCCTTTCTGAACCCTGCTGAGCTTGTAGCAAATAATGGTAAGGATGATGGACTGAGATATCACTTAGAAAGAAAACTCCTAAGAAATTTCAATGGTCCTGCAGGCTCTAGACATTTTGGTAGTGAAGGACTATCACATAATGTATGTGAAAGAAGTTCAAAGAATGGCATTCTGCCATTTCAGAAGCGTAAAAGACTGTTCCGTTGGCAGAGGCAAAGAAAACGCAGGCAGTTGATTGACAAAAATGCTAATTCTTTGATCCAAAATGGAGGAAAAAGTTGCAATAGTGATACATCATCCAGATTACCTCAAAATATTCTCTGTTCAAGCGATAAGAGTGTATGTTTGGTGAGTTATATTTTATTTGAACTACTAATTTGTGTTTTCTTTTTTCAATTTCCTTAGCATGCTACTTGACATTCTTTTCCAGGTGAATATGGAAGCTAAAATTTGTGACCAACAGTATGACTAGAAGTCCAAAATATCCTTATATACTTCATCTCACACAATAAATGCTAAAAACATAAATAGACTTTAATAAAATTGTTAGTGCTGAATGGGCATGCCAATAGTTGCAGCACATATTGTATCATCCCTATGTTGTTTATGCAAATGCATCTTTCTGTTTAAATAAGCCTATTCTTTTTGCTTGAGTAACAGAGCATGTTTCCTTTGCAGAAAATCGATTGCTTTTGTTGTTCAATCTTCCAAAATGTACCAAGAATGAGCAAAAATGCTGAGATTGATAGGAAGAAATTATTTTATAGGTTTGATAATTCTACATCAATGTTTCCAAAGAAGCGTATCCTTCTCGGTAGCTGTTTCCAAATGATTGAATTATCATTGTAAACTCAGATTAAAAAGAGTGTTGAAGATGTTAATCTTACTTAAAACGAAGTTTATTAGTTCCAGTATTCAATACATGAAATATATTTGCATTAAACTACCATTTATTTGCAAAAATGGCTGTTCTCTGTTCTTACATAGTTATCCCTAACTCCCATTTCTATATGCACTCATCAATCCTGTTTTCCTTAAGAATGCTCCTGTTTTAAAATCTTTGATCACTCTTAACTCCACTTATTGCTCTTCTAGCTCTTTTGAAGTAATTGTACTGCAACCTTAACATGAAACAGACACATTGTCCACGCTCAAGCCGAATAGTTATGGAGCTTCTGTTTTGTTCAACAATATCTTTGGTACATTTGTCTTTGACAAGAATCCTGGGACAAAGCCTTGTTCTCACAACCAAAGTAGTGGTCTTGTCTTATCCACCTGCTTGTAAGAAAAAGCTTACTGCATTTATATCCTGATTAACGACACCTAACACACACATACTCACACATTTAGAAGTGTTTCTATGCATCTGCTAGTTTTGCTTTACGATCAACATGTGTTGGAACATTTGAGAATATTGATCTCTACTATCAATTTGCCCTTTTGACCGTGTAAAGATTAGTTCACTTGCAGGAACAAGAACTGTTAATGTTTATTCCTTTCAAATGTTTGTGTCTGTGTGTTTGTGTATGTGTGTGTGTACGTGTGTGTTTAGAGTTTGAAGATGTTCTTATTTTCAATTCAGATTATATTGAGTTGGCCTGCCTGAAAAGATGGAATTGCGAAGTAACTTGATAAGTGTGATTTATAGCTTGGCTGATCAATAATGATCATATTTCCCCCAAATTTTATCCTATATTGGATGTTCCGTATAACAGTTTTGCTCATGGCCCCTAGATATCACTGCCTTACCAAGCTACTCAAACGACTCATACGTATGGCTCGGAATTGCCCCCACATGAGGTTGTTGAAGAAACATTGCTCAATCGCATCTTCAATTCATGGCTCTAGTAGCACCATTGCCAATCATATTGAGGTTCTTATTTGAGGATGCTCTTTTATGTTGTTCGAAATATGTTTTGTTTCTATATAATTGTCTTATGTGAAATTGGTTGTAGTTTTCTTCTGTTTCTATTTTTGTTGTCATTCATATTTCTTTCTTATTACCCTTTTGCAATTGCTGTGCAGCTACATTATTCCTAAGAAAGTTAAAACAAAATTCAATCGTTTACTCACCTGTCCGCATGGCAATTTATGTGTGCATATGAATCCTAAGCCCTGTTTCTGCTTCTTTAGCATGTAACTATTAAATTGATTTCACTGCTTATAACACTTATAAAATGGTTAACTAGGAAAATGATTGCCAGACAGAGTTGCTTCTAAGCAGAAAAGATTGGGTTCAGATTGACAAGAAATTGTTTAACCCTCGCCACCCCAAAAATCATGCTTCAGAATCTGCTGCTGATCTGTTTGAGCCTTGTCCCAAGAAACAGGTAGTGTCATTCATTTGGGCAATTTGTAGGAGAATAGTCCCTCCACCATTGCTGGGAGAGCCATCTAATTGGAGAATTCTGAGAAAAAATATCTCTAAGTTTATTCACCTGCGAAAATTTGAGAAGTTCTCTCTGAAGGAATGTATTCATAAATTAAAACTGTCTAAATTTCCTTTCTTGTCAAATAAGCAAAGCAGATGTAGGGACAACGAATGCAGTGGGCCTTGTATTACAGATGCTTCCAGGCATGCAATTCTTGAATGCTGGTTATTTTGGCTTTTTGCACATCTAGTATCACCATTAGTGCAAGCCAACTTTTATGTTACGGACAGTGAAAATGGGAGACAAGATGTAGTATACTATCAGAAATCTACCTGGAAGAAACTGATGAAAGAAGCAGAATGCATGAAGAAAAAGATGTTCAGACTGATGACTCATGCTTATGCTAGAAAAATATTGGGGAAGAGGCCGTTTGGATACTCAAGGGCAAGACTTCTTCCTAAGCAATCTGGATTTAGACTGCTGGCAAATCTTCAAGCACCATCAAGACTGCCTTTGAAGCTGCCTGCTGGAACTCAAATCAGCAGAAAGTTTCAGGGGGAAATGTTTCACAATCCTATGAGATATCAGAATTTCAAGTCTGTAAACCAGGTTCTTAATGACGTGCATGTGGTTCTGAAAGGTTTATTTACAGAAATGTCCGGGAAGTTGGGTTCATCAGTTTTTGATTACAATGATGTTTACAGAAAGCTTGTACCTTTTCTGCTGCTTCTGAAAGATAGCTCCGTCACTATGCCTAATATTTTCATTGTGGTTGCTGATGTATCAAAAGCTTTTGACTCTATTACTCATGATAAATTGCTGAGTGTGATGAAGGATGTCATATTGGATGATGAATATGCCTTGGAAAAGCTCACTCATGTTATCTGCACAAAGAACTCTTTGAAGGTCCATAAACATCTGAACTTGGTGAACCAATATATTACTTCTGGATCTACACAAATTACATCATTGCCTCTAGGGCAGTCATTGGGTGGTGTTCTTGTTAAGAAGGTACAGTATATATATATATATATATATATTTGATAAACAATTGCCCATTTGTTTGAGGAATGGAATGGGATATTGCATGCCTAATTTTCAGTTTTTCACTTTTATGTTAGATTTTGTCATATTTTATAGTTTTGATATATGTGTGCTCATATAATAATGGTAACTTTATCTATTTGATGATTTGATTTATTTTCTAGGGGTTTAGTTCGCCGAATATCTCTCTGCACACAGTTATATATATATATATATGTTGGTTTTGTTAATGCATCTGAGGTCTCGACACATCTGACACTCATTTGAAAGTAACTGATATTTAGGTTTTTTAAGCATTTGAAAGGTTAATCATGTAAAATATATGGGATTGGTAGCTGTTCTGTTGATTATATTGCCCAGTGCTCCATTTTTCGTGGTGGCTATAACATGTCAATTGAAACCATTTTTGCATTTAAGCTGAAGCAAGTTGAATGGTGCCCTTAAACTGGGTTTACTACAAGCCTAAAGGTTTTAGTAGCGAGCCATGTTGTAGTATTTGCACCAAAATATGACCCTGCTTCATGCTATAAAGATATTGCCTTTCTTTCTGTGCTGTTAAATAATTTTCTGATTGCTATTTCAGGAACTGGACAGAAAGTTAAGCAAGGAAAACATAATTTCTCTTTTGAAAGAGCACATTACGCGCAATGTGGTGCAGTTAGATAACCACTTTTATCTGCAACGTGTTGGAATACCCCAGGGAAGTGTTTTGTCTACTATACTTTGCGCATTTTATTATGAGCACATGGAAAGGAATGTGATATATCCATATCTAGCAAAAGTAAACAAGGCTGGTTTCGGAGAATCCCATGTTTCAGCTTCTTTAGCAGAAAATCATACAAAGGAAATGATTGTGAGTGGTCTGCAGCAGCAGCAGCTTCTTCTTCGGTTTATTGATGATTACCTTTTCATATCAACATCAAGGACACAGGCATCCATGTTCTTCACCCGTCTGGATAGAGGATTTCACGAGTATAACTGCAGCATGAACAAGGACAAGTTTGGTCTAAATTTTGACGTGGAAAACAGGCAAAATACTTCGAAGAGATTATTTGTCGGCAAGGATGGTGTCTCCTTCCTTTGTTGGAGTGGATTGCTTGTCAACTGCTCCACATTAGAGATTCAGGCAGACTACACCAGGTTCTCATCTTATTTATTCGTCTTTATGTTTTAGTTTCTTTTAATATAAATCATAATGTGTCATGCATCTCGTGTATGAAACTCTCACCAAACCTGCTCTTTCAAGGAAATCTTGCAATTTCTCAATCAATGTATAATAACAAATTGTAATCAATAAGTTCAGCTGAAAATGATTAATAAAACCTTTAGTCAGGGTGCAGGCTGTTGATGAACTCAGAATTAAGTATATGCTAGGATAAGTACTTATGGTGCTTGCCATTATGCTACATTTATGGCTCGGTTCACTTGGGCTTTGATTGTTACGAGAATCATTTTTAAGTTGCCATTTCTCCGTAAAGATTTTAGAAACATTCGAGTATAAAATAATCCGAAAAGTCATGTGTGATTTTGGAAAATATTATTAGATAGTGAATTGCGTTTTTGTTCCTCTGCTCTCAACAGAGTGTTGCATCAAAGTGGTCATTATTTTCGATTTTGGTTTCGTGCATCTTTTCTATATGAAAATTAGGCCAATAGCATGTCTAGTCTACTCATTTCACTTTTAATCTTGTTACAAGGTGTATATATGTATATATAATTTTGGCTTCAATATTTGCATATATTATAATCTGTGATCAAATTATGTCGGTTTTAGTCCTATCAGTTTTTTCTTACCATTGAAATTGGTTGAAAATTCAGTCAGTGTTAAATTATATCACAAGAGCCTCCTTTGTAGTTCCAATTGATCATAAGTGAAATTTAAGGAGAAATACCTTACTGGAATTAAATTAATAGAATTTAGATTTCTGTTTAGAATGGACCTTAAGTATTCAAAAAATATGTTTTGATGGAACTAAAATTGGATGCATTGTTCTTGTGGGACTACATTGTCAAAATATCGGCTGCAAATGATCATGTCTTGTAAGTTTTGCTGATTTGTTTCAAGTTTCCGAAAATTATTGCTTCAAATATAGCTGCTTTCTTTCAACATTCTTGATGAAACTGTCATGTATTGTAAAGGTACCTCGACATCCACTTGAGTTCAACTCTTACTGTAAGCCGTCAAGGCAAGATCGGCTGCCAGTTGAAGAAAAAGTTGCGTAGTTATCTGCTGACAAAATGCCATCCTATATTCTACGACTCTAACATTAACTCTCTGAACACAGTCTGTCTCAATATCTATCAAGCGTTTCTCGTATGTGCCATGAAATTTGTTTGTTATATCTCCGAATTGTCGATCATATCCAAGTTCAGCCCGGAATTCTACTTCAATGCCATCACTGCATCTTTGAGGTATGCAAACTATATTTTCTGTTAGATTGGATTCTACTCTTAAATTTTACTCTCTGTTTGCCAAATTTAGTTCAATATTTCTTTTTAATCTGTCCACTAAATTTACTCTAACGTTCCTTTTTAGTCTGTCCACTAAATTTATCCCATTACAAATTTTGAAAAGTCAACAATTATCATCAATTCAATATTTATTTACAACAAATGTCACTACTTTTATTACATTTTCTCTCATCATTTTCTTTAATTATGTTTATAACTGAATTTCCAAAAATACTCCTAATTACCTTTTTATTTTTATCACTTTTTCAATAAAATTTTATTTTTCTTAATTTCCATGTCGGACACAAATGCTCTAATATTTCCGGACGGAGGGAATATTATTTATTAATATTTTTTCATTATTATTTTGGTTGTATGTTAGGGTGATAGAATGATATTATTCGGTGTGTAACACTATTTATGTTAATATAATACAAATGGATCATATAAACTGACACAATAGTTTACACAACACATGACATAACATATAACTAACAATACATGCTAACGATATACAACAGTCGTGTGCTGTGTATATCATTACATTGTGTTGATTTGATTAACCCCGATCAACACCATAATCGGTCCCTATCATATTGTGTAGTTACTCATCAATTATGCATTTCGACTTTTTCTTAACAAGGAGCTTATGTTATTTATATTAAACATGCAAATCATTTCACTTACCTAAATCCATCTTAGTAAATATAATTTGTTCATGCTATAGTTGATTCACCCTGGACAAGTGATTCTGGATTATGGAATACTTCAGGTACATGAGTCAAACCATTAAGAAGAAGATGAGATATTTCCAAACAGGCAATGCTTTCCGTCCAAACTATGGCGTAAAAAGCAAGGACGTAGTGTGGCTCGGGCTCTATGCATACAGTCGGGTGCTCAAGAAAAAGCAGTCGCGTCACAAGGAACTCCTTCACATGTTCAGGTCTCGACTGAAGGCATGCGGAAAGGTAGAAACTATGTCGCCTGAGCTCAGGTACGCCGTTGATGATGCGCATTCTTCCGTTTTTTGGAAAATTAAGTATTGATCTTTTTATACTTTATGCTACCTTATTGCTTCCTAGAATTAAATGGATTATTTGATTATATAGTTTTTGGTTAAAGTCGGTTATATTTAAAGATAAAGTTTACATAGTCCCTCTGTCCCATATCTATCTATTCATTTTTTCATTTTTTCATTTTGGTATGTCCTACTATCTACCTAACATTACAAATATCCTTATCACTTTTCGTATATTACACAAATGTTATTACCTTTATATTACACAATACTAATAAGGTTATTTTAGCCATTTCTACATTATTCATATTATATATCAATATAATATTAATATACCTTAAACTCCGTGCAAAAAGCAAACGGATAGATAAATATGGAACAGAGGGAGTATATGTTAGCCTTTGATGGAATTCTTGATGAATGCTGCAAATTTAAGTATGTGTCTTCTACATATATTTTCAGTTTGAATACATCTAAACAAATAAAGTATATACTATTAGTAAATTCAGTACGTCAATTCAGTCCCATCCGAATATTTTCTAAAAAAATAAAATAAAATATTACCGATTACCGTAAGGTCGAATGATTTAGAGTGCAAGATAAAATTACATTTAGGGCCTTACTGAAAGTTTAGAGCAATTTGGGAAGGGATGAGGTTTGAGTATTCGAGATAGGTACCGTGATTATCACAATGAATCCAAACCAATGTTGATGGAGAATGCCAGCACCTGGTTTGGGTCGGACAAAAATTCAGTTAGCTATTCTTTTTGTACACAATGGTCGAGCGAGTTCACTTGCTCGATGTGTTGTCTGTGCTCTTCTCGGGGAAAATGAAGTGAAGATCCTCGTTGTCTCTATACACTTGTACAAGTGCTGCCGCCTTATATGCAAACAGCCCTACCATAGCTGGAACGAGCTACCATCGACAAACATGGTTCATCAAATGTAGAGCTCGATCAATGATATATATATATATAATACATTTAGCTAACCATTAAGGGATGGATACCTGAAAGTCGAAAATGTTGTGGGTAAAGTGTTGGGAGAGTTCCCAAAGACCATATATCGCGGCAGGAATGACGAGCCGTGGAGATGACAGGGAAATGCTGCTGCCCTTCACTGATTTCTCGATCGCATCCTGAAGATCCTCGCTTCGTATTCCGATTCTGATGCATTGGCGAGTGTTCCGTTAGTACAGAAGCAGGGTTTCAAACGTCTATGTAATATTTAATTAATGATACATTTTCCTATAAATAAGATGGTCATTTCAACGTGCTATGAAACAAAAGGTCCGGTGTTTGAGTCTAGCTGCCACCCCTTTTAGGGATGCCAATAGGTTAAGTATGGGTTGGGTCTCGCCAGAGACCCGACCCAAACACATATTGTTGGATTCGAGATCCGAATTGAATCCGATATTGAGACTCAACTTCACAGTTCTGCAAAATTTTTTTATCATTCTTAAATTTTAATTCAAAATTGAGCTCGACTAGAGACTCGGCATATATTAAAATTAATATATTTTATTCAAAAAATATTATAATAAAATAATAAATACTAAATAAAGAAAAACTTAAAAAGATATTTTTAATATAATTTATATTATTAGAAATTCTTTTTATATATATATATAAATAGTACTCCATTTACCTTTGCCTCCAATTCATATCTGACTCAATACCTATACCTGAATAATTGATCTGATCCCAAATAAATGTGTCGAGTCTCGGGTCTACCTAGACCTATTGTCATTTCTAACTAGAGCTGTTAACGATCCGTGCCGAGCCAAATTTTAAGTGTTCATTAACATTTGCAAACAAGACTTGTGTTCGTTTGTTAAGCTTTCGAGCTCGTTCGTAGTGTTCAAGCTCGGCTCGTTAAAAATTTTTGTTGTTTGAGCTCGTGTTCGTGTTCGGCTCGTTTAGGCTTGATTAAGAGCTCGTTTGTCTTATTTTTTTTTAAAATTTATATATAAATTATAAAGAAAATTTAAAATTATTTTATTTATATATTTTAAATTAATATTTTATTTATTTATAAACTATAATTTTATATGTATATATAATATTTATGAACAAAGCTCGGGCTCGTTCGTTAACTAAACGAGCCTGTTTATGTTGTTCGGCTCGGCTCGTTAATGTTAGCAAACTAGCTTTAATCGAGCCAAATCGAGCCGAATTCACGAACGTCTCGGTTCATTTAATAGCTCTATTCCTAACCATTTTGTGAAAAAAAGATGTCGAGGTAAGGTTTGTTTAGGATGAATGCCGCTTGCATTATGTAGTAATAAATGATGAATAACAAGGACTAGGAGGAAATGGTATGGGTACCTTTTCGGTTTCTTTTTCGTGAAAATTGCTGGAATGGTTTCTCTTGACATGTTGTCGGCATGCTTACAAAGAAGGTGAAAGTATAAGCAACTGCAGAACCAAAGAAGAAAAAATTAAATTAAATTAAATGCCGTTTCCCTAGATATACATCCGGCATTGCCTGGAACACTAATGTAATAACCTGGATTGGTAGAATTGAGAAACGTTAAAGAAATCTTACCTGAAGGAAACCCCGATTGCATAGCTCACAGCAGCCTAATAATCATAGAAAGAAGCAAAAAATACCTGTTATTCTAATATTCGTAACTGCCATAATCATTTATCTATAGAAATAGTCCTATATCAAATCGGTCTTTTAGTACCGAAATATTACCACATGTGCTAATATGGCGCCTCAAGTGAATTTTATTTTTAGATAAATACACAAAATAAAATCTACGTCAATATTTGGTGGTATAAAGTAAAAGTGGTGAGGTCATATCAGCTTCAGAAGTATCATGTCTAACACAGTGGACCTTTACGGCGATTGCGGATTAAATATAAAATTACTCCATCCATCCGTTCCGCCAAATTTATTATCACTTTTTTTAGTCCGTTAGTTAAATTTACTTCATTACTAATTTTGACAAATCAATATTTAATTATTATCCTTTGTTCAAAACTTATAGATGCCACATGCGAAATTAAAAATGCATTGATCCCATCATCTCATCTCTTTTAATAAGTAATCTTACCATCATAATATTTTTGACTTCAAAGAAGCATTTCTTATAGCAACTTTTGAGCATCAATATATAATAAGTTAGGCCTTGCAACAATGAACTATCACAGACAAATGTAACTCAACATACTGCATTTAACAGAACATACCTCGACCGACAAGGTAATGAGACAATATCCCGTACAAGCAGCCCCGACTCCCACAGTTAAAAGAAGCAACTCTCTCTTCAGCTACATTTAGAACAACAAATGTGATTATCACAAAAGTAGAGCATTTGCAATACAAAGGGGTAGTCATGAATTAAATTTATTTTTAATTTATAAAAAGACTAACTGACAAAAAAGCTTAGGTCGTTCGGAGGGAAGGCACAAATATATTACGAATCTATAAGTAGAAGTGATGTCCTGGTTATACCGATCATATTGTAATTTGAACCAGGATATTTTGTAATGATAATATAGAAATGAATTGATAGAAACCAATGAAAGAGACTATTCATTGCTTTCATCATTTCTATCGATCACATTTGCCGAAGTATGAACTGAAGTAAATGTTGGTTAGACAGCGGGAATGGAACTTGGGATGTCCATTCTATGCCCAACCCTATCTATAATCCATAATAATTTATGATGATAAACATACAGATGAATAAAAAGAGTTTTGGGAATCATACAGCTTCGTATCGGAGGAAATTCAGTCTTTTTCTTCTCTCACGATCATCTCGCACTTCCTGTTCATATTAATCAGCAACAACATAAAAAAGAAAAAAATCAATTTGTTAGAGCTCCTTAACAGGATTTGAAAACACAAAAACGTCATAGTTCTGGAATTTCTTCATTTAATGGTGAAATTTGGTAGTATGTAACCTTGGAAGCCATTTTCTCATTCATTGGTGCTGCTGAATCAGTGTCACCCAACAGCCATTCACTTGTTCTCTTCAATTTAAGAAATCCACCTTCATTACGCTAAAGAACAATTCGAATCTTCAGAACAACAAACTTTGAAAATCGCCATTAATCAATCGCAAGGAAATAAGAACAAAATTAAGAAAAAGCAAAAGCAATAAATTCACCTCCTCCAGTAACTGCGTGGCGTCACTCCTCTTAACACTACCAAATTCCTCAAACTCTTCACGGTTACTCGAAGTCGCAGCCGCATTCCTAAGCCAGATTCCGTCGCTGAGTTTCGCGATAAAGTCACCGCTCACCTCCCTCTCTTTCAAAAAGGCTTGCAAAACATCATCTCCAGCATATTCATTCACTAAAATCATTAACTTCCAGAATAATTAAACCAAAAAATATAAAAATCAGCTTCAAAATCAATAACCAAAACGAAACAGGTTCCGCAGAAGCTTTAATAATATATGTGCTGAAATTCGGGGGAAATGCTCAAATTGGAGCTTACGAAGGGGCGGCGGGGGCGGCTGCGAAGCTCTGGTGGTGGCGGAGACCACCGGCGGTATTCTGGAGCAAACACGACGGCGTTTGGCGCAGTGAAGAAGACGATATTTTGGGAGCAATCCAATAGCTGAGAGGGCGCTCATTCCGGCGAAGTCTGCAAGTTGCAAATACAGTTAAGAGCCTACTTCGGTTAAATAGAAACGACCTGAAATGACATATTTGCTCCTCACAGTCACAGGGATATCGTTTTTTAGATTTATTGAATTATTTTATTATTATTATTATTTTTTTCAAATAAAATATTCTACTATTATTTATTTAATATTACTATTTTTATTTCGATTACCGTATCCTCTTTAATGCATACACAAAAAATTTTCAAAGGAATACAATTAATACATAATAAAATCTGCATAAATAAAAATAATTATTATATAATAAAAATAATTTTAAATTAAAATGACGATAATTAATTAGTCCGATTAAAACTAAAAATTTATAAATTAAAATATTTAAAATAAAATTAAAATGCATATCTTTTAACAAAAATATATTATTTTTTAATATAATATTTAAATTTGCAGCGGTACCTAATAGTATGTCAATTACGAATCGCCTATCCATTTTTACAACATCAATTCATCCTTTAATAACTTTACTAATCTTAATTTTATTACTTCTATTTCTAATCTTAATTCATTGTTATACTTTTTTATTTATTTTACCATTTTTATCAAATTTTTAATAAATTTAAATTATTTAATATAATAAATAGATATTATTCTAAATAATAAAATTTTAAATTATAATTCATATCTTCCGGCTAAAGATATTATTATTTTTTATCATTTTGAATTCAATTCGAAATATCATTTATTATAATAAAAATAATTATATACTGATACTAAAATATCATTTTATTTTTACATTAATTACAAAGATACAACATCTAATTAATTTATTCATAATAATAAAAATATCAAAATTATTTTAAATACTTCATCTAATTAATAAAATATTATTATTAATAATTATTTGTTTGTCCCAAATCATCATTATACACAATGTTTGGATGAACTCAAAACCAATTGAAATGCTACTAAGTTCGTCCCAATGCAATTATCCGAAAATGCATATTAGAGAAAATTATGAATTGTACAGCAAGAAACCGGAAACCGTCAATTCAAGGAGTGCACATGAACATGAACTTGAATCGCGAAAAAAAATAGTACAACGGAAACAAGTAAACATAAAAACCAATGAAGCACACAAAGTGGTAAACCTCAGCAACATTAATTCACTCCATGAAACCGTAAAATGTAAATCAAGGAACACTCACCGAAACGGATGGGGAATTCGGAATCAACAGAAATTAAGCACGGAATTTCAGATATGGAGCGAAATTGCGGAACGGAATCAAGTCGCCAATATTCGATTCAAATTGAAGCTGAAAAGAGATTGCTTACCTTGCGGATCGATTGCAGAACTGCAGTGCTGCGGATGGATGTAAGAGCTTCTTCTCCAACACAGGCTGAATTTGAGGATTAATACTATACGTTTATGCAGGCAAGGTTAAAAAAAAAAGAAGAACAGTGGAAGAAGAAGAAGAAGAGGAAGGACACCCGAATTGATTAAAATTTCAGATAAAATAGATACAGTCGATAAGGGTCGGGTCTGACATAAACGGGTCGGGTCGGGTCGAGTGCTTGACCCACCCGACCTCCTTGGTACGGGTCGGGTCTGACCTAAACGGATTACATCTATTAATATGGTCGATAAGTTAGGGTTTCTTATTATTTTTTTTTGTTTTATTTTATTTTCTAACTTTCTCGATTGGATTCCGGTGCGTTCCACTCCCGATTCCGCCGACGAATTGCTGCAGCCCCACCGTCGTCAAGATTTGGTGAGGAAAATGTTGTGTTAGTTTGATTTAATTTTTGTTTGCGTTTTTGAATTTAAGTGTTGAACTCGGGGCGATTTGGTTGCTTCATTTGATTTGAAGTTTCTCAGTGGCGTATATAGTGTAGATGCTCGTGTTTGGTTCGTTGCGGTAGAAATAATTTCAGATTTGTTTATCTTTTCTTTTTGTTGTTTTGGTTTAGTGGTTGATGCAATTAGTAGCGAAGGATGCTTTGTTTGGGGTTTCGACTTAACCTAGATGATGAAATTCAACGAATGTCCTGTAAATGATGAATTAAAATGGTTTTAGGGAACATTAGGTTAAATTTACACTACATGCTTTGTTTCGTTTTGTGTTTTGTTTAAATCTTGTTTCCATTGTTCTACCTCATAGCAAAGATTGTTGTTATTTGTCACTGTAGGTTGTGAAATGTTGGGTTCTTTGCCGATATTGCCCCTTCCGGCGCCGCCGGCAGATGGAGATCTTGGTCCAAAACCACCTGCTCAGTTGAGTGAAGAATCCATTGAAAATGAGGGCGACAAATCTAATGAAAACTCCAATTCAGCTCCAGCATCAGTAGCAACACATACTAGGACTATTGGAATCATATACCCGCCGCCGGACATTAGAAATATTGTCGATAAAACTGCTCAGTTTGTGGCAAAGAATGGACCGGAGTTTGAGAAGAGAATTATAGCAAACAATGAAGGAAATGCAAAGTTTAACTTTTTAAGGGGGTCTGATCCTTACCATGCCTACTATCAGCACCGTTTATCCGAAGCTCGGCTACAGAACCAATCTTCGACCCAGCCACAGAATGAGTCTTCTGAGTCTGTTCTTGAATCAGCAGCTGCAGCAGTTCCTGATGGAGGTGAGACAGCAGCAGCTAAGCCTGATCCTGCAGCTCAATTTCGAACTGTTCGTAAGGTTCTTGAGCCACCAGAGGCAGAACAATTTACAGTTAGGCTTCCTGAAGGGATTACAGGGGAGGAACTGGATATTATTAAGCTAACGGCACAGTTTGTGGCCCGAAATGGGAAATCATTTTTGACGGGATTGACTAGTAGGGAGAGCACTAACCCTCAGTTTCATTTTCTTAGACCAACACACAGTATGTTCATGTTCTTTACGTCGCTTGCCGATGCATACTCAAAGGTATTGATGCCTCCAAAAGGGTTGACAGACAAGCTCAGAAATAGCGTTGTTGATATGACGACAGTTCTTGAACGCTGCTTGCATCGCCTCGAATGGGAACGGTCACAGGAACAGGCTAGGCAGAAAGCTGAAGATGAAATCGAACAGGAGAGGCTACAGATGGCTATGATTGATTGGCACGATTTTGTCGTGGTTGAAACTATTGATTTTGCCGATGATGAAGATGATGATTTACCTCCTCCAATGACACTTGAGGAAGTGATGAGGAGAAGCAAGATTACTGCCATGGATGAAGACGATGCAGTCGAGCCCGGCAAGGAAGTCGAAATGGATATGGATGAAGAAGAAGTTCAACTGGTCGAGGAAGGCATGAGGGCCGCTAATCTCGAAGAGAACGGTGATAGAAAGAACGATGAGGCCAAAGAAGCAGCTCCCGAAGAACAAGAACCACCCATGAGAATTGTTAAAAACTGGAAGAGACCTGAGGATAGAATTCCTGCCGAAAGAGATCCAACGAAATACGTCGTGTCTCCGATAACCGGCGAGCTCATTCCCATCAGCGAGATGTCCGAGCACATGAGGATTTCCCTTATCGATCCAAAGTACAAGGAACAAAAGGACAGGATGTTCGCCAAGATCCGTGAAACTACTCTCGCCGTAGACGATGAAATCTCTAGAAACATCGTCGGACTTGCAAGAACCCGCCCGGATATCTTCGGCACCACCGAAGAAGAAGTTTCCAACGCTGTGAAGGCCGAAATCGAGAAAAAGAAAGACGAGCAACCGAAACAGGTCATATGGGATGGTCATACAGGAAGTATCGGCCGTACAGCTAGCCAGGCCATGTCCCAAAGCCAAGAATTCAACGATTCTTCGAACAATGAAGTCGGAAATCTTCCCGGCCCTGCTCCTCCTCCACCTCAGCCCGGTATTCCGGCGGTTCGACCACTACCTCCGCCTCCCGGCCTCGTGTTGAACATCCCTAGGCCGCCACCTTCAATGGTTCAATACTCCTCGGGGCTCACTGGACCACCCCAGCCCGGTCCTCCAGTCATCAACATGATTCGTCCTCCAGCGCCTCCTTCAATGCCAATGATGCACGGGCAACATCTTATGCCTAACCGCCCCCACATGCCGATGTCGGGTGCGCCAAATATCTCAGTCCCACCGCCGCCTGGATCACAGTTCACTACTGCATCTATGGGTGGTCCGAGACCGCCTTTCATGGTTCCCATGTCTCAACCGCCCATGGCTCCTCCACCACCAATACCCCCCCAAGGCAGCATCCCACCTCCACCGCCGCCTGAGGAAGCTCCTCCGCCAATTCCTGACGAACCCGAGCCCAAGAGGCTTCGGTTCGACGACTCCATGCTCATCCCCGAAGAGCAGTTCCTTGCTCAGCATTCGGTACCGATCATTTTCTTTTTCCCATTCCAATCTATCTATGTATATAAATATATACATATATATGTTATAATTGTCAATACCGTGTTAGATTTTACTCCCTCCATCCCACCTTTTTCATCTACTATTTTTATTTTCGTTCGTCCCACTTTATTTGTCCTTTTTTTTTTAATGAAATGTAATTATGCATTTTAGTCACATTTAAAACTTCATAGTTTATAACTTTTTTTATTTTAATGATACTATTTAGTTATTCTAATCTATAGTTAGTTTTATTATATAATAAAGATTTTTGCTAATACATTTTTTAATTATTTAGTAATTATAGTTTACCCAAACTCCTGTATCTATAGTAAATTGGACACAAAAGGTGGAATGGAGGGAGTACAATTTAGTATTATATTTGTTATTTGATTAATGTAGGTTTTATACTATTATATTATAGCGTACTATACTGTAGCCCCTTCTAGCTCTAAAAGGGAAAAAGAATATTGTGCAATGTGACGAGCATGATCAAATTGTTTTCACTTATATGACTATCTATGAACCATAATTATATGTTTTGTAAATTTACTAGTTTGATTAATAATCATGAGATTAATTTATAGAATTTTCATTGTAATGTTTCATATATAATAACTTTTATATGTATATTCTTAAACTTTTTAATACCAGTCATTCCGCTATTCGGTATTCCACATAATGCTGTCCGAAAAATGCAACTATACTATATGTTAATAACAAAGTAGTTATTATGGTGGTTGCTTGTACAGGGTCCTGCCCGGATCAGTATATCGGTGCCGAATGTGGATGAAGGAGGAAATCTGAAAGGTCAAAAGCTGGAGATCAGCGTGCAATCGCTGTCGGAAACAGTGGGGAGTCTGAAGGAGAAGATTGCCGGGGAGATTCAACTCCCGGCTAACAAACAGAAGCTGAGCGGTAAGGCAGGTTTCCTCAAGGACAATTTATCTCTTGCATATTACAATGTTTTGCCGGGAGAGCCCCTGTCGCTTTCTCTTAGAGAACGTGGAGGGAGGAAGAGGTAAGCGAGAGCTGAGTAATGCCGGCTGGATGAATGATGAATTTGAATTTGAATTTGAATTTGGTGAGAGAGCTATTTGCCAGGTACACTTCACTGTTCATCTTTGGTTGTTATATATATCTATATATGTTGCCGGATTTTCTGCTTCTATAAGTTGTTCTTTGTGCGAGGTTTGTCGGTTGCTTTTATTATGTCTCTCGAACTAGGATTTTGAACCCGAACTTGAACTATAATTTTGCTGACAGTTACTATAATTTTGCTGACAGTTAGTTCTATGTATTTTGAGTCGAATAGAAACTCGGGCTTGAACTTGAACTTGAGTCTTATCCATAAGATGTGTAGGAAATAGGGGTTTTTGGAGTTTTTGAAAATTTTGGAAAAAAAAAAAAAAAAAAGTAAAAGGCCGTGAGGTATTTGTTAATCAGTTTCGGTGGAGGAAAGGAAATATGAATTCGATACAATATCTTGTGTTAAAGTTAAGTGACTTGTTTTGTTGATAGTAAGAGTTGGAAAACAAATGAAGGGTGGGTTTGGTGATGTGATTTTCGATTAATATCATATATATACATAAATATTGTATATGTAATATTTATATTCTATTTATTCTCAAAGTTTAACAATTAAATATAAAATAATATATATATATATATGTATATATGTATGTTATAAGCTCAATTTGATTTGGTTCATTTCAACTTTTTTAAATATTTGTTCACTATTAACCCAAAGCTTAGCTTTGTTATGTTTACCACGGAACTCGAGCTTATTTGTGAATGTGTATTTTTATAATATGGTACTTAAACTTTTTGACATAAAATTTTTTGTTATTATTATTAATTGAATATAGATTTAAATAAAAAATAACATAATTCATAAACAGAGTCTATGCAAATCAGGCTGTGTCTAATCCTCAAACGATATATCACATAAGTTTTAATTTAATTAATTTATAAATATATTGTAAAGGTATAATGAAATTAATTTAATTATAGATTTAATGTTTAAGTTATTAATAAAAATTGAATTGCCCGAATTTAGCTGACCACCTGTTTGGCCGACCCAATACAAAAAAATTGAATCGATGCAAAACTCTAATTGAATAATTTAAAGATGAGAGATTTTGTTCAAGAAAATAATATATTTTTATAATTATCGAAATAATTACATAGTAAAATAAATTGAAATCAAATTCAAAGAACAAACTAACATACGACGAGTAGTGTGAGATTTTTTCAAAACACCCAAAAGTTGATTGCATTTCGTTGGCTTTTGGGATGGTACGTAGTTAAGAATCAGCTCATTTGTATAATTATTTTATACAAAATAGAATTAAAATCATATAAATGAAAATTATGTATTTATAAATAATTAATATAATTTGGCATTATTTATTTATTATTATTTTTTTTTATGCATTCCGAGTAAATTCACGGTTGAATTTACCTTGCAAATTACGCTCGACAGTTCTAATTATACTTAGATAAATTATGTGTGACCTTAATTTTAATTATACCCAGACCAAGTGGTGTAATAAACATATATTATAAAGATACACTAGTTTTTTGTGTTGCATTTTTAAAGTGATGTTACTTAATGAAAAATATGGTATAAATTAGTATATATTGTATGAATATATATTTCATATTTATTTAATAATATTAATTGTGTGTCAAAAATATTTGTTGGACGAACAAACTTTTTATATTTGTAAAATATAATATAATATATATATATATATTTAAATTTAAATAAAACATTTCAGCAAAAACTAACAAATCCAATTGCACTGTTCGACCAACCTGGTTATTACTATTAATTAGTGGTATTTTTATCATTTCGTTATTGTTTATATTAAAATATCCTTTGTACTCCATTTTTTCTTGAAAAAAAGATCATGATTAGTTAATGAAACGATAAATGTTTTCTTTAATAAAATTATAAAAACATATATCATTTTACATTATAAAGTGTGTTAAATTCTATTATTTAAATAAAAATAAAAAATAAAATCTTATTACAAAATGCTGAGACACTATCTATTACTCTTGTATGATCTATCTTGATTACTCTTATATGATATATCATACTAATTTGATTAGATCCATAGCCATAACAAATGTATTGTACTAACTAAATTCTAACATAATATAATGAATTTGTTTGATTTGAATTTAAATCAAATCCAAATTCAAATGGTTATTTTATTTAACCAGCATTTGTATATAAATATTTTGTAAAAATAAATAATATTTTTTTAATTAAAAACATATGAATCAATTAATTTGTGTTTGGAACATAAACCAAACACAACCACTATCTCTAGCCACAAAATGCAATTTAATCGACAAAATTGCCCATAACTTCCTTGTGGTTTCGAAACTTGCGTAAATTCCCCTTTTATTTTAAAAATTGCATGGTATCCCTTGTATTTAAAAAAATATTGCATAAAACCACTTTAAAAAATTGCATGACGCTCATTTATACTTTAAAGGAAATCATCTTCTTATAACATGAGAAAAATTTTATGGGGGTGGAATTTCATAGGGTACCATGCAATTTTTAAAATAGAGGAATTTCCGCTGAGTTTCGAAACCACAAGGGAGTTATGGACAATTTTGACATCTTTAATCATATATATATATATATATATTATACTCCCTCCCTCCCAAAACAAGGTTTCCGTTTACTTTTTTGCACATAAATTTTTTAATATTAATATTATAATAAATTGTGATGACAAAAACGAAAATACCCTATTAGTATTGTATAATATTAAAGTAATAGCATTTGTGTAATATATGGTAAGTTGAAAGGGTATTTATTAGGTTAAGTATATAGTACAATTACTAGAAAATTGTAACTTTGTTTTGGGATGGACGAAAATAACAAATGACAACCTTGACGCTGGAGGGAATATAAATATATTTAAGCAAAATATTTTCTAACATGTAATGCAAGGAACTAATACATATATAACATACCGAACAATAAAAGAATATCAAAGCATACATGATTTGTTGTTCTCTTTAAATTCCATTTCAATCTTTTCTACTATATAACTCACATTTTCCTATAATAATATATTAGTATTTCAATGCAATCCCCAATCTACCAAAAAAAGCATCTATCAAACATATGAGCCAAGAACAAGACCGGGATCGAACAAGAACAACATGCCCGATGACCTTCAATGCAAACCCGAAACCCTAAACCCTTTCTTGGCACCGAAAAATCGATTCTCCCATTCTTCACTTAAAACCCTCAAATCTAATCCAACAATGTGACGGCGATCAAACAACGCCCGATGTATGATCTCAATGTGAAACCGAACCCTTAAAGAGTCCTTTCTCGTCGATTCCCTCCCTATTCACATAATTCCTAAACCTAATCCAACAAAACCAATAATTCTACGACATAATTTCAACCACCGATCCGATTGAAGCATAAGTAGTCTAATAAAAGAGTTACTAAGACGATATTTATAATGCATGCATAGAAACGGGTTCCAAGTCTTTCATCTTATTGAATATTTCTATCAAGTCAAGATAGCTAGCTGCACGACGCCTTAAAACGATAGGTAGGTTTGTAAGTTTCAACAATCTCTTTTCGTCAATATATATATATATATAGAGCAAAAGAGAAGTTTTAAGAGACCTGACGAGGAGACGGCAGGGAAGAACACAGTTTCGTCATCACCCCTCAGTTGCCTTTCCTTTACGTCGGCTGTTGCCGCTCGTTTCTATCAAGTAACAAACCATGGAATCCACGTCGTCCCCGAAGATGCTGTAAGCCTCCATCACTTGTAGATAGCTGAATCCCATCGACAGCATGATCTGCATGCTGCTGTTCAGAACCGATCCCGGAGAACCCGACTCACGCGCTCCTTGGCTTGCCTCGCTTCCCGATGAACCTGGCGTTGAATAATAACTTAGTCGGTGAGTCGGTCGTATAAATCGGAACGGGAAGTCGTATAACTAACAGAAATACTCACGGGCTGCGGAAGAAGATGGCTCGGCTTTAGAAGTCGAGGACTCTTTTAAACTGAGTTGCTTGAATTTGTCGTCCGCAACATATTCAGCCCGTGAAGCCTCCATCACCATCCGTTCCATTTCCTTCTCCGTCAGCTCAAGATCAGAGTAGAATCGTCCTTCCGCAAGAAGTGCCTACGGAAAGGGGGGGGGGGGGGGGAATCGTGTCATTTGATGTGCAATTGATTAAAAAGGTTTCGTTATTGTCGACAGAAAATTACATTGTCAATCTGTTGATCCTGTTGAGCCTTGATAGCTGCTTTGACCTGATCCTTGTCGACATTTGTCTGCCGAATACAGAAAACAATAGATAATGAATTACGTTACGCAGATTTCGGAATTAAATTAACGGTGGATGGATGTCGACTTACTCCTTGTAGAGAGCTAAATCCAAGTCCAGCACCAATGGCGAGTCGGCGCGGATCAACAAGAGAGTTGTAGTGATTGCCATGGTGGTAGCTGAGTCTTATCGGAGGCGTATCCGTACTGTAGCTTCCATGGAAAATGTTTATAGGCTCTAGAAGCAAGAATGTGATTGGTTAAATCGGAAAATAATCGGAAAGTAGGTTCACTACAGGAATGAATAGCGAAACTCAATCGTGCACCTGTGCTGTAAGAGTGTATGTGAATTGGCCTATTGTACATTTCCGATAAAGCCTGGATCTCGATGTTATTTCCATAGACCTGCAAGCCATCACAGAGGCCGAATTACTAAATAAATCATATGAAATAATGCTATTCAATAATCACCACTGATCAGCTCGAATCCCCCAAAATATGAACACAGAAATTCAACGACGAGTCAGATAAAGAAACTATTTTCCAGAAAATGAGTGAAGCATTTTACGCGCATCGAACAAACAGCAACCATGAAATGGAGCCCATTAAAGGAGTGACTTGGTATTCAGTATTAGTAATTTTGGTGAATAATTTACATCGGTAACACAAAAATAGATGGCCTTATCAATCTCCTTTGTGATTTCTATCACGGATTATACACTAACATAAATAACCAGTTCCTTGATTTCTAAATTTACGTTGAAATGAAATCAAGTGTGTGCCACACTGCTTATTCGACATTTAATTAATGTTTTCTTCTCCGTCAAAGTAGCAAACAACATTATGCTGCCAAAAAGGACAGGAAAATTTGAAAATTACAGGGTGCATCGAGCACTTCATTTACCTTAATGTAACACATTACCAAATGGAGTAAAACTTAGATTAGCGAAATCAAAATCCTACGACACACCTACAAACTAGACAGCCTAGTAAAAGATGTTCATTATCAGATGTCATATTGCAAAGGAAAAAATGTCCCCATTAAAATAGCTTCGTAATAAAACTCTAATACCAATACCTTGTCTCTTCTTTTCCGCTTACAGTATGAAGTGAAGCCTTCTGTGATAAACTGTGAGAAGTGATCCCTCTCCCGTTCCTGCGCATAGAAATTCAAAATTGGGGGAGAATTAAGTATGCTGAATTGTTGGAACAGTTTTGATCGTATATACATGTGTATGGCACCTAAATGCTCCGACACATTTATATGGCATATTATTGTTAAAATGATGAAAAAAAATCCATACGGCTAATAATTACACAATGATAAAATTCAAAATACTAAATGACATAGCTCAACTAGGACAGCCATTGTCGAACAGCTAGACTGCAGAAAGAGCAGTTCATCGAGCAAAAAACAAGAGGGTGGAAACAAGAGATTTTGAGATACGGCCAGAAGCTCATCAAACCTAAGTTCTAGGGTTGATTTACCATGTCGAATAAAATGTTAATAGTACTCCTCTACACAAAATTAACAATCTTACTAAGTTTTAGTGAAAGCTTCGTCCAGTTCAACATATATTAAATCAGCTATCATGGATCTTCGGTATCTCTAAGTGGAAATATCACATTAACATCTTGAAACACTGAATAGTTATGCTTGCTATGCTAAAAAAAATCACAATTTTTCATGTTTCTGATTTCTATCACAACGAAACTTTGGGCGCTAAATAGTTATAGTACAACTGCAAATATAGATAATACACAACACGAATCCATTTCTAAATTCTATGACCTAAGAGGCATTGCCAATTGTTAGAATATAATGTAAACCCGTGTCTAAGTTTGAAAATACGTAGAACAGAGTAAATCCAAATACTGCAACCTAATAGAAACAAATACATTAAATAATAACTCACACTGCTTACAACTTTCTCTGGCGTCACACCGAACTAGTTTTGAAACCACGTGATGTATATTAATTGTTACAAAAATGATTTTGTGAAAAATCTTAACGACTATGAATAGAAAAACAAAGATTATGTTCCATATCACAAATGCCAACCGTTCAGGCACAAAAGACCATAATGAATGAACTCCCATAGGATAACGTGTTAACGGACAAATCATATGAGAACATAAAGCAATACCGTTTGTTGAAAACTAGGAAAAGTGGGTTGCAGCCAATCAAGGTATAGCCAAAGCATTTAAGTGTCATCCAAAGTTGATAAAGAAGAGACCTTTCACCCCAAATTCCGACACATGCAAGTCCAAAATACGGAAAAAAACAAACTGAAACAAGACACAATCAATTCGCGGAAACGACAAAACTCACTTACCATATAGTCGATGCACATCTGCCTAACCAAATCATACACTTCAGAGTCACCATAGACTTGATCTGCGACAGCGCGGAAAAGACAGTTCCCATCCTCCATCATTTTCCTCACTTCCAAGCTTTTAACCCTCCTTAACTCAACCTCAAACTGACGTTCTCGCTCCTTCAAGCAAAACATACGATAATTAATGCACCTGTCTCACTAAAATGTGGAACACAATCTTTCTACTCCACGACAAACATGGATAAGCATCAACAGATAGCATTTACTTGGACTATCAATAACGACAAATGACAATTTATCATCATAACAGAAAGCTAACATATAATATACTTCTACTTAAATAGATCGGGACGACAAAAGAACACAGATCAAACTTCAAAGACATGAGATTAATTGAAACTACAACTTGAATTAAAATTATGAAACTCACAGTGTCATCATAAGACGAGCTATAGCATGGGCCCTGTTCATCAGCACTGTTATATCCTTCACCTTCAGAATGAGACCGGGGTGATGATGGCCGGGATCCAGTTGGAGATGACCTGCTCGATACACTGGCCCGACCAGCAGCTCTCCTGGATGAACCAATCCGAACTGCATTTGAGTCAGCAGACGCAAACCTCCTAGGGCTTGAGCTCATTGATGAAGGCTTCGGAGGTGGCACTGGAGGCGGGGGTGGATACGAGCAGCCAGTAACCACTTGGCAAGAACTTCCAACAGCTCCATCATTTTCTTCATCCACAACTGGCAGACCACCCAATCCTTGAAGCAGATTTCCAGAAACTATAACATCCTCATTTCGCACATTCTCATCCTCTCCAAGCTTTTCATCTTCATGTTGATCGAGGTTCACAGTTCCTGCAGAAAGACTCTCGCCTGTATTTTCCTCACTTTTGCTCTCTGAAACCTCACAAGACTCCAAAAACTCATCCACGACAATCTGCTCAGGCAGTTCTTCTACCAAATTTTCATCCTTAGCTGCCGGTACAACCTGGCCAATTCCAGAATCCTGCTGCTGCGGCAAGGAGGGGGAAGAAGATGATGATGGAGAAGAACTGGACGACGCCGACGATCTGTTTTGGTTAGATGAAGATGGTGAACTAGCAGAACCTCGCTGCACTACAATTCGAGTCATGGTGTAGCGTAACCCTGTCTCCTCGACAGAATTAGAGACCGAAAATGGCAGGTTTATACTTGTTGCGGGTTCTGGCCTTGGGAGCAGTCACACCAATTCCAAATGCAAGTGAATTGTTCTTCCAGCCAAGTAAGCTCTCCTCGCGAATCGATTTCTGCATTCCCCTAACAATTCTCATGAGACCTTAACCTCCAAACCTTTTATTCTTAAACAATTAAACCCTCGTTGAGATAAAGTAGACAAAGTTTTACCCGTATAAAGCCCTAGATTAAGAAACAATCACCTCCACAGTTTCACAACTGCAAACAAGATTCAAGAAAGTAAACACAATCACAAATCATAAACATCGACATCGAATCAAAGGAAAATCACACACAGAAATCGCAATCGATACTCACTATCTCAAAGAAAGCAAAATTCCGAAACAAAAAAAAATCGTAGAGCATGGAGGATTAAATTTCATCATCGACAAACACAAACCCCTCGACCGACGACAATATCCGGAAATCGTTCATGGACAAATCCGCCCAAACCCCCCACCACCGATTAATCGAATACAGTTCAAGATTCGTAAATCCCGGAGAAAAAGAAATCGGCTACCAACCAATTCTAAAAATATAGAGACTCAATTCATCAACTCAAACGCAGTAAGGAAAAGTGAAATCAAGGCAAGAAATGAGCCCTAGGGTTGACCACCCACCCACCGCCCCGGGTTGCAGTGAAAGGACTCACCATCGACAATGAAGCGAGGACAGTGGAAGTGAAATTTCCCTAAAAGTCTTGTCCAGGGAACGCCACCACCACAGCGGAGAAAGCTTCAGGACAAAGAAAGAAAGAGTGAGAAAGAGAGAGAGTGCGTGAATTCACTCTCTACATACATATATGTGTGTGTATGTATAGGTAGAGCGAGAGAGAGAAAGCGGTTCTGTTTGAGGAGAAAGAATGGAAGGCTGAGTTTTAAATAGGAAGGAAAATAAGGGAAAAGGCACGTGACTCTCCAATTTATTTTATTATATTTTCTTCCGATTTTGCCATTACTGCCACGTGGCTTTTTACTTTTTTTATAATAATTATTATTTAATTTATGAAATGATATTTTTTTATATGAATATAAAAAATAATATTTTATATTAAATAATTAAGAAATGTATTATTATTTTAATAGTACTTACGAACTGTAAATTTCATTATTACAAATATTTTTAAAATGACCGCATTATTTTATAATTATTTATTACATTTTAGAAAGATTTTTTGAGTTTTGAAATAATATAAAATTGTTTACTTTGGTGATTTTATCATAATTTTTTAATTTTAATTTTTTTAAAAAATAATAATAAAAAATTTATTTTTTATTTATTATATTATACTAAAATTTATTTTTACATTTAAAATAAAATATTAATGTATATTTATATCATATTACATAATTATTTCAATTTAAAATTTTATTATTAAAATTAAAATCCCACGAATAAACACATTAATATTTTGAAAAAAAATACTTGATATAATTTTTTAAAAATAAATTTAATAGTACCGAAATTTCAAAAAATATTAATAGACGAGCTTTTATGTTTTGTAAAATAGCTTTAATTTTTTATTTTTTATTTTAACCTCTATCATGTACAAATACAATGCTAAAAGGATTTAGTTAGTTGTAATTTGAATTAAGAGATTGGTTTGAGTTTTTATTTAAATAGTTTTTTTATATATTATTTTGTAAAAAAAATAATGTATATTTATTAAAAATTATGTTAGGTGAATAATATTAATTTTGTATTAAAATAAAAAAAAAAGAACAAATCCTACAAAACATTGCATTGGAGTATTTGTTTTATGTTTTTATTGTTTTCCACAATTATTTTGATGTGAAATTTTCAAAAAAAATAAAAAATTACATATTTTATCTCATTCAAATTTATTCTAGTATTTTTTATATTATTATTATCATCTAAATTTATTTTTTTTATTTTTTTCTTTAAAGTAAAATCACTTTTACCTTTCTAAATTTCTATAATTACCTATCATATATTTACATAAATATGATTATATTAATCCATTAATTACAAATCTAATCCAACTCAAATTAACCCAAATCCGTTACACTCACCCAATTAATAAAAACCCACCCACCCAATTAATAAACCCACCCACCCACCAAACAAAACAAATCCACTCGTCCAATTATACGAAGGAATAAAAAAATGTAACGGTTTTGCAGAGTATTAAGCTCAACTTGAATTTATCCAGTGCATCATTTTCGGGTAGCGGTTGCAGGTTCCTATGTTATCATAAAAAAAAATGGTAACGGTTTGTTTTTTTTTATAACACATTTCTCCGATCACGGATTTTAAGAAAAATATGTAAGAATATAAATTTTTACTTTTTTTTGTTAAAAAAAATTATATTTTTTTACTAGAAAAGGAAATAGAAATAAATTTAGATAACAAAAAAAAAAAAAGTGAGAATAAATTTAAATGACGAAAAGAGTAATATTCTATACCTTTATTATTTTTGTCTTATCTGCATAATTCTCTATATATCACATCATAATTTTGAAACCAAAAAACACAAAACAAACACACTCTAACTTAATTTATAATCTCTCGTTCCGCCGCTCACTCACTTTATGTCATCTTTTTCCTCGTCGTGTTGTTTCTTGTCGTATTTTTCTAAAATTTTGAGTAAATTAATTTTTTTTAGTACCGTAACTAGATATCTTTATTACTTTAATCTCGTAATTGCAGTATGTCTCAAACTATTCTTGTAACCAAAAATTTTTATCATTTTTAGCTCTCAGGCGCCGGAGATGACTACGTGTCATTTGCATGGCTCATTGGATGACACGTGTCTGTCAAGTCAACGACACCTGACGAATACGTGGAATTTTTTTTTTAAAAAAATTTACTATATTTTTTAAAAGCAAAAGTTAAAAAAAAAAAAAAGCATTTTATAAAAAATCATAAAGAAATGACCTAAATCCCTAGGAAATGGACGGCTTAAATCAGATGAAGACAATAGTGGCCCAATGGATCTAATACAAATTGGGCTAAAAAAAAATTCGGACAAAGATTTGGGCTGGGCCAAAATTATTGCCCAAAACCCAACATTTAATATTTTGCACTAAAATATTGAATTAGTTATTTTTACACTTTTTTGTCCGTCTCAATGTAAGTGGTTATTTATTTATTTATTTTACATAAATTTTAGAATATTAGTATATTATAAATTATAGTATAGTAAAAATATTTTTTCTTAAATTTTAAAACAATATATTTGGCATTCTTTTGTATTATTATGGAGTATATTAAGTATGATATTATTTTATTTAAACAAAAAATGCAATTGCTAAAAAAATAAATATATTAAAGGAAATAAATTAAAATAATAAAATAGATACATTGAGAATTGACTAAAGGAGTATATATATTATTAATTTTTATTGAGATAGATTTTGTTTGTGCAATAGATATAAGTAATATATTTTATTTAAAATTTATTTTTCATTAAACCTTGAAAAAGAACAAATATATTTACAATGAATTTAATAATAATTATTGTTGTAAACGTCATGCTTGACTTCTCACTCACGACTTTGGTCAAGAATTGGAATTATTATCTTAAATTTATATTGAAATATATTTTGCAGGGATAAACGCTGTGCTTGTTTAGTATTTTTATTTTGGTACAATTTTTTATGTTAGATATATAAAAAATATATTGTTAATATTAAAAATAATATTTATATTGAATAAATATTTTTTGTGATTATGAATGAAAGTATTATATATATATATATATTGTATTTTTATAATTTTAGTCGAGAAATATATCAGAAATATTTCGTCAATGAACACACCCGCGTTGACTCGATAAATGAGGTCATGAGTTTTGATATCGTTAGGTTCTATATGCTATATTATTTGCTTGGTGCATTATCGGATTCAAATTCTCACGTCAAAAATATATATATATATACTTATTTAGTATTTATTTTTAATTCTAGTTAAAATATTACTTTAATATCTAAATATTAAAGTATTTAATTTTTACAAAATATTTATTTTTTTTGTTATATTTTTATAAGTAAGAATTCCATTAATCGAATTAATTTGGGTTAGATGATTCCATTTTTTATTATGCTTCGTATAAAAAATAAGAGTCTAATTTAGTAATTGTAGTACTTATCTAATATAATAAATATTTTTTTAATTTACAATATATTAAACAATATTTATATTACACAATACTAATATTAAAAAAAATTTAAGTTCAAAAAAATAATATTAAAATAATTTACAATATATTAAACATTATTTATATTACACAATACTAATATTAAAAAAAATTTAAGTTCAAAAAACAAATATTATTCTTTATATGAGACGGTAAAGACAAGGAAGTATATATTTCAATTACAATCTGTCTTCTTTGTCGATCTTGATCGCCGTCGCCGGAAAAGCTTCCGGCCGGCGGTCGAACGCCCTTGTGCTCCCGGACACCACGTAAACTCTGCAGAGGGACACTTCATTCCGCAGCTGCGCCCAATTATATCATTAATTAAATTAAAATTAAATCCCAATACTCGTTAAACAAATAAATAAAATAATTTTGCGAATTAATTAATTATTTAATTTACCCGAGGGGTACACGTGGCGGGATCCTGTTGGATGGCTCTGTACTCGTTCATCTTCCACTTGGTCTTGCACCCCATCGGAGCCTTCCCCTTGTAGAACACCATCGACTTCCTGACGCCGATGACCTTCCCGGCGGCGGCGGCGCGGACGTAGCTCGGCGAGCCAGTGGCTTTCCAGTAGCCGGAGGCGGTGCTGCGGGTGGGCCGGCCGCCGCGGGACTCCCGGTCCTGCCTCCCCGTGAAGAAGAACCACTGCTCGGTGTCGCCGCGGCAGAGCTCCCCAGAATGCTCTGCAATTATAAAATTATATATATATATATTTAATTAAAAGCGTGTTTTTGGAATGAATGAATTTAATTAAAGTAAAAAACGTGCTTGGGAGATGCCATGGGTCGAAGTTGTAAATGTTGAGGAGAGGGATGACGTGGCGAATTAGGGTTTGGTTATGGGTATGGAGGAGGTGATTGTGAAGGTAGAAGGTGATGAGTTCTTCCTCTGTAGGGTAAAATCGATATCCTGGGGGTGGTGGAGGGGGGCTGAGATTACCCTCCTTCACTGTACCCCATCCTCCCATTATCTCTAAAAATATTATTTATTTATTATTATTTAATATTTGTTTTGTGTGCTATAAGCATACTGTTATGCATAGGTATGGCGGGGATAAACTGATATAATTATATCACTTATGTGTAATATATATAGAGAGAGAGAGAGAGAGGGAAAGAGAGAGAGGGTTCGTCAAGCGTGTGGATTGAGAAAAAAATGGCAAAGAGAGAGAGAGAGAAAACGATTGTTGGGTTTCGACGCGGCAATCAAATGAAATAAATTGAAGGTAAGGTGTTGGGTGGGTGGGGTGTGGGGGGGGGGGGGTGTGTGTGTGTGTGTTTGGGTTATGTCTCAGTCGTAGGAATCAGTCAACAAAGCCGAGTGTCACGGTTGCTAGTTGGGACTCAGATTCTCGCCCATATTCCGTTCTCTGTGTATTGAGTTTTTTTTGTTTTGTATGATGAGATATGTCTTGGTCTAGGTATATATTTTGTATAATTTTTCTATATTATATGGTATACTCAAGCTTCTGATGGTTAGCTTGGGCCTCCGAGCGGACAGGGCCTAGGCGCTGGACATGTCAAGCTTTTGAACACATCATATATGATATCAGAGCGGATATTGACGATGATGAAGATCTCTGCAGGAAAGCATAGCATGTCAAGGAAGAATATGTCTAACGGGAGCTGGACATTTCAAAGGGGAGTGCTCTTTGAGGGAAGGAATACTCGACGGTGTTGTTGCGCCAGAGCTGTAAAATTTTGTTCGTGAGGGAAAAACCACATTAAAGATGATCATAGAGCAAAAATGTGCAAACCACAACAATAGATGTCCCAAACAATGTGCAGAGATGAGCGACAGAATGGGCTAGTTGTGGGTCAGCTATAAAAAGCCTCGCTGACACACGCTGGGCACAAAAATATAGGTATGCATGAAATGATGGACGGACTGACGCCTGGAGACATACCGATCGTGCAAGGAACATCGGTGCAACGTCATACGAGGGTGTTTGCGACTTGAAGTAGAAAAAATGTTAGTGTAAAAATATAATTTTAGTTAAATTGTAACGTGTATATATATATAATATATTTTATTAAAGGGTTCATAAAGTGCAAATCACTGCGACCAAGATAGAAATTCATGTGTGATCAATATACTGAAATAACAAAATTATAATATATTGCCAAAATAATAATTAAAAAATAAAAGTAATAATTGAGTATGTACAAAATATTTCTTAACATTTTTCCTTAAAAAAACAATATGCTAACAATAGTTAAAAACTTGTATTTCTTGGATCAATATCTCACATCTAGGTATTCATTATATTGTACAACTACAAATTAGCCTTTTTTTTTTAAAAAAAAAAGAAAACCAAATCAACTCATCTTTATTATTAAAACAACACATTTCATATACAAATCTAACATATTTTTAATAAATCAAACCCTTATATATAAAGAAATCAAACCACACAAAAATCAAACTTATTCAATATTCTTACAACCAAATACCATATAAATATAAATCTGAAATCACATACTACTCATCTTTAATTATTCAACACACACACATATATATATATATATTTGCATATTAATAATTAGTACAAATTAAGGTATACCAACAATAGGAAAAAATGGGATATAATTATAGGTAGATGGATCATGAACTTCCCCTTCCCCTTGTCCTTGTCCTGGTAAGGGTTTTTTAACCTCGGATGCTTCGAAGCCAAAATCTTTGGCATCACATTTGCTCTTTGGAGGACAATTCTTGTAGAATCCGAGAGGTTTCGACACTGTCGAGTGTCCAAATTCGATGGATTTGACTACGGGAATTATTGCATTGTTGGTCCGGATGTAGAATTGGTGAGGGCCACCCATTATCTTTGCCATACACTTATCGGGATTGCTCGATTTAGACACATTTTGGCCATCGGAGGGAAGTTCAGTATCAAAAGTGCCGTCTTGCCGCGTGTATGTCATGGCTAGTTTCTTCGAGCTATCGCATTTTACTAAGACTTGGAACCCTAGGAGAAACCATCGATGGATCGATATGTGTAATAGGATTATATGATTAAATATATATATATATATATATATATAAACAATTAAAATGAAATATAAAGGAGGTTACCAACTCTATCATGAATTTCATGTAGCGGTAATATTCTGGTTGGTTAGAATGGACGAAAGTGTTAAAATTATATATTTAGAAATTTTTTATATTTGTTTGTAATTTGATTTTAATTTTTTTTTTAAATTATGCAGCCATCACAATTTTTTTGTAAAAGTATATTATTTTTCTTATAAAGTTCGGTAATATAAAAAATAATTTTGTATTAATGTTGATTTTCTGTAAATGAATAGAGTATATAGATTGGGTGTGTTTACTTGTAAATAATTTTACATCTGATTTTAATTTTTTAATTTTTTTCAAAAATATCAAATTATATACCTATTTTTTATTTATTATATTATACTAAAATTTAATTTTACATTTAAAACAACTAGTTAATACATATTTTATATCACGTTAAACAATTATTTCAGATCAAAATTCAAAAGTTCAAAGGTGAAATCTTACAAATGTCCGCTTTTGTGTGAGTGTCTTAATTTTTTAATTTTATTTTTTAAGTGAAAATAGTCTATGCACATAATATATATAATGTATTGGATGAAAATTTGATATTAGAATATGCTATTATTTTAGAAAAAATGATTAATTTTTTTCATCCATGCATACAAATAATGAATATAGACGCAAATTTTCTACTAATTGAGTCAAATCAGCATAATATTGATTTGACTCCATCAATAATAAACATAGATAACATATGTTTCTCCATAATCAAATCACCAACAAAGAATTTGCCTCCATGCTTTATATACACATCGAAATTATTACATTTCAACATTTATTTTATTTTTAAAACATCAAACTATGTTCTAAATCAAATGACATGATTTTTCGACTGAAGATTCTTTCTACCATTCAAAATATTGAAAATAATTAATTCAAGTACTCAAAATAAAGGAAATACCCGAGAGATCAACACCGTGAGCACAATCAAGGCAAGCGACGGATCCTTTGAGAACTTGGCTCGTGTAAACAACATTCACAATCGCAAGAGCAATGGTAAAGAATAATAAGCCAACCGGCCGTTGAGATCGACTAATGCCCATAATTTTTTGTGATATATATATATATATATATTTTGTTACAATGAAAGAACATCATCCCAAAGGGGTTTCTATTTATACTAATTCTTGATCTACATTATTACAAGAAGTAAGCAATGTAGTAAATTTAAGGACCCAAATGCTTGAAGAGTTGGTTGTTGATGTCTTAAGATTTTAATGAATAAAAGGGTTTGTAGGTTTTTTTTTTTTTTTTAGTCCAACCACCAAGATTGGCTACTTAATTACTATGTATTCCATTTAATTATTTTAGGACATGTTTCTTTTAAGATATTATTTAGTATTTTATATTAATATTCATGTCTCAATATTTTATAGTTTGTTTTAGTTCTTTATGGGATTATTTTAGTTTTGAATTCAATCACAATTTTTTAATCTCCTTCCAAATCAAAGAGGTTCTTTGGGTTTTATAATAGATTAAAAAATTATATTATTTTATTAGTTACCGGAAGTATATAAGAGTTTTTTATATTTTTGCTATTTGACTTTAATGTATAAGTAATTGTATATATAATGGTATATTTGTAATTTAAATAAAAGTTAAAAGATATTTTAGTATTAATGTATGATTATTTTTTAAAAATAAAAAATAGATGACGGAGTGAGTATTATCTTGCACCGTTAAAAGTATATTATCTCCATCCACACTCAATATATTTATGTTGTCATTTTAGTATGTTCATCTTCGATATATTTACTTCTTTTTTTTTTTTTTATACAATATTACAAAAAATTTCATTAACAAACAACTGGCTTTAGAGGTTATTAGAGGCACTAGGAAATGTTGAAAGAAAATGAATAAAGAGAAGGGAAAATTATTCCAATTGTTGGTTAAAAAAAACTCTTAGTTTTTTTTTTATTTAAATAAAAATACAAACCAAACAAACTCTAAATAATTTAAATTAATTAAATATTTAATATGATAAATTGAACTATAGAAAAAAGAGTAACAAATATATTTTCAATGTAATATTTTATGTTAAATTAGTTTTTTTAAAAAATAAGTTTAAACTTATTAATTTATTTAAAATATCTTTAGTAATATAGTTCATAAATATATAAAAAATTAATGATTATAAATAAATATATTTTATTTATAGTAATATGTTTAAATAAAGTATTATATTATTATAAAATTAACTAAATATGATTTAAATATAAATATATACTTATAATATTAAAAAATATAGAGTTTTACCTTAGATAGAAGGATATAAAAGAAAATTTAAAAATACATTGAAAATGAGATTTTAAAGTAATAAAGTTTCATATCATTAAAAATTTATTCATTCGTACGATTTTAAAATCTCAACTACTTTAAGGGGCTGTTTGGTTTAAAGATTTTTTTTTTTATTTTTTTTTTATTTTTATTTTTTTTATGGGATTGAGATTTTGCAGCAGATTTATATGTCATAGGATTTATTGTATTTAGAATTCGAAATCCTATTCCGTGTTTGGTTGGGCTGTTCGGTTCAAGGATTTTAATTTTTGATATTTTAAATTACGTAATTATCTTTTAACGAATTTTATTTATTGTGATAAATTAAACTTACATCAATTTTTTTTCCGTAAACTTTAATTTTTACTAAATTTAGTATTTTAATACAAAAACTTTAATACAATTTTCAATTAATAATAAAAAATATAATATTTATATATATTCATACAAAATATATACTGTAATATATAATCTATACACTAAAAAATACGACAATTTAATTATTTTTTTGTAGTATCGACATTCTTTCTCATATTTAATATAAAAAAAATACTTTAAACTAAAAATAAAAAATTAATATATCAGTAAAATAAATTTATATTTTAAATTATTAATTTATTTAAATTATCATTTGTAAAATAATTAAATATAAATAACATTAATAATTATAAATAAATATATAATTTGTAATAGTATGCTTAAATATAATATTATATTTTATAAATCCAATAAAATATAATTTAAATGTAAATATATATACATTTAATATTAAAAAAAATATGATTTTTTTTATTAGCGAGTATAATAATAAAATATAAAATACAATGACATAGGATTTTAAAGTAACATAGGATACGCTGTTATTGAAAAATCCTGCATTTTTAGGATTTTAAAATTGCATGCACTTAAAATTCCATTATCAATTTTATAACTAAACATGGATTCATTAGGATTTTAAAATCCAAATCTCATGAATCCCACCAAATCTACGAACCAAACAGCCCCTAAATTTTATATTTTTTAACTAAATATGAATCCGTTACAATTTTAGAATCCAATCCCATGAAATTCTACCGAATCCGTGGCCTAAAATTTGTTTAAATTATTATTATTATTATTATTATTATTATTATTATTATTATTGCAACTCATTTAATTAAAAATCAATTAATATAATTGAGCAGGATAAAATAAGTAAAACAACAATGGTCAGCATATGAATAATTAAATGAGTTACAATAAATGAGTAATAAATGTAATTTATTTTGGTTTTGATTATGGTACCCTATGTAATTATTATATAGTAAAGTCCTAAAAGCATTATTAAGAATAATATACTATCCGTCTAAAAATGTATTTTTGAAATTTTGTAGTTCTGAATTTTTTTGAAAATATTAAATAAAAAATTGATTTTTCAATGTTATATTTGTGAGTTAAAATAAATATGTAATTTAATATTTAAAAAATAATTTTGATTAAAAATGTCAAATTTAAAAAATATGTACATTTTAATAAAAGAAGCCATGCATATGTGCATGGATATTGTGAACCCACTTGGAAGTCTAATTGCCACAAAATTTCCCACAAATTTAAATTTCATAAAAATATATAAATAAATAAAAATAAAGCCCGTACAGATACAATTAACTAATTATTCTTTAGCAATTTTAATATAAAATAATATTTTTCACTGCAAAGTTTGAATGATATCTTTAATTGAAGGTTTCTTATAGAATTCCTAGGATTATATATTGATTTAAATAAAATTTTCATATAATTAATAAAATTGTGGGATATTTTTTTTTATTAATTTATATAAATTTCATAAACTTTGGTGATGAAATTATTAATACAAATATATATTGAACACATATGTATATAAATAAATAAAAAATACTATCTTCGTCTCACATAATTTATTTCCTTCATTTTTCTTGAAAATAATTGTACATTTTAATAATATTTTAAATTTTCATAATTTATAATCTTATTTTAATTAAATTAATTAATCATCTCAATCTTAATATATAATTATTTATATTATATAATAATTAATTTTATTAATATATTTTAAAATTATTTACTAATCATATTTTTGCCTAGATTTATGTATTTTTAGTTTATATACTGTATTTTTACTACATAATGTGCTATCAATACGGTATTAAATTTTAAAATTCAACACCTTAACCGCCGTCTAATTGTAGATAGTCGGTGATAATAAATTAGATATGTGACTATTGTTATTGTGTTGATAACACACAACATACACAGGGATGGAATGTCCCCTAAGCCAAATTTTTTATGATTTTTTTAGTATTAAAAATATTAATTTTTTATACAATTTGCCCCCATAATTCTATCATTATTATTTATTTAAATTTATTAACTAAATATTAAATAAATTATAATATTTTGTCCATCAGGATTTAAATGTTAGTTTCGTCACTGAACATACATACTAATAGCACAAGGCAAATATATATTTATAAAGTGGATGATATAAATATTATTTTTAATTCCAATGTTGTTATTAGTATCAAATGCTTTATTTGATTTGATAGAAAGGTAATTATATTAATTAATTTAGTTGAAAACTTCGATAAGATTTATCACTGTTATAAATTTACAATATTAGTCTCAATCAAATTATTTTGAACTATGTGCTTGCGCCAATGATAGAATTTTTGGCAATAGTCTTATCCGTGGTCTTTTGCTCGTAACTATTTAGCGAGTAATTGAATGTTGAGACGAATTATCTCATCATCAAATTAGTATTGAAAATTATTTTGCATTAGAGAGGATTTTATGATACATTTTTTCTTGAAAAAATATGTTGAGGTAACTTTTCGAAATAAATTAACACAAATCTATTTAATCGGAAATTAATTGAGATCAATGTTACATAAAGATTTTAATATTATTTCATTAAACATTGATATTGAATTAAGGTTAACCTATGTTGATCAACATGCCTATATTGTTCAATTAAGATTAAATTATGCTAAACAATAAATAATATTTCAATGTTATTCTATTGATTATTGAATAATTAAGTCTATAGAACCAATTTTCAAATCCTACTATCTTTATATAAATGATGCCTCGGCGGCTAAAAATTTTTAAATTAATTTATCAATGAAAGTGCAAATTGCATCGAATTCTTAGAAATTAATTTGTCGAAGAAAAGTATAACTATCATTCTCACATTGAGTGAGAAGATGATAATGTGGGATTTTCCCATTGATTAATTTGGATGATTCTTTCATACATTTCATTTTCTAGATTCAACATCCAAATCTCGTAAAAAAAATTCGAGGGATTGTAAAAATAATAATAAAATAAAAATTGTTGAACTGGAGTATAGATATTTTGTTATCAATGTCATTCTCGAATTGATTGAAGACAAGAATGTTAAATTTTTCAGTTTACCCATTGTAATTTTTTTGAATCAGCACTTCAATTTTTTATATTATGCCTTGACATAAATAAATAAATAATCAAATCAAATCAAATGGAAAAAAACAAAAAAAAAAAAAATAAATAAATAAATAACAAAAGATCATAGAACTTAGAAACTGTACAATTGATTGAATTCTGGCTATTTCATGTTCATTAATCTGAAATTCCTCCAGAAAAATTACACACAAATTACGCAGATGTTGAAGAAAACAAAAATAAAAAAGGGAATTTAATAATTAAAAAGATGAAGATTCAATAATCTCAAATGGAAAATCCAATTTAATTAATTCCCAACTCGTAGGTTGTCCCCTTCATTATGATCTTGTTCACCATTACTGTCTTCCCTAAGTTCATCCTCCTCGTCATCCTCATCGTCGGATTGAACAAACTGCAATCTGAGCCGTCCATTCTCGCGGCAGGCCTGCAAGAACTCCTGTGTAGGAACCCTAATTTCCTTGAGAATGAATCTCCCTTCTTGTCTGAAAGCTTTGAAGCTCACCCATGGCTTCCCATTTCTGCCAATACAAGAAATTGGGGGAGGAAATGAAGCCCTCGATTTTTCATTACCTCTCTTCGAAGCTTCCTCGTCATCTTCCTCCTCCATCTCTGCAATTTCTGTCGACCCATCTCTTCCCTCATCGTATTGATTGTGGAGACGACTCGTGGCGTTATCATCATCGCCGCAGGTTTCGAACAAACCCTCGACGTCATCGGAGCTCTCGAATCCCAAACCCTCTGTGCAAAGGGAATAATTGTGGTAATAATTGGAATTGACGGGAGGGGAAGAAGGGTACTTTTTGTTGATATTGTAATTATAATTATTGTTATTATTGTTATTCTCCTCCTGCAGGTTGAAGATGCTTCTGCTGGTGCTTCCATGGCTGCCAAGAAAATGATTATTTTTTGTGGGAAGATGAAACCCTTTTGAATTGGGAGATGATTCTGGTGCAGGTGGGAATGTTTTGGGATCATTAATGGGGTTCATGGATTTGATTATGAGCTTCCAATTCCATGGCGGAATGGATTCAAGAAGTGGAAGATATGTGGTTTAGGTTGAGGATACCACAGGCTGTCATGTTTCTTGATTTTTGCTTTCCATTCCTTCTTTTTTTATTTATATTTATATTTAAATGATAATGAGAATAATAAAAGGGTTTTTTTAAAAAAAAAATAAATAAATAAAATTGTGTGAATTCATAATAATGTGCACGAGAAAGACATGAAGAAGTTGTTGGGGATAAAGTCAAGAAACATATATATGTGTATCCTATTTATTAGGGATGCCTAAAAAATTGGCAAGAGGAATGAGGATCGAGTGGTTATAATGAGGGCATTGGATTGAGTGGACAATCCATATATATGTGTTATATATATATATATATATATATATATAATATTATATTATGAATATCTTACATTGCTTTCGAATGTATCATGGGTAAATTTTTTGACTGAGTGTAAAAACTTGCAAACTATGCTAATAGACTGATCCGGCCAAGTTAGGATGGCGTTAATTTGATGGAATTAGTATATGTTATATACATATATAATCATCGTGTATATATATATACATATGTTACAAGATATGATGAATTATAATATAACATATATTTTATTATAAATATATTGAGATATGTATAAATATCAAGATCAACGGCTGACCTATGCCCATGCTAATAACTAATAACTAAGTTAAGACCAAGAGGATGGGATTTGAAACATTATTGTAGTTTTTATTTTATTTGTTGTTCTTTGATTTTATTTTATTTTATTTTTAAAAATTATTGTATGATTTATACGATTATTTTATTTAATAAAATATTAAATCCAATCATTATTTAAATACAAGTACAAATGAAACTTTGTATTTTGTCTTTAATTTGATTTTTATTATTTTTAATAAAATATGGAGTATTATCTTTTGCCAAATATCCAACTCAAAGACTAACCTAAACCAATATATATAGATGCGGCGATTAAGGTGCCGACGAGGTTAAAATGACATTAATATAATATAACACATTAATTTAAAATAATTAATATTTCATCACAAAAGAAATATCATATGTTGTGTTGCTATATATATTATATTAATATTTATTATTTTGTTAATAAATATTTGATGATTGATTCAAATTACTAATATACTGAAATTAGAATATATTTTAATAAAACCAAAAATATATTTTATTATATGTAATTATATAACTTTATATTAAAATATGAGATATATATTATATTAATATTTATTATTTTCTTCATAAATAAATATTTATTGATTTATTATAATATTCAAGTGTTTTAATTTGCAATCTTACCTTAATAAATCCGGTTTCTATTTAAAAGATTATAGAATGTAATAATTATTTTACTTAAAAGAATAATAAAAATCAATTACTTAAAATACAACATAAATTGTGTTAATTTGCTTGGTAACATTTTTCCTCCCCTATTTAATTTTTACAATTCTCGATAAAAATATATTATTTATTATAACAAAATATTAATTCAAACTATTCTTTAAATAAAAATAAAAAAAAATATCATACATAAATCGAAAAAAATTATTTTTGGTCTCAATATAACTAAAATTCATCAATTTTGGTTCCAATATAAAATTTTTATCAATTTTGGTCCCAATATAACCAAAATTCATCACTTTTTGTTCCAATATAACTAAAACTCATCATTTTTTGTCCCAATATAAAATTTTTATCAATTTTAGTTTCAATATAACAAAAACTCATCATTTTTGTCCAAATATAATCAAAGCAACGGAAAATGCTGCAAGATTGTGCAATTTCTTCAAATATAAATATAAGGTTTGATTTCTTTTCACGTCAGCATTTTCCGTTGTTTGTTGACGGTGTGGGACCAAAAAAGATAAGATTTGATTATATTGGGACCAAAGAAGATAATGTTTGATTATATTGGGACAAAAAATAATGAGTTTTGGTTATATTTGGACTAAAATTGATAAAAAATTTTATATTGAGACAAAAAATGATAAATTTTGGTTATATTGAGACCAAAATTGATAAGATTTTTATATTGGAACCAAAATTAATGAATTTTGGTTGTATTATGACAAAAAAAAAAAAGATTTTTTCCCTACATAGACACACTAATAGTTGTAATTTTATTTTATTTTTTTCATTTGAAAATGAAGTAAAAATTTACATAAAGTTAATTGCTCTTGCAAGTGTGCAATATGAGAATATTCTTGGGTTGATGCTTAATTCAATAAAAGTTTGAGAAAGTGATGGATTTTGTAGTGTAGCTTTATGTGATATTAGTTGATCAACCAATCTAAATCACTTATAAAAAAAAGTGGACATGTAAGTAAGTAGAAACAAATATGCATAGGTGAATTAGAATTCCAAAAAAAGGAGGCTAATTTTGAAATTTTTTAAATTAACACAATATATATATTTATTGTCGATAATTTTATTATTCGAGGCTTTTTATTTTTTAAAATACTGCAAAATATTTAGTTAGAAAGCATATATGTCCAACAAATATTCATTTTATACTATTTAAAATTGACAAAAAAATTACTTTTAAGAAAGTCATCGTGATTATTTTTTTCTTTCGTAACAAATTTTTTAATTATGATTTTTTTCTTTTTTTTTTTATTTATTCCAATTATTATTATTATTATTATTTTCTCTCATACATATTAAACTGGCTGTTCAAACGGCCGGTTTGTTATTAATTTTATTTTATTTTATTTTTTATTTTAAAGATCAAATTGGCAATTTTGGTTCGAACCATCGATTTGATAGTACACATTAAACTTAGTCTTAAATTTATGACTAATCATATAATTATAATATACATCAATCAATTCTAATGTCAATTCTTAACTAATAGACTAATCAATAATCATTTTTATAACAACTAAACATTAGTATTTTTCTTCACAATAATATCACAGTTTATGAGTTAAAATATATCCTTAAGTTTATTTAAACTCTATTGTGAAATTGGAGTTGTAATAAGAATATCTATCCAATTTAGTAATTTTTATTAACATTTATAAAATAATCCTTCAGTAAACACTTAAATATTTTTAAGGTTTTAACAAAATTTAAGGTTTCGACCTGGCATTAAATTAACAAAATATATTGCAAAATTTAAGAATTGTAATTATTAACTATATTAGATGTTTTTTTCTTTTTATTTATGCATTCAGTTTTCAAAGCAACCTAAATAAACACATCTAAAAATAATTCGAACATATACATACACATTATTAATAAAATATTGTAAAAAATAATAAAAATAATACTCCTTCCATCCCACATTGGGTTTCTTGGTTAATATAAATTCGAGGATTTAGGATAAGTATAATCAGTAAATAATTAAGAATGCAACATGGACATGGTTGATTGATCCAAAGCTCGATTTATTCTTCATGAAGCGTGATCCGGCTCTGATATCATGTTAAGAAGGGATATGGACTTCCAACCTAAAACCAATTGGTGATAGGTGGAGTGACCATTCACCCTTATATACTAGGAGAGTTCCCACACATTTAGCAATGTAGCACAATATTCTAACGGTTTCTAATTTAGTTCTAATTTTGTTAATTATTCTTCTTCGAATTTTCCGGGAAAATAAGTGTGTATGTGATGAGTTTCATTACATTACACTCCGGTGCATGTTCTTACACGACGTTTTGCAACAAAAAAACAAAAAAACTAAATTCCAACAAAACTTGTACTTGAATTAGAAGTAACACGACCATGTAAACTATTATAAATACATTCTTAAGTTGTCAAGCATGTATTTAACATCGGCTTTTCATATTTAGATTAACTAATTTTGATCTAATTAATATATTAATGATTAACAAAATATTGTAAAATTAATATTATCGTCTCATAATAAGGACACCATCTGTCTTCTGGGTTATTGTACATGACATTAAAAATATTCTTATATTTGTATAATTTACTCTACAAATGTTATTATTGTATTTTTATTATAAGAGACTAATAGATGTATTTTTATTATTTTATCTTAATTTGTACTAGATATCGATATAATAATTAATATTTAAATATCCACCCACAAAAAATTCATGGTACTCTTCTTACGTGACATATGGAGTATAAAAATAACCAATAAAATATTTAATTAGCTACGTCGTTTTAGTCACTAGACTTAAAACGATATACGGATTTGAGGGGTCCCTAATACATGTTTCGTTTTACTTATGTGTTACATTCACTACGCTTCTTCAAATTGTCCCTCAAAATATATAACGCGCGTAATGAGTTTTGCTGCGGTTCGTTGTTAATGTTCTTACACATTATTTTCTATACAAAATATATACGTTTAGACTGTAGTGTCAAGTTTAAGACACGAACATGTGAAACATAGGCCAAAGTCTTCCCCTTGTTTAAAGTCTTCTTGTAATATAACATAGGCCAAAGTCTTCCCCTTGTTTAAAGTCTTCTTGTAATATACACAACTATGAAACAAAAGACTTCACTTCCAACAAGATTTCTTGCAATTTACTTCCGACAATAAATGTCACATGATTAGCCATATTAGTTGTGAGGAAAAATTATAAATTTAGTCGATTATCTATGATCAATTATTATTTTTTGCTATCGATATTTCATCAATTATATGTTGATTATAAATTCCATGTGGTTTTTTAAATTTACTGAAATCTATTTATGGTTCCAAAAAGATTGCATAAAAAACTCTCTCTCCGTTAATACTTAACCACGATTGCAATTCACGCGTCCAAATAAAACTGTTCTCCAAATTGTACTTGCACACTGTAATACAGTAATCGAAAAATTTGTTGTATTGTTCGATCATGCTCACATTAACACGTTAAGTACTAACAATTGTGCTCCATTTTATCAACAGTCATATTTTGGGTGCATGAATTGTATTTGTCGTTAAATACTAACGGGAAATTTTTTTATGCAATATTTTGGAAACCATAAATAGATAATATAATATGAAATTTTAAGACTAAGGGGATTTTAAATTTCGAAAATTACAGAAGGATTTTATACTATTTTGGAGTTATTTTATGTCATATAAATAAATATTATATTTGATATTTTTGCATAGAAAATATAATTT